GGAAGCAGCCAGGCTTTGACGCTGCAAGGCCATTCAATGCCAATCAAGGTGGCCAATGGGAACCCCAGGCAGGAAGCAGCCAGGCTTTGAAGCTGCAAAGCCATTTGATGCCAATCAAGGTGGACAATGGCAACATTCACATCCCCAGGCAGGAAGCAGCCAGGCTTTGAAGCTGCAAAGCCATTCGATGCCAATCAAGGTGGACAATGGCAACATTCACATCCCCAGGCAGGAAGCAGCCAGGCTTTGAAGCTGCAAAGCCATTCGATGCCAATCAAGGCAACATTCACATCCCCAGGCAGGAAGCAGCCAGGCTTTGAAGCTGCAAAGCCATTCGATGCCAATCAAGGTGGCCAATGGCAACATTCACATCCCCAGGCAGGAAGCAGCCAGGCTTTGAAGCTGCAAAGCCATTCGATGCCAATCAAGGTGGCCAATGGGAATCCCAGGCAGGAAGCAGCCAGGCTTTGAAGCTGCAAAGCCATTCGATGCCAATCAAGGTGGCCAATGGCAACATTCACATCCCCAGGCAGGAAGCAGCCAGGCTTTGAAGCTGCAAAGCCATTCGATGCCAATCAAGGTGGCCAATGGGAATCCCCAGGCAGGAAGCAGCCAGGCTTTGAAGCTGCAAAGCCATTCGATGCCAATCAAGGTGGCCAATCGCAACATTCACATCCCCAGGCAGGAAGCAGCCAGGCTTTGAAGCTGCAAAGCCATTTGATTCCAATCAAGGTGGCCAATCGCAACATTCACATCCCCAGGCAGGAAGCAGCCAGGCTTTGACGCTGCAAGGCCATTCAATGCCAATCAAGGTGGCCAATGGGAACCCCAGGCAGGAAGCAGCCAGGCTTTGAAGCTGCAAAGCCATTTGATGCCAATCAAGGTGGACAATGGCAACATTCACATCCCCAGGCAGGAAGCAGCCAGGCTTTGAAGCTGCAAAGCCATTCGATGCCAATCAAGGTGGACAATGGCAACATTCACATCCCCAGGCAGGAAGCAGCCAGGCTTTGAAGCTGCAAAGCCATTTGATGCCAATCAAGGTGGACAATGGCAACATTCACATCCCCAGGCAGGAAGCAGCCAGGCTTTGAAGCTGCAAAGCCATTCGATGCCAATCAAGGTGGCCAATGGCAACATTCACATCCCCAGGCAGGAAGCAGCCAGGCTTTGAAGCTGCAAAGCCATTCGATGCCAATCAAGGTGGCCAATGGGAATCCCAGGCAGGAAGCAGCCAGGCTTTGAAGCTGCAAAGCCATTCGATGCCAATCAAGGTGGCCAATGGCAGCATTCCCATCCCCAGGCAGGAAGCAGCCAGGCTTTGAAGCTGCAAAGCCATTCGATGCCAATCAAGGTGGCCAATGGCAGCATTCACATCCCCAGGCAGGAAGCAGCCAGGCTTTGAAGCTGCAAAGCCATTCGATGCCAATCAAGGTGGCCAATGGCAGCATTCACATCCCCAGGCAGGAAGCAGCCAGGCTTTGACGCTGCAAGGCCATTCAGTGCTGATCAAGCTGACTTGCCTCCAACAGCAGTCCAAATATATCTATATGTATCTCTATCTATCTGGGATTGGGGCGAGAGTGAAGCCGGCGCTCTGCACATGCTCAGAGAGAGGGAGAAAGATTCCCTCCTCCTCCTCCTCCTTCTCGTCGCCTTTGGCCGCGCCCAGAAACTAGCAGCGACCAATCAGCACTCGCGGAATTTCTCTAAGCCACGCCCCTGAGTGCGGTTAGAAACAAGCGGCGGCCAATCAGCGCGCGCGGTTCCCCTCTTGGCCCCGCCTCTTCGTCCCCCAGAGGTATAAAAGGGCAATTTGGACTGTTTGTGCCATCAGTGGAGCCCCGGCCAGGAGAGGAAGGAGAAGGAGACCCTCCAAGCAGAGGAGGAGAAGCAGCCCCAGACTCGGGTGAGAGAGCCTGCTTGGGGCCTTTCCCTCCCTTCAGCCATCCCTCCCTCCATCCATTCATTCCACCCTTCTCTTAATTGTCCCCATTTCCCTGAGCCTCATAATTAAGATAACATGTAATTATATATCATTATATCCCTATTCCATTATATCTGAGTCCCTTGGCTGGGCTGTTATGATATATTACATATGTTATGATCTATTCATTACATATATTAATAAATTATCACTGTTATATAATATTATTATATTTTACATATATTGTTATGGTATATTACTCAAATTCATCTATTTTTAATAACTGGTACAGATATAAATATATATATTCTGTTGCTAGGTTATGTAATGCATTTAATATATAATTGCAAAAATATAATATAAATAAATAGGTTGTATTGATACTACAATATATGTACATATATAATTCCCAAAATTATATTATATTAAAATTATATTGTATTATATTTATTTACTTATATTACAGAAATTGATTATATTGCCACTGCTATATTATGTTATTACTGCTGTTAAATAATTCTTACATAGTAATATATTTTTATATAAGAAATATTTTATTATATTACTACTGTTATATATTATGATGGTATTATATTGCTATTATTTAATTATTATATCCTATTCATATATATATATATAATTACTATTATATAAATTATTATTATTATTTCACATTTTTAGTAACCTACTATATTCTATATATAATTGCAGATAAATGACTATATATTAAATTATTACTTCTGTAACATTAATATATTACTGCTGTTATATATTACTATGATATTATATTGCTATTGTTTATTATATTCTATTCATGTGTATATACGTATAATTACTATTATATAAATTATTATTATTTCACATTTTTAGTAAACTATTCTATATATATATTTACAAATACATAATAACTATATATTAAATTATTACTACTGTAACATTATTAAATGTGTTACAGTAATAATTATTAAATTATTTGACATTATTAAATGTGTTACAGTAATATTTTTAAATTATTTTTTAATTCTTATATATATTTCATACTCTTTAAATTATTATTTTACATTTTCATTAAATTACAATATTCTATATATATTTGCAAATGCATAGTAACTATATTTTAAATTATTACTACTGTAGCATTATTAAATATGTTAAAGTAATAATTATTTTTATATTCTTATATATATTTCATATTCTTTAGATTATTTTACATTTTTAAATTATCGGTATTATATAAACAATATATATTAAATTATTGTTCCTGTGTGTGTGTGTGTATATATATATATTCATATGAATAATTACTATATATTAAATTATCACTACTATGACTACTGTATTGTTATATATTAGGGTATGTCTTACTATTGTTATATTGTGTATGATAATGAGGAAGGCACTATCTGATCCTGCCTGACAGATGGCCATACTGCTAAAAATCCATACAATAGAGTCCTAGAGGTGCTTTAAAGGGGGCCAACCCTTCTGCCATGGCACCCTCCGATCCCTCCCGACAGATGTCCATCAAGCGCCATAGGCGTTAGCAGGTTCATGGGGAAAGAGGGCCCGGGGCCCCTTTCGAGGCCGAAGTGTGTTTATTCCTTGTCTTCTGGAGGGGAGCGGACGCTGTGCCCTCGGGTCCAGAGTCTGCAGATGTGTTTCCCCGTTATCTCTTTCCTCCTTATCTCTCTTTCCTCCTTATCTCTCTCTCCGGCTCCTGTTTTCCTTCCTCTTTTCTCGATTGGCCGCCTTTCCTTTCAGAAGGGCTTTGGTGGTCTCCTTCTGCCTGGGAAAAAGGTTGGTCTGGGTGGCCTTTGGGGCTCCTTCCACCTCAAGGATTGTGTCTATCCATCTCTCTGTCTCCTTCTCGGAAGGTTTGTAAGAGGAAGCTGGATGGCCATCTGTCAGGAGGGCTTTGATTGTATTTTCCTACCTGGAAGAAGGAGGTTGGTCTGGATAGTCTTTGGGGCCCCTTCCATCTCTAGGATTCTATCCCTGGAGGTCTGTCAGGAAAGGGTGGGTGGCCATCTGTCGGGAGGGCTTTGATTGTGCCTTCCTTTATGGTGGAAAGAATAGGTGATGGTCTGGATGTCCTTTGGAGGCCCCTTCCCAACTCCAGCAGTCTGTGCTTCTATCTCTCCACCTCTCTATCTCCTTCCCTGGAGGTTTGTAAGCAGGGGCTGGATGGCCTTCCGTCGGGAGGGCTTTGGTTGTATCCTCCTGCCTGGGAAAAGGTTGGTCTGGATAGCCTTTGAGTCCCCTTCCAACTCTAGGATTCTATCTATCCATCTCTCTATCTCCTTCCCTGGAGATCTGTCAGGAAAGGGTGGATGGCCATCTGTCGGGAGGGCTTTGATTGTGCCTTCCCTTATGATAGAAAGAAGGGGTTGTAGACCGGATAGCCTTTAGAGGCCCCTTCCCAACTCCAGCTTCATCTATCCATCTTTCTATCTCCTTCTCTGAAGGTTTTTAAGAGGAAGCTGGATGGCCATCTATCAAGAGGGCTTTGATTGTGCCTTCCTTTATGAGAGAAAGAAGGTCTTTTGGACTGGATGTCCTTTGGAGGCCCCTTCCCAACTCCAGCTTCTGTCTATCCATCTTTCTATCTCCTCCTCTGGAGGTTCGAAAGCAGAAGCTGGATGGCCATCTATCAGGAGGGCTTTGGTTGTGCCTTCCTTTATGCCAGAAAGAAGAGGTTGTGGACCGGATAGCCTTTAGAGGCCCTTCCCAACACAAATGTCTCCTTGTCAGGTTTTGAAACCAGTTCGTGCCACAAAAAACAAAAATTTCCGGAGTAGAGCAATGACTGTCAAAGTTGGGACAACACAACGGAACAGGAAGTAACACTGTCAAAATAGGAAGTAACAGGACTATGTGTGTGTGTGTGTGTGTGTGTGTATAGAGTGGGTTCCATAGTGAAATCGATCACCATAAGGAAGGTTGTCCTCCTTGCCTGTTTTGTTGGTAGCCTCGTATGACCGGAACGCGTTACGACAGCGTAACCTGCGGAACTCCCTGCCTCATGATCCTGACTCTGCCTTTCTCACTTCCTCCAGCCCCGCCCTCGTTCCCAATGGCGCCCACGTTGGCCACGGCGCACCGGCGGCGCTGGTGGATGGCCTGCACGGCGGTGGCGGAGAACCTCTTCTTCTCGGCCGTGCTTCTGGGCTGGGGCTCCCTCCTCATCATGCTCAAGTCCGAGGGCTTCTACTCCTACCTCTGCCTCCTCCCAGGTAAGGCGGGGCCACTCACCTGCGCCACTCACCTGCGCCACGACACTTCCTCCGCCCGTTCTGAATTGGCTTCGGAGCAGGATACGGAGTCCACACTGCTATGGTTGCCTTGGATGATCTCAATAGGGTCACTCTACCTCTGTTGGTGCTTCTAGACCAGGTACGGGCAAACTTGGGCCCTCCAGGTGTTTTGGACTTCAACTCGCACAATTCCTAACGGCCGGTAGGAAGTCCAAAACACCTGGAGGGCCCAAGTTTGCCCATACCTGGTTTAGATCTCTCAGACTGCTCTTGAAGCCTTGGAATAGGCGAGAGCATAGGAGAGCAAGTGTACTCGGAACGACTTCATGAGCAGGAGGAGGAAGAGAAGGTCATGGGCTGAATGAGGAAAAACACATTGAAACCAAACCCAGACCAAACAGAGGTGGGTCCTAATCTGGGGTGGAGGTGTGCCAACCCGTTCTGGATGGGGTCCCACTCCCCCAGCTTGTGTGTTTGTGGTGTTTTTGCGGTGTTGATGTGTTTTGTCACCTGCCTCCAACCATGAGAGGCAGGTCAGAAATAAAATGTGTTATTATTATTAATGTCAGGTCGATGTATACCTTGATGGGGTTCAAGTCTTCCTCTGCTAAACCGCTGAGTTAGTTGACCGAAAGGTTGCAGGTTCGAATCCAGGGAGCGGGGTGAGCTCCCGCTGTTAGCCCCAGCTCCTGCCAACCTAGTAGTTCGAAAACATGCAAATGTAAGTAGATCAATAGGTACCGATTTGACAGGAAGGTAACAGCACTCCATGCAGACGTGCCAATGACCACGTGACCTTGGAGGTGTCTTACGGACAACGTGGGGTGAGCTTGCAGTGTTAGCCCCAGCTTCTGTCAACCTAGTAGTTTGAAAACATGCAAATGTGAGTAGATCAATAGGTACTGCTTTGGCAGGAAGCTAACAACGCTCCATGCAGCCGTGCCAATGGCCACATGACCTTTGAGGAGTCTACTGACAACGCTGGCTCTTCACCAGAGTTGGACATGACTTTATGTCGAGGGAAAATCTTGACCTTCAACTTATGAAGTTAACATGCCAATGTGAGTAGATCAATAGGTACCGCTTTGGAGGGAAGGTAAGGGCACTCCATGCAGTCCACATGACCTTGGAGGTGTCTATGGACAATGTGGGGTAAGCTTGTGGTGTTAGCCACATCTCCTGCCAACCTAGTAGTTTGAAAACATGCCAATGTGAGTAGATCAATAGGTACTGCTCCAGTGGGAAGGTAAGGGCACTCCATGCAGTTCACATGTCCTTGGAGGTGTCTACGGTCAACGCCGGCTGTTCAGCTTAGTAATGGAGGTGAGCACCAGTGTCTTGGACACGGCTGGACTTAATGTGAGGGGCAAACCTTGACCTTTCCTACCTGCTGACGCTATGGATAATCTGAGAGGTTGCTTGTGGATTGGAAAGGTGTGCTCTCCTTCTTCCCACCTGATCTCCTTTGGCTTTGGATGATAGGAGGGATTGCTTGCGGATTGGAAAGCTGTGCTCTCCTTCCTTCCTTATCTGGGCTCTCCTTTGGCCTTTGCCCTGTTGCACAGTCTCGGTTCCTCTCTTCTTTCCTTCCCGGCCGGCTTCCCCGCGGACTGTTCTGCTTTGTGGCGTTCCCCTTTTTTTGCAGAGATTGGAAGGGGAAGGGGGGCTGCAGAGGAGGGCAAAGGTCGCAGCCGGCCGGCTTCCTGTCCTCCTCCTCCTCTTCCCCGTGGAGGGACACCCCGTCCCCCGCCATCCTCGCCCTTTGCCCGCCTCTCCTCATGAGCCCAGCCTTGTCCCTGAGAACCTGTTGAGGCAGCAGAAAGAAAGAAAGAAGGAGAAGGAGAAGAAAGAAGGGCCGCTGAATCAGCAGCTGCCGTGGCGGGGGCGGCCTTGCGCTTATCTTGCTTCTCTCTTCTCTTCCTTTGGGGTGGGGGGTGGGGGGGTGTGCAATCCCATGACTCTCCTCCTCCTCCTCTGAGGTCATCCTTGGTGGCTGAGAGGATGGAGACCCAGGTCCCAATCCGTCCGCCCTCCCTCCCTCTGTCTGTTTTGGAAACAGGAGAGTCCGTGACACCGGAGCCTGAGCAGGAGGTTTTGCAAACCTTTCCTGGAAAACTCTGTCAACAGCAGGTGTCTCTTCCAAGAGGGGGGGGAGGGCAAAGGGGAGGGGGCCTGCCCCCCCCCCCCCCCCTCTCTCTCTCTCTCTTTCCATCTAGTCATAGAATCATAGAATTGGAAGAGACCTCATGAGCCATCCAGTCCAACCCCATTCTGCCAAGACGCAGGAATATTATATTATAATAGTATTATAATATTATGAATTATTGCCAGTGCCTCCTTAAGAGGGGGACTGTAGGGAGCCAATCTAGACCCCCCCCTCCCTTGCTGCTGAAATGGGTCCATTTATTATTATTATTATATTACTATTATTATGAATTGCCAGTGGCTCTTTAAGAGGGGGGGTGCATGGCAATCTAGACCCCCCCCTTGCTGAGGAAGTAGGTCCACCTATTTTATTATTATTATTATTATTATTATTATTATTATATTAATTGTCAGTCTCTCTTTAAGAGGGGGGTTATAGGGAGTCAATCTAGACCCCCCCTTTCTTGCTGCAGAAGTGGGTCCATTTATTATTATTATTATTATTATTATTATTATTATTATTATATTAATTATTGTCAGTCTCTCTTTAAGAGGGGGTTGTAGGGAGCCAATCTAGACCCCCCCCCTTGCTGAGGAAGTGGGTCCACCTATTATATTATTATTGTTATTATTATTATTATTATTATTATTTATTGCCAGTGTCTCCTTAAGAGGGGGACTGTAGGGAGCCAATCTAGACCCCCACTTTCTTGCTGCAGAAGTGGGTTCATTTATTATTATTATTTTATTATAATAATAATAATAATAATTGCGAGCGTCTCCTTAAGTGGGGGACTGTAGGGAGCCAGTCTAGACCTCCCTCCCTTGCTGCAGAAGTGGGTCCATCTATTATTATTATGTTATTATTATTATAATTATTATATTACTATTATTATGAATTATTGCCAATCTAGACCCCCTGCCTTGCTGCAGAAGTGGGTCCATCTATTATTATTATTACTATTATTATTACTATGAATTATTGCCAATCTAGACCCCCCCCCTTGCTGCAGAAGTGGGTCCAGCTATTACTATTATTATTATGTTATGTTGATCCATAGCCATCCCCTGGAGCAGCCCCCTCCCCACTTCCCTTGCCCTTTGCCCTGCTCTGCCCTTGCCAGCGTGTAACCGGACCCAAGGGCAAAGGGGGGGTGAGTGGCGTCCTGCCCTCCTTTGCGTGTTTCCAGTGCAAACAGGGAGCTGTTGATGTTCCAAAGGCACCTGGTGGAACATCACTCCACACCTCCCCCTTCCCCCCAACCTTTTGAAACCACACCAACGGCTGGGGACAGAGGGGGAGGGAGGAGGAGGGGGCTGTTTACCCGTGTCTCGGGTCTCAATCTGTTTCCTGCTCCTGGTTAATGTTTGCACAGAGCGGCCGGCACATGCTCTCCGTGTTGCTGGGCAGCCGGTGGAGGAGATTCACATAGAACGCCAGCAATGCACAACACATACCGAACCCACAAGACAATCACAAACACAACTCTTCTACAAATTTCGTTCCTCCCTTTACACTCTACCTCTTCGAAAATACCACCTTTGGTCCAAGTTTGGCTGCAGGTGAACTATAAATCCCAGTAACTACAGTTCCCAAATGCCCAGGCCAATTCCTCTCCCAGCCCTTCATATTGGGTCTGCATGCCACGTTTAGTCCAGGCCCATTCTTGTTTCGGTTCATAGTGCACTCTGGATGTAGGTGAACTACAACTCCTATCAATCCCTCCAGTGTTTTTGGTTGGTCATACGGGTTCTGTGTGTCAAGTTCTAGATCCATTATTGGTGGGGTTCAGAGTGCTTTTAGATTGCAGGTGAACTATACATCCCAGTGCATGCAACTACAAATAATGGTGAATTCTTTCTAGTGTGTTCAGCTGTGTGCTATAGAAAAGAATAGGAAAGGATTAAGGGAGAGGCTGTGGGCAGGGTCATGCAAATTCCCAGAGTCAGAAACACTGGGATGTCTTTGGTGGAGGAAACACATATAAGGGAGAGGCAGTGAGTGGGGCCATGCAAATTTTACACCAGGGGGGGGAGGGGACACTGTCAGAAACACTGGGATGCCTGTGGTGGAGGAAACATATCAAATCTAGGATGAAATTGTTCCCAAATGAGAACCTCCACTTGTGTGGTGGGCACTGTGGTCCTTGTGGAGGGCATTGGCAGGGCTCTTGGACATGTTCATGGCGCTCACCATAACCAGCAATGCCAATGGAGGGAGGGCCACGGGTGTCTCCTGCTCACTGGGATGCTTGCGGTGGAGGAAACACATACAATCTAGGATGGAATTGTCCCTGTCTGAAAGCCTTCCCTTGGGTGGTGGGCAGTGTGGTGTTGGTGGAGGACATTGGTAGGGTTCTTGAGCATGTTCATGGTGCTCACCATAACCTGCAATGTCATTGGAGGGAGGGACATGTGTGTCCCCTGCATAGTGGGAGATATCGCTTTTTGTGGAAGTGGGAGCTTGTCTGCAGAAGTGGGCACTCCACCCACTGACTGACTGATTTTCACTTCTATTATGTGTATAGATTATATGTATTACTATGATTATCTCTCTCGTTGATTGTCCACCATCCCCAACACATCAAGCTCCCCTTGAGTCCTTGCACTGACCATTCCTTGTCTTCCTCCCCATAGCGAATGCCACGCCCAGTGCCGTGGATGGGGCCAACTCCACGCCGGGCAACCAGACGGAGAGGGCGGCCACGACGGAGGAGGAGGCGGGGCTGCCGGTGACGCGGATGAACGGCTGGCTGATCTGCAAGGAGCAGGACGAGATGCTGAACCTGGCCTTCACGGTGGGCTCCTTCCTGCTCAGCGCCATCACCCTCCCGCTGGGCATCGTGATGGACAAGTACGGCCCACGCAAGCTCCGCCTCCTCGGAAGGTCCGTCCTATATAAGAACAGAGGTCATCTCCTATATATATATAAAGTTATAATATAGTAATGTAATATAGTAGAATTATATACTATAATAAAATATAACATAACAATATGCTAATATAATAACATAATATAATAATATAGTAATATATAATGGCATAATAATGTAACGTCATATAATAATATGATGTAAAATAATGTAACATAATAACATAATATATTATAATATATATAACTATTATAATATAGTCACGTAATATGGTAGTAGAACAACATAATAGTAAAATAATATATTCTTTTACTATATTACATTAATATATTATAACATTATATTACTATTTTTATATAACATTATATTATAATATTTTATAATCTCATATTTTTATAATATATTATTATATCCTATTATATATTATAATAATATAGTAATATATAATGGCATAATAACATATCATAATAACAATATGATATAAAATAATATAACATAATAACATATTATAATATATAACTATTATAACATAGTCACATAATATGGTAGTGGAATATAACAATAGAATAATAACGTAATATAATATAATATAATATATATTAATATAGTAATATATAATGGCATAATAATGTAATATAATATAATAACAATATGATATAAAATAATATAACATAATATATTATAATATATATATTATAATATAGTCATCTAATATGGTAGTAGAATATAATAACATAATAGTAGAATAATCTAACATAATAATATGTTATAACGATGTGATATTATAGAATAATATAGTAATATAACAATGATCATAATCTAAAATTATATTATTACAATACTATAATATAATCCTATGCTATTATTATATTACTATGTTGTTATTTGATAATTTATTGTTATAATATTCCTTTATACTATTACATTATTCTATTATTCTATTGCTATATTTCATTAATATATTATAACATTATATTACTATTTTATATATAACATATTATTTTATAATCCCATATTTTTGTAATATATTATTATATTATCCCATTACGTTTTCTTATATTATACTATTGTGGTATTATATTATGCTATGGCTATATTATTTAGAATATTATAACAATATATTCTAATATAATAACAGGGTTATATAATAATAATAATAATAATAATAATAATAATAATAATAATAATAATGTAACATTATATTATAGTATTATAATAATATAGGCATACTGATGATTCCTTGCTGGCCACATCCCCTCCTTCCTGTGGGCAAAGCGCCCCACTTTTTGCCCCAGATTGGCAGGAAGTTGCCGTTGTTTGCAGCCACTGACCCAAATACCATGGTAATTGACCCAAATGCATGAAGGAAAGGGCTCTCGGGATGGAAAGGGGGCTGGGGAGGCACATGGGGGGATCAGGGAAAACCCCTTGAAGCCCACCTCCCTTAACACAGGCTTTGCAACAACGGCCCAAAGCCTTTTCCCTTGGCCCAGGGAGCAGCACAAGGCCGCTATTGCAAGCAGCGCAATCTCTAGATGATGAAGGATCTCCATCTTTCACCACCTAGAGATTGAATCAATGGGTCCAGCTTGTTAATTAAAACATATTCGTTCCTGGAATCTATGGCTCTCTGGAAGGTCAACTTGAAGCACATCAAAACAATCCTGGAAGTTTCTTTTGTTTTGTATAGCACACCAGGAGCCCCAATCCAGATTGGATTCAAAACCAGTATAACAACAACAACAATAATTGCAAAACTCTGGCACAAGCCAGTCAAGGGGGTCCCAATGGTGATGGGTACACTGGGTGCAGCACCTCAAGACCTTGGCCTGCACTTAAACACAATTGGTGCTGACAAAATTACCATCTGGCAGCTGCAGAAGGCCACCATGCTGGGATCTGCACACATTATTCACCAATACATCACACAGTCCTAGACACTTGGGACGTGTCCGACATGTGATCCAATGCAACAGCCAGCAGAGTGATCTTGTTTGCTGTGTACTAATCTTGTTGTGTATCTAATAATAGTGATAATAATAATAATAATAAATGAGGATTTAACGATTGAACTGCAAAGACTCTGGCACACGCCGGTCAAGGGGGTCCCAGTGGTGATCAGCACACTGGGTGCAGTGCCTCAAGACTTTGGCCTGCACTTAAACACAATCGGCGCTGACAAAATCCCCACCTGCCAGCTGCAAAAGGCCACCCTACTGGGATCTGCACACATTATTCGCCAATACATCACACAGTCCTAGACCCTTGGGAAGTGTCCGTCGTGTGATCCAATACAACAGCCAGCAGAGTGATCTTGTTTGCTGTGGTATGTTTCTAATAATAATAATAATAATAATAATAATAATAATAATGTATAATGTGATCCAGATTGACATTAGAACCATAATAATAATAATAATAATAATAATAATATCCAGATTATCTTCAGAACAAGTATAATAGTAATAATATATGTATAATAATTATAATAATTTATTCTAATATAATGTAATCTAGATTGTTTTCAGAACCAGTATTGTAATATAATATTATATAGTCCACGTTGTGTTTAGAACAAGCATAATATAATGTAATGTAATGTAATCCAGATTGTTTTCAGAACCAGTATGATGATAATAATAATAATAATAATAGTACTAATGATATAATATAACAAGAATATAAACCAGATTGTGTTCTGAACCAGATTCTGGAAAGATGGGGGTCCAAACCCCATGAATGGTCTCCTCTCCTAAAGGTGCCCCCCACCTTTTTTGGGCTTCCTTCCCCATTAAGAATGAATGTGGGGGATTGCCGCCCCACTCTTTGTGCTGCCTGAGTCTCACCTGCCCTCTTTCTCTTTCCTGCCTTGCAGTGCCTGCTTTGCTGCTTCCTGCGTGATGATTGCCTATGGCGCCAGCAACCCGGACTGTAAGCATTTCATTTGGGGGGTGGGCATGGAGAGGGGGACCCCCAGGACTGTCCTCTGAGCCCCCCTTTCTTTCTCCCTCCCTCCCTCCCTCCGCGCAGCCCTCTCGGTGCTGATCTTCCTCTCGCTGGCCCTGAACGGCTTTGGAGGCATGTGCATGACCTTCACCTCCCTCACGGTAAAGGAGACCCCAGCCCAACCCCCATCGTCCCCGGGAGGGTCTCCCTTCCCTTGAAGCAGCATCTCTGCCTGCGTGCCTTTCCCCTCCGGACACCCAGGCCTTTGCGAAGGAAGGAAGGGGTCATTTCAGGACACTGCTGCATTGCATCTCAGGGAGGGAAGGGTGGAGAGGGAGTGGACGCAGGAGAAGGGGGGGGGGCAGCTGCTCCGTCCAAAGGGGATCCCCTCCCTCCCTCCCTCCCTCCCTTCTCCCCTTCCTGGGCCCTTGATCCCCATTGAAACCCTATGGGGAAGGGTCTCAGGGGAGAGGGCGAGACCCCGTTCCCTTTGGGGTGGCCCTTCTCATATGTCCGTCCATCCATCCGTCATCCCTCTTTCTTTCCCTCCTCCTCTTTCCAGCTGCCCAACATGTTTGGGGACCTGCGCTCCACCTTCATTGCCCTCATGATCGGCTCCTACGCTTCCTCCGCCGTCACCTTCCCCGCCATCAAGGTGAGCCCTCCTCGGCCCAGGTGGGAAGGAGGGAGGAATGAAAGAGAGGGAAGGGAAGCACGAAGGGGAGGAAGGGTAGAGAAGGAAAGAAAAGAGGGAAAGAAAAGTAAGGAGGGGGGAAGGAAGGAATGAAAGAGGGAAGGAAGGAGGGAAGGAAGGGCAGAGAAGGAAAGAAGAGAGAAAAGAGAAGAGGGAGGAGGAGGAAGGCCAGAGAAAGAAAGAACAAAGGGAAAGAAGAAGGAGGAACGAAAGAGGGAAGGAAACAGGGAAGGAAGGGCAGAGAAGGAAAGAAGAGAGAAAAGGAAAAGTAAGGAGAGGGAAGGAATGAATGAAAGGGAAGGAAGCACAGAGGGAAGGAAGGAAGGGCAGAGAAGGAAAGAAGAGAGAAAAGGGAGAGAGGAGAAAGGGAAGAAGGAGGAAGAGATAAGGAAGGGCAGAGAAAGAAAGAAAAGAGAACAAATGGAAGGAAGAGGGAATGAAAGAGAGGGAAGGAAGGAGGAAAGGAAGGAAGTGCATAGAAGGAATGAAGAGAGGGAAGGAAAAGTAAGGAGGGGAAGGAAGGAATGAAAGAGAGAAGGGAAGCACGGAGGAAAGGAAGAGCAGAGAAGGAAGAAAAGAGGGAAGGAAGGAAGGAACGAGAGAAGGGAAGGGGAAGAGAAAGGAAAAGAGGGAAGGGGGAGAGAAAAGGAGGGAGGGGAAAAGGGAACGAAAGGAAGGGAAGGGGAAGGAAGGAAGGAAGGAAGGAAAGACGCCAGCCCTCCCGCCCCTCCGTGGGACCCACGGCCTTCTTTCTTCCCCTCTCCTCCAGGTGATCTATGACTTTGGGGTCTCCTTCATCCTCATCCTGACGGTCTGGGCCTGCTGCGCGGGGCTGGTCTTCTTCAACTGCTTCTTCAACTGGCCCCTGGAGCCCTTCCCGGGCCCCGAAGACATGGACTACACGTGAGCGGAGGGCCCTGGGGACACTCTACCCCCTGCCCTTCCCCCCCCCCCCCCCGAGTGGCCCCCCGCCATGGTCTCTGTGTGTGTCCCCTCCCTCCTCCCGGCAGGGTGAAGATCAAGTTCAGCTGGCTGGGCTTTGACCACAAGATCACCGGGAAGCAGTTCTACCGGCAGGTGACCACGGTGGGCCGGCGGCTGAGCCTGGGGGGCTCCCTCAAGGGCAGCGGCGGGCACAAGGAGGTGCCCCCCCTGCAAGGCGGCGGCAGCCACCCACTCTGCCTCTCCACCCTCCACCTGGAGCTCAAGGCCCAGAACCATGACGGCGGCACCAACGGTGAGGACCCCCGGGAGGCGGGAGGCAGGAGCCAGAGGGGACACCCTGGGGGGCAGGGGGCGGGGGGCCTTCCAGACTGACTGGCCTCTCTGCTCCTTCTTGCCTCCCTCTCCTTCCCTGCCTCCTTTCTTACCTTCCTTCTCCCATCCCTTCCCTTTCCACTGTCTCTCCCTCTCCTTCCCTTTTCCTTCTGTCCTTCTTTCCCTCTTTCTCCTTCTCTCCTTCCTTCTCTCTTCCTTCTCTTTCCATCCTTTCCCTTTCCACCCTTCCTTCTTTCCTTCTCTGTCCTTCTGTCCCCTTTCTCCACCTCCTTCTCTTTCTTCCCTTCCTCCTCTTCTCTCTCTCCTCCTTGCCTTTCCTTCCTTCCCTCTTTCCTTCCTTCCCTCTTTCCTTCCTTTCCTTTTCCCTCTCTCCCCTTTTCCTCCCCTCTTTTCTTCCCTTCTTTCCTTTCCTCTTCCCTTCCTTCCTTCCCCTTCCTCTTTCTCTTTCCCTTCTCTCTCCCCCTCCCCTCTTCCTTCCCCCCTTCCTCCTCTTCTCTCTCTCCTCCTTGCCTTTCCTTCCTTCCCTCTTTCCTTCCTTTCCTTCTCCCTCTCTTGCCTTTTTCCTCCCCCTTTCCTTCCTCTTCCTCTTCTTTCTTCCTTCTCATCTTTCCTTCCCTCTCCTCCCCCTTTTCTTTCCCTCCTTTTTCCTCTCTCCTTCCTTCCCTCTTCCTCTCTCTCCCTTCTTTTTTCCTTTCTTTTCCCTCCTCCCTTCCTCCTACCTTCCTTCCTTTCCCTTCCTTCCTTCCCTTCTCTTCTCTTCTTCTTTCTCCTCCCTCTTTTTTTCCTTCTCTTCCTTCTCTCCTTCCTTCCTTTTTTCCCTCCCTCTTCCCCCCTCTTTTCTCCTTTCCCTTCTTCCTTTCTCTCTCTCTTCCTTCTTTCTTCCTTCCTCCCCTTTTTCCTCTTCCCTTCCTCTCTCCTTCCTTTTTCCTCCCTCTCTCCACTCCTCCCTTTTTCCATTTCCCCTTCCTTCCTTCCTTTCCTTCCTTCCTTTCCTTCCCCCTCCCTTTCTTTTTCCTCCACTCCTTCCTTCCTCTTTCCTCTCTTCTTTCCTTCTTCTGCCCTTCCTTCCCTTCTCTCTCTACTTCCTTCCTTCTTTCTCCTCCTCCTTCTTTTCCTCTTCCTCCGCTCACCTTCCTTCCTTTTTCCTCTCTCTTTTTCCCTTCCTTCCCCTTCCTCTTCCCCTTCCTCCTTCCCTTCCTCCCTCAGGCTCCCCGTCCTTCCTGCGCAGCCTCTTCAGCCCCATCCTGCTCCTGAGCCTGGTTACCATGTGCGTGACCCAGCTGCGCCTCATCTTCTACATGGGGGCCATGAACAACATCCTCGAGCACCTCGTGGACGGAGACCTCGAGACCGGTGGGTGGCCGGACGGCCCTGGGGGGTCCCAGAAGGGGGCTTTCCCCACCAGCAGGAAGCGGGGCACCAGAGCAGAGCAGGGGCCCCGGGAGTGCAGAGCCAAGCTGCAAGAGCAGAAGGGAAGGGGACCACCGAGGGGCCCAAGAGCCCACCCAGCCTCCCCTCCTCCTTCTCTTCCTGGCATTTACAGTGACGGGAAGGGAGCCAGCAGGGCTTGGCAGGGATCCCTCTGGGCCCGGCCTTGGCCTCCCGCAGAGGAGCATCAGCAGCAGCAGCGCCGCAATCCAGTCTGGGCCTGTTGAGTCTGGTGCCCAGCCATCGGGAGCCGCTTTCCAGCCAAACAACAGGCAGAAAGAAGGAAGAGCGCCAAGAGAGAGGAGGAAGGAGGAGGGGGGGGGGGGGGGAGAGAGAGATAATCTCCCACACTTCCCCTTCAAGAGCAACACTGGAGGAGAAGGGGCATAAGGAGGGGCGGGGGTCCCGTGGCCAGAGTTGGAAGCAGCAGGCAATGGGGGAGGTGGGCTTTTGCTTTCCCTGCCCTTTCCTGAATTCCACCCACAAAGAGAGAGAGAGCTAGAGGGATTTAGCAATGTGGCTGTGTGTGCTTCTTTGTTTATTCCCCCCCCCCCCCCGAGTCCCTTTGGAAGAAAGCTAATCCTCATCATGTTATAATCAAAGGCAGCCCCTTCCCCACTTGGTGTGCCTGGGAATGGGTGCCAGTGGGTCACCTCTTTGCTCTGACATGGCTCTTCCTCTCCTTGTTCCTTCCATCCATCCCTCTGTCTTTCTCTCCATCCATCCTTCCTTCTATCTTCCTACCCTCCTTCCTCCTCCTTCCTTCCTTCCATCCTTCCTTCCTTCCTTCCATCCCCCCTTCCTTCCTTCCTTCCTTCCTTCTTCCTTCCTTCCTTCCTTCCTTCTATCCATCCACACTTCCTTCTTCCTTTCATCTACATTTCCTTCATCCCATCCTTCCCTCTCTCCCCTCTTTTCTTGGATCCTTCCTTCTTTCCATCCATTCACCCTTCCATCTCCTTCTTTCCTCCCTCCCTTCCCTCCATGCATCCGTTCTCCCTCTTTCTTTCTCTTTTTCCCTGCCTTCAATCCTTCCTTCCTTCCTTCTTTCCATCCATGCTTCCCTCTCCTTTCCTTTCCTCCATACTTCTTTTCTTCCATCCATCCTTTCCTTTCCTCCTTCCCTCTCTCCCTTCTTTCCTCTCTCCATCCCTTCCCTCCATGCATTCTTTCTTCCTCTCTTCCCCACCTGTAATCCTTCCTTCTTTCCATCCATCCACCCTTCCTTCTACCTTCCTTCCCCTCCTTTCTTCCATCCATCCATCCATCCTCGCTCTTCCCTACTTCCTTCTGTCCATCCATGCTTCCCTCTTCTTTCCTTCCCTCCATACTTTTCTCTTTTTTCCATCTCTCCTTTCCTCCTTCTCTCTCTCCCTTCTTTCCTTCAATCCTTCTTTCCATCTTCCTCCCTTCCTTCCCTTCTATGCATACATTCCCCCTCTCTTTCCTTCCCTCCTCCAATTCTTCTTTCCCTCCCTCCCTCCCTCCCTCCATCCACCTTCCTTCCTTCCTTCCATCCATCTTTCCATCCTCCCTCCCCCTTCCCTCCTTCCTTCTGTCCATCCATGCTTCCCTCTTCTTTCTTTCTTTCTCTCCATACTTCTTTCTTTTCTTCCATCCATCCACCCATCCCTCCTTTCCTTTCTTCCCTCTCTCCCTTCCTTCCTTCCTTCCCTCCTTCCCCTCTCTTCCCTCCCCTGCAGTCAGCCTCTACTCCTCCATCTTTGGGGTCCTGCAGCTGCTCTGCCTCCTGACGGCTCCGGTCATCGGCTACATCATGGACTGGCGGCTGAAGGACTGTGCGGCCGAAGGGGCCGAAGAGGAGGAAGAGGAGGAGGAGGAAGAGGAAGAGGAGAAGAAGGACCCACAGTAGGTGCCCCCCTCCCTCCCTCTCCCCATCTCCCTCTTTCCTCATCTCCCGATGCCAAGCCTTCCTTCCAGCCTGGAAGTGGGTCACTGTGCCGGAGGTCAGCCTGGCCTCCATCCTCCTCCTCCTCCAGAAGGGCAGGTCCCGCCCTCCACCTGCCACTCCTTGGGGCTCCCTTGTGGGAAACAACGAGCGCCTCCCTGCCTCTGGATCTAGGTCAGTGGGGCACGCCAGGAGGAGGAGGAGGAGGGCACGAGGCTGGACTAGGCATTCCCATGGGGGGGGGGGGGGATGAGAGGGGTCCCGTGACCCCATCCCCATGACCCCATCCCCATGACCCCATCCCCATGACCCCATCCCCATGACCCCATCCCCATGACCTTTCTGTCCTCAGGGCCGGGCAGAAGCCCAAGAAGGCGAAGCCCCGCCGTGACCGGCAGATCCAGAAGGTGACCAACGCCACCCGGGCCTTTGCATTCACCAACCTCCTGCTGGTGGGCTTCGGGGTCACCTGCCTCGTCCCCAACCTGCCTTTGCAGGTGAGTCTGAGTCCCGTGGGGAAGGGAATTCCCCCTTTGCCGCCAAAGGACACCATCAAAACCCTCCTAACAGGTGGCCCTGCAGCCTGTCATAGGATCCTAGAAGTGGAAGATGTTAGCAGTCTATTCTGACAGAAGAGACCCCCTTTTGCAGCTGTCAGGTGGAGATCTTGTCAGCAGCTATTGTTTTTAAGTGCAGGCCAAGGTCTTGAGGCACTGCAAGGGTCATCTAGTCCAACCCCAGTCTGTCAGGAAGGGAAAGCACCATCTCATTCCTCCTCTTGCTGCAAATTCATCCCTTTCATAGAATCATAACATTGGAAGGGGACACCCAATCTAACCGCCTTCTGCCAAGCAGATCAGGCTCAATCAAAATGCCCCTGGCAGATGGCCATTCAGCCAGAGAAGGGAGATTCCATCATTGTTATCATCATCATTATTCCAATAATAATAATAATATAGAAAATTATTGTTATATTTTTATTATTACTTATATATTATATTATTATTTATTTATAATATATTAATTATATTATTTATTTATAATATACTATATATATAGTATATTATAAATAAATAATATAATTAATATATTATAAATAAATAATATTTATTTATAATATATTAATTATAAATAATAATAATAATAACAACAATAAATTATCCGAGTCAGCTTCAGGCTGATATGAGCAGGGTAGAAATAATGCAAATAAATAAATAAATATTATTTATCATATATTTATTACATTATTTATATTACATAAATATTATTATTATAACGAAAGGCTGACACAATATGAGGGTTTAAAGATCGAGCGGCAAAGACTCTGGCACAAGCCAGTCAAGGTGATCAGCACACTGGGTGCAGTGCCTCAAGACCTTGGCCTGCACTTAAAAACAATTGGCGCTGACAAAATCTCCACCTGTCAGCTGCAAAAGGCCACCCTAATTGGATCTGCATGCATTATTCATTGATACACCACACAGTCCTAGGTGCTTGGGAAGTGTCCAATGGGGGTGCAGTGCCTTAAGATCTTGGCCTGCACTTAAAAACAATCAGTACTGACAAAATCTCCACCTGTCAGCTACAAAAGACCACCCTAATCAGATCTGCATGCATTATTCATTGATACACCACACAGTCCTAGGTGCTTGAGAAGTGTCCAGTGGGGGTGCAGTGCCTCAAGACCTTGGCCTGCACTTACAAACAATCTCCACCTGTCATCTGCAAAAGGCCACCCAACTTGGATCTGCATGCATTATTGGCCAATACATCTCACAGTCCTAGGTGCTTGGGAAGTGTCCGATGTGTGACCCAATACAACAACCAGCACAGGGATCTTGTTTGCTGTGTACGCATCTTGTTGTGTATCACATAATAATAGTTATTCCCTACTCCCTCTCCCTCAAGTGGATGATGATTATAGAATCCTAGAGTCAGCCCAACTGGGCAGGAAGGAGGGAAGGCACCACTATCTGATCCCTCCCGACAGATGATCCACCCCAAACACTGACCACCCCCCCCCCACCTTTCCTCTTTTCCCCTTTGCAGATCCTGTCCTTCATCCTGCACACGGTCGTGAGGGGCTTCATCCATTCCGCCGTGGGGGGGCTCTACGCCGCCGTGTAAGTTCCTTCCCTCGGGAATCATCCTCATCATCCTCCTGACCCAGAGCAAAAGTGCTGCTCCCTCCCCGCACAGCGTCTTGGCCCCAGATGCCCTGCAAACCTCCTCCTCCTCCTCCTCTTGTTTCCCTTGCCAAGGCCTCAATAATCTGGTCTCAACAGGCCGGACCTGATTGAGGAAGGGAACACGAGGCGTGTTTCTCACGGGATATTATTATTCATAATAAGGGTATCAATGAGCGTCTTGGCCCAGGTCCACTCTTTGGCTTGCCCAAGCGAAACCCGTTGCTCAACTGCAAGGGGAGGAGGAGGAGGAGGAGGAAGAAAGGAGAGGAGCAATAGCCGCGACGACAACAACATTCCTCCCTCGGGGCCAGGATTCCTCCCAGGCTGGGGCTCCCCTCCCTTGGTGTCCTGGGCTGACCGCTCGCCCCCTCCCCCTTGTGACCTTTCCCCCTCCCTCCGCAGCTACCCCTCCACGCAGTTTGGGAGCCTGACGGGGCTGCAGTCGCTGGTCAGCGCCCTCTTTGCCCTCCTGCAGCAGCCCCTCTTCGTGGCCATGATGGGGCCCCTCCACGGAGACCCCCTCTGGGTAAGTGAGGTAGAGGGGGCCGGGCTTGGCCAGGGAGGGAGGGAGGGGGCAAGAGACCCTCGGTCCCTGCAAAAGGGATTTATCAAGACAGGCTTTGAGTCTCTGCTTTCAGAGAGTCAAAAGCAGGATCTAATAATAATAATAATTATTATTATTATTACTATTATTATTTGCCGATACATCACACAGTCCTAGGCACTTGGGACGTGTGATCCAATACAACAGCCAGCAGAGTGTCCGCTGTGGACTCATCTTGTTGTGGTTCTAATAACAATAATAACAATAATAACAATAATAACAATAATAATAACAATAATAATAATACATCACACAGTCCTAGGCACTTGGGAAGTGTCTGACGTGTGATCCAATTCAACAACCAGCAGAGTGTCTGCTGTGGACTCATCTTGTCGTGCTTCTAATAATAATAATAATAATAATAATAATAATAATAATAATAATAGACACTTGGAAAGTGTCCGATGTGTGATCCAATTCAACAGCCAGCAGAGTGTCTGCTGTGGACTCATCACATATTTCAAATAATAATAAATTGACAAAGAAAAAACATGGCTGTGGCTCACAAATGGAACTTGGAAAAAGGAGACAAAGGAGGGCCTGATTCTGGCAGCCATTCGAACCAATTCCATCAAAGCCAGAATTGAAAAGTTGACAACAGATCCCAAATGTAGACTCTGCAAGGAAGTAGATGAAACAAGAGATCCCATCCTCAGCTGCTGCAAGAAGATTGCGCAGACAGACTCCAAGCAGAGGCACAACACCGTTGCTCAGGTGATTCATTAGAGCTTGTGCCACAAATCCCATCTGCCTGCGACAAAGATCTGGTGGGATCACAAGCTGGAAAGAGTTATAGAAAATGAACGCGTCAAGCTACTCTGGGACTTCCGGATTCAGAGAGACAGAGTTTTGAAGCACAAGACTCCTGACCTCATGATCATGTTAAAAAACAAAGTATGGATTGTCGATGTTGCAATCCCAGATGACAGCAGGATTGAAGAGAAACAACTGGAAAAGCTGACACGATATAAGGATTGCAAAGATTCTGGCACAAGCCAGTCAAGGGGGTCCCAGTGGTGATCGGCACACTGGGTGCAGTGCTTAAAGAGCTTGGCCTGCACTTAAACACAATCGGCAATGACAGAATCCTCACCGGTCAGCTGCAAAAGGCCACCTGACTGGGATCTGCACACATTATTCACCAATACATCACACAGTCCTAGACGCTTGGGAAATGTCTGACGTGTGATCCAATACAACAGCCAGCAGAGTGATCTTGTCTGCTGTGCACTCATCTTGTTATGTTTCTAATAATAATTATAATAATTATAAAGTAATCCAGATTGATTTCAAAACCAGTAAAATAATAATAATAATAATAATAATAATAATAATAATAATATCCAGATTATCTTCAGAACAAGTATAAAAGTAATATATATATATATATATATATATATATATATATATATATATAATTATTATATATATATAAGAGCCCCTGGTGATGCAGTGGGTTAAAGCGCTGAGCTGCTGAGCTTGTTGCAGATTCAATTTCAGGGAGCAGCGTGAGCTTCCGCTGTCGGCCCCAGCTTCTACTAACCTAGCAGTTTGGAAACATGCAAATGTGAGTAGATCAATAGGTACCTCTCTGGCGGGAAAGTAACGGTGCTCCATGCAGTCATGCCAGTGGCCACATGACCTTGGAGGTGTCTACGTACAACACCGGCTCTTTGGTTTAGAAATGGAGATGAGCACCAGAGTCCTAGAGTTGGACACGACTGGACTTAATGTCAGGGGAATACCTTTACCTTTACCTATATATAATATAATATAATGTATTATATAATATATAATATAATAATTTAATCTGGATTGTCTTCAGAACCAGTATAATAATATAATTAATATGATATGATATGATATAATATAATATAATATAATATAATATAATAGGTGACGGTGCTTGTTGTTGTTCTTATTATTGTTATTTATTATTATTATTATTGTTACTACTATTATTATTGGTAAGAGTCCGACATTTAGAAATGAATCCCAGACTCTTGCACCTGGTCTGCACGTATGCTGTGTTGTCATGTAATCTGTAATAACAACAATAATGGAAGGCATTCCTAATATGTAATCCTAAGGCAGAAAAGGTTGGTGTTGGTTCAGGGCTAAAGAGTTTGGGGAAGGTGAGGAAAAACAAATAACAAGGACGGTAATCCGATAGGTAAATAATACAGACAGGAATGCGAAACCAGAAGAGGGTGGTGTTTGTCCAGGGCTCCCAGGCCTCTTGTTGTTGTTTGTTTGTTTGTTTATTTATTTATTTACTTACTATATTTGTATCCCGCTCTTCCCAGCTCTTGGGCGACTCAGGGCGGTTAACGATAGCAAAATTCAATGCTCAAAAACACCATAAAACAGTTAAAAACAATTAAAACTGTAGCATAATAAACAGTCAATATAAATCAATAAAACATCTTATTAGCGTCTCATAGTTAATCATAGAATCAAAGAGTTGGAAGAGACCTCTTGGGCCTTCATCCAGTCCAACCCCATTCTGCCAAGAAGCAGGAATATTGCATTCAAATCACCCCTGACAGATGGCCATCCAGTCTCATCATCCAATTGTTCCATATTCCTATGTTCATTACACTGCCTGTTCGAATGCTTGCTCGAACAACCAGGACTTCACTTTCCTCCAAAATGTCAACAGGGAGGGTGTAGGAAGGGTGTTCCATAGCCGAGGGGCCACCACTGAGAAGGCTCTGTCTCTCGTCCCCACTAAGCATATCTGCTCGAACAACCAGGTCTTCACTTTCCTCCAAAATGTCAACAGGGAGGGTGTTCCACAGACAAGGGGCCACCACTGAGAAGGCCCTGTCTCTCGTCCCTGCCAAACGTACTTGTGACGCAGGTGGGACTGAGAGCAGGGCCTCCCCAGACGATCTTAACACCCTAGGAGGAGATGTGTTCGGACAGGTAAGTTGGGCCACAACCGTGTTGATGCAAAGGGTCTCCGGGGGGGCCGTACTGACCTTGTCCTTGTCCCCTCCTTGCCCAGGTGAACGTGGGCCTGCTGGGCCTGAGCCTGCTGGGCTTCTGCCTCCCGCTGTACCTGATCTGCTTCCGTCGGCGCCTGGAGAGGGAGAAGCGGCAGAAGGCCGAGGAGGACAAGCTCTTCTGCAAGGTCAACGGGACCCCCGACCAGGAGGCCTTCGTCTAGGGCAGCCCCCCCAAGCCGGCCCGGCGTGATGGAGATGGGTGCCGCCCCCCTGCTCTCTCTCTGACTCTCTCTTGGTGGTGGACCCCCATTTCTGCACCTCCCACTCCTTCCTCTTCCTCCACTTTGGCCTGGATCTGCGCCGGACGCAGACCGCTTCCCTCGGATGGATGCCCCCCCCCCCCCCCTTCTGCTGCACTGTGACAGGAAGTGAATGTACGGACTCTCTCTCTCTCTCTCTCTCTCTTTTTCTGGGGTGCACAAGGAAGGACGGGGGGGGGGGGKGACTGACTGACAGGTGGACTGCATGGCACGCTGCTTGCTGCACACTTTGCACATCCATCCACACACTCCACGGCTCCTCCAATCGGCGGCCCAGCAGCGCCTCCTGGCGGCGGCTCAAGGCAGGAAGCGGTGCCCACCTGCCAATCACAGTCGCCGCAGCAACCCTGGCACCGCCTCTCCTAGGCAAACAAAACAACAACAACAACGTCACCGTCCGCGCTCTTATGTGTTTCTCTTTTATACAAAAGGCAAAAGGATTCAGCCAGATTGACGTCTTGTGCTTATTGTGGTTAGGATTGGAGCCTATACTTGGAAGAGACCCTTCCCCTCCCATTGAGGCACCATTCGATCCCTCCCGACAGAGGTCCGTCCAGCCCAGGCATGGGCCAACTCCCTCCAGGTGTTTTGGACTTCAACTCCCTGTGGGAGTTGAAGTCCAAAACACCTGGAGGGAGTTAGCCCATGCCTGGCCTGGGCTGGACGGACCTCCATCAGGAAGGATCCAATGGGAGTCGGAAGTCCAAAACAACTGGAGCAAGTTGGCCCGTGCCCAGGCTGGACAGACCTCTGTTGGGAGGGATCAAATGGGAGTAAGAAGTCCAAAACACTGAACCTCTGTCAGGAGGGATCCAGTGGGAGTTGGAAGTCCAAAACGTCTGGAGGGAGCTGGCCCATGCCCAGGCTGGACGGGTCTCAGTCGGGAAGGATTAAATGGGAGTTGGAAACCCAAAACACCTGGAGGGAGTTGGCCCGGGCCCGGGCTGAACGGACCTCCCTCGGGAGGGATCGAATGGGAGTCAGAAGTCCAAAACACAACCTCTGTCAGGAGGGATCGAGTGGGAGTTGGAAGTCCAAAACACCTGGAGGGAGCTGGCCCGTGCTCAGGCTGGATGGACCTCTGTTGGGAGGGATCGAATGGGAATTGAAAGTCCAAAACACCTGGAGGGAGTTGGCCTGTGCCCGGGATGGATGGACCTCTATCGGGAGGGATGAAATGGGAGTTGGAAGTCCAAGACACCTGGGAGGACCTGGCCCATGCCTGGGCTGGACGGACCTCCGTCGGGAGGACATTCTAAAAAAAAAAAAGTTCTAAACACCTGGAGGGAGTTAGCCCCTGCCTGGGCTGGACAGACCTCCGTCGGGAGGGATCGAATGGGAGTTGGAAGTTCTAAACACCTGGAGGGAGGACATGCCATCATCATTATCAATAATTATTATTGAATGCTAGAGTTGGATGGCCATCCACTCCAGTTGCTTCCTGCCCGGCAGGGAACGAACCATCCGATCCCTCCCAACAGATGACCATCCAGCCTCTACTTACAACCCTTCAGAGAAAGAGGTGCAATGATGCCAGATGAAATGAGCCATCTTTGTTGTTGTTTATGTGTTTAGTCGCTTCCAACTCTTGGTGACTTCCTGGACTGGCCCAGGCCAGAGCTTTCTGTCAACCGTGGCCACCCCCAGCTCCTTCAATGTGGAGTCCCTTCAAGGGTGCCATCCATCCCTCTTGCCCTTGGTCGGCCCCTCTTCCTTTTTCCTTCCCTTTCCCCCAGCCTCATTGTCTTCTCCAAGCTTTCCTGCCTCCTCATGATGTGGCCAAAGTCCTTCATCTTGGCCTCTAACGTCCTTCCCTCCAGTGACCAGTTGGACATTATTTCCTGGAGGATGGACTGGTTGGATCTTCTCGAGGTCCAAGGCACTCTCAGGATTTTCCTCCAACACTACGGTTCAAGACGTGCTTCTCTTCCTTCTCTTTATTCAATCAGTCTGGTTGCCCTTTCTTCTTTCCCCTTGGTCATAAGGCTCCTCGGCTCCTCCTTGCTTTCGACATCAAGGCGGTATCATCTGCATATGTAATGTTTCCTCCAGCCATTCTAACTCCAGTCTTGGAGTCATCAAGCCCCACACGTTGCATGATGTGTTCTGCATACAAGTCGAATAGGGAGAGTGAGCATATACAGCCTTGTCGTACTCCTTTCCCAATCTGGAACCAATCGGTCGTTCTGTGGCCTGTTCCTCCTCTTGCTACTTGGTACTTACACAGATTCCTCAGGAGACAGGCAAGGTGGCTTGAACAAAATCTGGCTACCAGTATTAAAAACGCTAAAATTACAACAGCACAACAACAGAGAGGAAACAAACAAGGACATCTAATCACCTCTCAACAAAAGATTGCTCCAGGCACTGTCAGGCCATTATATGCTAATCAAGGTGGTCAGTTGAAACATTCCCACCTAGCTCCAGCAGACAAGAGTCCTTTGTCCCACCCTAGTCATTCCACAGATATATAATCCCATTTTCCTAGTTCCAAAAGACCTCACTACCTCTGAGGATGCTTGCCATAGGTGCAGGCAAAACGTCAGGAGAGAATGCCTCTAGAACATGGCCATATAGCCCGAAAAAACCTACAACAACCAAGGTGGCTTGGTCTCCCCATCCCACAAAGATCTTGCCACAATCTATGTGAATTTGAGGCCACTAGATGGCACCAGAGCATCATGAAAATTGGCATTCAGTTCTCCCTATGGATGTCCCGGTCCTCAAACACTCTCTGCTTCATTCAGAAGAACGCTGCACTTGCAGAGCTCGGGCGGTGTTGTATTTCGGTGTCAATATTGACGTTTGTGGAGAGGTGGCTGCCAAGGGAGCGGAAACGGTCAACATTTTCTAATGTGTATAATCTATATAGAATGTGTGTAATATATACACAAACATATACACCTACTTAGGCGATCCCTCTTTGTCCGAGTAGGATAGTCTTCCAGGATCAGTGTCCTGGCGGTGGGTCCGTAGGTGACCGTTGAGCCCTCTTCTTGACCTGCATCTTCTCCCACAGTGAGGGCATCGGTTTCCAGACGGAAGGCGGTCCCGGTCGGGGTTGGCTTGACGCGCCTTCCTCTTGGCACGTTTCTCTTTTTCACCCTCCACTCATGCCTCCTCAAATTCTGCAGCACTGCTGGTCACAGCTGACCTCCAGCTGGAGCGCTCAAGGGCCAGGGCTTCCCAGTTCTCAGTGTCTATGCCAGAGTTTTTGAGGTTGGCTTTGAGCCCATCTTTCAATCTCTTTTCCTGCCCACCAACGTCCCGTTTTCCATTCTTGCGTTCGGAGTAGAGCGACTGCTTTGAGAGACGGTGGTTGTGCATCCGGACAACGTGGAGTTGATGGTGGAGGACAATCACTTCAATGCTGGTGGTCTTTGCTTCTTCTTCCAGCACGCTGTCGTTTCCTTGCCTGTCTTCCCAAGAGATTTGCAAGATTTTCCGGAGGCAGTGCTGATGGAATTGTTCCAGGAGTTGCATGCGACGTCCGTAGACTGTCCACATTTCACAGGCATAGAGCAGGGTTGGGAGGGGAATGGCTTTATCAACAAGCCCCTTGGTCTCCCTACAGATGTCCCGGTCCTCAAACACTCTCTGCTTCATTTGGGGAAAAAGCTGCGCTCGCAGAGCTCAGGCGGTGTTGTATTTCAGTGTCAATGTTGACATCTGTAGACAGTCCATGTTTTGCAGGCGTAGAGCAGGGTTGGGAGGGGAATAGCTTTATCGACAAGCCCCTTGGTCTCCCTACGGATGTCCCGGTCCTCTAACACTCTCTGCTTCATTCGGAAAAAAGCTGCACTTGCAGAGCTCAGGCAGTGTTGTATTTCGATGCTGATGTTGACTTTGGTGGAGAGGTGGCTGCCAAGGGAGTGGAAATGGTCAACCATTACACCATTAAGCTGTATTTCTGGCATTGGCTGGTGCCTTTTGCTGGAAGAGCACTTTGGTTTTCTCGAAGTTCAATGACAGGCCGAGCTTCTCGTAGGCTTCTGCAAAGGTGTTAAGAGTCGCTTGTAGGTTTTCCTCTGAATGTACACAGATGACGTTGTCATCAGCATACTGGAGTTCTATAACAGAGAGACACACGTACACACACACATATATGCACACACAAACAAGACCACAAGCCTGCCTCACAGGGCAGTTCTGAAGCAGAGAACCAACAATAAAATACCAAATAGTAATGTAAGAATAAGACTAATTTGGAAGCCTTCCATGAAAAAAGAGAGGCCTCTATTCACAACATGTCCGTGTGGCAAAGGAGTAAAAAGGCCCATAACACATTTAGAAAAGCAAGAATGGCCGCCATAATAATAATAATAATAATTATTATTATTATTTAGTGGCCATAATAATAATAATACTAATAATGTAATAATAATAATAATATAATTTAGAAGCAAGCCTCTGTTCAATATGTCGGAGTGGCAAAGGCCAATGAAACATTAAGGAAGCAAGAATGGCCGCCATAATAATAATAATAATAATAATAATAATAATAATAATAATAATAATAATTTGGCAGCCATAATGATGATGATGATAATAATAATAATAATAATTTAGAAGCAAACCTCTGTTCAACATGTCAGAATGGCAAAGGCCAATGAAACATGAAGAAAGCAAGAATGGCCGCCATAATAATAATAATAATAATAATAATAATAATAATAATTTAGCAGCCATAATAATAATTATAATTATTACAACTATTACAATTTAGAAGTAAGCCTCTGTTCAATATGTCAGATTGGCAAAGGCCAATGAAACAGGAAGAAAGCAAGAATGGCTGCCATAATAATAACAATAATAATAATTTAGCAGCCATAATAATAATAATTATTATAATTATTATGACTATTACTATTTAGAAGCAAGCCTCTGTTCAATATGTCAGAGTGGCAAAGGCCAATGAAACGTTAAGAAAGCAAGAATGGCGGCCATAGCAAAAGAGGAAATGGAGAGAGATGTCCCCTCAGGCCCCATCTACACTGCAATATAATCCAGTTTCTGAATCCAGTTGATCTGCTTTCGATGATATGGCAGTGTAGAACCACCTTGCATCAACTTTGCAGTCAAGACTGAAGGGATTTCAATAACTCAGTGTGAAGACGAATGCTGGAAGTGTGTTTTGTCTGTGGAGGGGGGAAAAACACAAGGCGGCCATTTTGTGGCAATTCCCATTGGAAGAAAACCCCATTTCTGAATCTTGGATCTGCTTTGGATTCTATGGCAGTGTAGATCCATTTTGTGTTGACCTTGCAGTCAGGACCAAATAGGGATCTTAAAAAGTCAAGGTGAAGAGGAAGGCTGGAAGTGTGTGCCTTCTGTCTTGTGGTGGTGGGAAAAACACAAGGCAGCCATTTTTGTGGCAATTCCCATTGGAAGAAAACCCAGCTGCAAAATGGAGAGAGGAAGCTGTGGGAAAGACAACAACAACAACTGCAGGCCGCAAATATGATTAGAACCATGTTGTTAATTGTTATTAAATGAGAAACTAGCCCCCCCCCAAAATAGTGAATGAATGGGCTCTTGGTTTTTGTTAGCAGCCATCTTCCTTCCTTCTTCCCCTCAGGCCGCCATTTTGAATTCGCCTCAGGCAAAGAATGTATTTCTAACCATAGTTTTGAGAGGGAAATCCTACTCCTTTTATATTAATTAGCAATTTCGAAAGACTATTAAAATAAAATAATGATTATGATGAAATGAGAAGGTAGCCCCCCAAAATAGCAGACGAATGGGCTCTTGGTTTTGTTAGCAGCCATCTTCCTTCCTTCTTCCCCTCAGGCTGCCATTTTGAATTTCTAATGTATTTCTAACCATAGTTTTGAGAGGGAAATCCCGCTCCCCTTATATTAATTAGCAATTTCGAAACATTATTAAAATAAAATAATGATGAAATGAGAAGGCAGCCCCCCAAAATAGTGGATGAATGGGCTCTTGGTTTCATTGGCGGCCATCTTCCTTCCTTCTTTCCCTCAGGCCGCCATTTTGAATTTCTAATGTATTTGTAACCATCGTTTTGAGAGGGAAATCCCGCTCCTCTTATACTAATTTGCACTTTTGAAAGACTATTAAAATAAAATGATGATGATGATGAAATTAGAAGGTAGCCCCCCAAAATAGTGGACGAATGGGCTCTTGGTTTCGTTGGCGGCCATCTTCCTTCCTTCTTCACCTCAGGCCGCCATCTTGAATTCGCCTCAGGCAAAGAATGTATTTCTAACCATAGTTTTGAGAGGGAAATCCCACTCCTCTTATATTAATTAGCAATTTTGAAAGACTATTAAAATAAAATAATAATGATGAAATGAGAAGGCAGCCCCCAAAATAGCGGACGAATGGGCTCTTGGTTTCGTTGGCGGCCATCTTCCTCTCAGGCTGCCATTTTCTAACCATAAGTTTTGAGAGCGAAATCCTGCTCCTCTTATATTAATTTGCACTTCCAAAAGACTATTGAAATAAAATAATGATGATGATGATGAAATGAGAAGGCAGCCCCCCAAAATAGCGGATGAATGGGTCTTGGTTTCGTTGGCGGCCATCTTCCTTCCTTCTTCCCCTCAGGCCACCATTTTGAATTTCTAATGTATTTCTCACCATAGTTTTGAGAGCGAAATCCCACTCCTCGTATATTAATTTGCACTTTTGAAAGCTTATTAAAATGATGATGATTTGTATTAATTTTCATTAATTTCAAAGGATTTGGTCACTTTTTTTTGTCCTTTTGCTTCAAGGTCATTTTCCCGCCTTTTTTTCCTGAGGGAAGTGAAAACATTTGAAGTGAAAACATTGAGGAAATAAATAAGAATTAAAGTACTTCTTCTCAGGCTATATAAGAGCACACAAAGGATCTGTATCATTGCTATATATAATATAATATAATATAATATAATATAATATAATATATATTCATTCTTTTTGTGTGCAGAGTATTTCCTGAAACCATGAAGAGAAATTTCCCTGAGAATTCGAGCCGGACCACAGCAGGTTATTCTCATCATATTATTAAATCGTTATTTCCACCCATGTTGAGTAAGTTTGGTCTGGATGCCTCATGGGCAGTTGTAGGGTGAACTACAACTCCCACTATGGTGACTCCGTCCCCTCAAACCCCTCCAGTAGGTTGACTCAGTCATGAGGGATCTGTGTGCCAAGTTTGGTCAAGGTCCATCATTGATGGGGGTCACAATTTCCTCTGGTTGTGGGTGAACTACAACTCCCAGAAAGGAAGTCAGTTCCCCACAAACCCCTCCAGTAATCACATTTTGGCGTATCAGGTCTGTGTGCCAAGTTTGGTCCAGATCCATCGGTGTTTGGGTTCACGCTATTCCCTGGATGTAGGTGAACTACAACTCCCACTATGGTGAGTCTGTCCCCTCAAACTCCTCCAATACGTTGAGTTGGTCATTGGGGTGTCTATGTGCCAAGTGTGGTCCAGGCCCATCATCGGTTTCCTCTGGTTATGGGTGAACTACAACTCCCAGAAAAGGAAGGTCAGTTCCCACCCAAACCCCTCCAGTAATCACATTTCGGTGTATCAGGTCTGTGCGCCAAGTTTGATCCAGATCCATCAGTGTTTGGGTTCACACTATTCCCTGGATGTAGGTGAACTACAACTCCCTCATATCAAGGTGAATTTTCCCCAAGGACATCCAGTATTTTTTGCCAGTCATTGGTCCAATTCCATCTTTGCCGAGTCTGATTCAATTCCATCTTTGGTGGAGTTCAGGGTGCTCATGGATTGCAGGTGAACTGTAAATCCCAATACCTACAACTCCAAGATGTCCAGACCAGTTCTCCCCAAAACCCACCAGTATTCAGATTTGAGCATATTGGGTATCCACGCCATCGTTGTTTGGGTTCATAGTACGCTCTGGATGGAGGTGAACTACAACTCCTCTAAATCCCGCCAAATACCTCCAGTATGGTTTGGTGTTCACGGGGCCTCTGTGTGCCAAGTTTGGTCCAATTCCATCTTTGGTGGAGTTCAGGGTGCTCAAGGATTGCAGGTGAACTATAAATCCCAGTACCCACAACTCCAAAATGTCCAGGCCAATTCTCCCCAAAACCCACCAGTATTCAAATTTGGGCATATTGGGTATCCACGCCAAGCTTGGTCCAGATCCATCCTTGTTTGGGTTCATAGTGCGCTCTGGATGTAGGTGAACTACAACTCCCATAAATCCCTCCAAACGCCTCCAGTATGTTTTGCTGGTCACGGGGCCTCTGTGTGCCAAGTTTGGTCCAATTCCATCTTTGGTGGAGTTCAGGGTGCTCACGGATTGCAGGTGAACTATAAATCCCAGTACCCACAACTCCAAAATGTCCAGACCAATTCCCCTCCAAACCCACCAGTATTCAAATTTGGGCATATTGGGTATGCATGCCAAGTTTCGTCCAGATCTATCCTTGTTTGGGTTCATAGTGCATTCTGGATGTAGGTGAACTACAACTCCCATAAATCCTTCCAAACGCTTCCAGTATGTTTTGCTAGTCATAGGGCTTCTGTGTGCCAAGTTAGTTCCAGGTCCATCGTTGGTGGAGTTCAGAGTGCAATATAACACAAAATAATAACAATATGAAATACTAACAATAATAATATCCTATAATAATACAGCAACATAATAAAATAATAATAATATAAAATACTAATAACAACAATAATACTAACAATAACATATAATAACAATAATAGCAATATAAAATAATAACAATAATATACTATAATAATATAACAACATAATAAAATAATATAACAAAATAATACTAATCATATAAAATATGAATAATAATACTGACAATACAAATTAATAATAATATAAATTAACAATTACTATATAAAATAATTATAACATTATAAATAATAACATTAATAATAACACTATAGTAATATGACAATGTAAAAATAGTAATAAAATAATATAATAGCAAAATAACAATATACTAATAATAGAAAATACTAATAACAATAATAGTAATAATAATGTAAAGTAATAATACACTATAATAATATAATAACAACAAAATAAAAACAATAATACAACTAATATAAAATGCTAATAACAAAAACAACAACATAATAACATAAAATAATAATATATTACAATATAATAACATATTTTATTATAATGATATAATAGAATAATAGAATAAGAACATTATAAAAGGTATAATATGTTATTATATTAATATAGTAATAATACCAATAATATGAAATGCTAATAACAAAAATAATATAAAATAACAGTAATAATATTATAATATAATAACATAATATTGTTATATTGCAATATAATAACAACATAATAAAATGAAAATAATAATAATATATTATTATCATTAATACATAATCGCGACAACAACAGCATAATATAATAATATTCCCAGATACTTGGACCTCATCTGCATTTGTGCCATGTTGTTGCTGTGTCAAGGAGATAGGGTGGCCTATAAATAATGTATTATTATTATTATTATTATTATTATTATTATTATTATTATTATTATTAGAAACACAACAAGATGAGTCCACAGCAGACAAGATCACTCTGTTGGCTGTTGTATTGGATCACACGTCGGACACTTCCCAAGTGTCTAGGACTATTATTATTATTATTATTATTATTATTATTATTATTATTATTATTTGAAACACAACAAGATTAGTGCACAGTAAACAAGATTGCTTCCCAAGTGTCTAGGACTGTGTGATGTACCGGCAAATAATGCGTGCAGATCCCAGTAGGGTGGCCTTTTGCAGCTGGCAGGTGGGGATTTTGTCATTAAGTCCAGGCCAAGGTCTTTAGGCACTGCACCCAGTGTGCCGATCGCCACTGGGTTTGCAGTTCAATCTTTAAATCCTCGTATCATGTCATCTTTTCCAGTTGTTTCTCTTCAATCCTGCTCTTGCCTGGGATTATTATTATTATATACAAATAAATCTATAATAACAATGATTATACAAATGGCATGCTGATTGGTCGACTAACCATCTCTTTGATGCTTCAACTCCCACCTTTAGGCTGCCTTCCTGTCCCGTTGTTCAACCAGAGAAAAAGGTCCCGGCAGCCGCTCACATCCAACCCACTTCAAAACGAGCTCGGTTCCAACAACAATGCCGATAATTTCGATTTTTCCGCCATGCTGGCAGGTAAGCCGAGGGAGCGGTTGGCCAGTTCCAACAATCTTGGCTTCTCTTCCTTTTATTTCCAAGGAAGATACTCTTCTAAAAGGGAATTCTGCCTCTGGCGGGCCTTCCCTTCCTTGTCTTCTTTAATTAAGGGGAAGGGGTTGAATGCCAAGCCGTCTCGAATCTATGCAAAACCCTGCCAGCATTAATTATCGTAACAATAATTAGTCTCATTCATTCCAGTCAATGGGTTGGCGGGGGGAGAGGATAAACCGCCCCGATTTGGCTGCCTCAAAGGTAAACTCTTTGGGTTGCATTCCATGGCCAACTTCCCCAGAAACAGGAAAGCAATGGGTTGTAAACAACGAAGGTAAACATTGCTTACAACCCATTGTTTGCAACAACAACCCTTTGTCATTGTTTATAAACAACGACAAAGATGTTAGCCATGTTCAGAGGCGGCGATATCATTTCAGTTTCAGCGGTTGTCGGTTTCGTATCCTTCACATGAACAATATCTGAGCTGACTTTGAAATGTTGCAAGTGGTAGCGCTAGCAGAAAAATCACGGAAGCACTGAATGATGGACTCTGGAGTCACTGGTAAAAAGCAGGTTTCAGCTTGACTTGAGCAGTTCATAAATCCAACACACACCATCAGCGAACAGACGCGAAGAACACAAAACGAAAGAGAGAGGCACTAAAGACAAACTGCAGCTGGAAAGGAGTTCTCTCGGACACTCCCTAATTCTTCACACAGCAAGGACTCAGGGTCACATTCTCACAGCTCTTTTGTGTAAACATACATTCTGGCAATACCATTCTATTACAGTCTATCACATAAAATTGCATTTAAACATACATCATACATAAATTATACACTGACAGCAAGGAAATAGGAGGAAACGACAACACAAATCGGAGGAAAAGGTGACTGAGACGGATTGTATCATTGTGTTGCCGTTGTGTGCTTTCGAGATGCAAAATATCTTATCCTCATGATCCCACGGTTTTGATAAACCTTTCCTTTTGTCCATTTGACTTTGATAAAGATTTTGGATGGGAAAGCACCAAGCCGGAACCGACTCCGTTGCAGAAAACCACAAGGTATGCATAATCACGCCTGCACCTTTGCTTAAAGTTATACATGTTTTCCAACCCTCTTGTTTCCCCGTTCCCCAACACAAAATCTTTGAAGGCTAACATCTCCTCCTCTCCCGTCTTCTCTCTTAAAGATGTGAAAATGCCCCAAAGTCGAGTGCGTCACAGGCAGGGCGGAACTGGAGGTAAGTCGGGCTGACAAAAAATAGGCTTCTATATGTATTGTTATATTTATATTTATTGTTATATTTATTATAATATTTTATTATTGTAATATTTATTATACTATTTAATGTTATTGTTATATTTATATTTTATATTTATTGTCATTTATTACTATATTTATTTTTAATGTTATATTTATCATATTATTGTAATATTTATTATTGTAATTATTTTATCATCGTTGTTATTTTAATATAATATTTGTTATTGTTATATTTATATTTATTATTATTGTAATTTATTATTATTATATTTATTAGTGTTGTATTTATTATATTTTATTATAACTGTAATATTTATTTTATTGTTATATTTAATATAATATTTAATTATTGTTATTATTATAATATTTATATTTATTATTGTAATTTATTATTATATTTATTATTGTTATATTTATCATATTGTATTATTGTGGCGCAGCTGGCTGAGTGTCAGCTGCATTAAGATCACTCTGACCAAAAGGTCATGAGTTCGAAGCCAGCCCGGGCTGGAGTGGGTGTCCAGCCATTGTGTAGCCCGTTGTCGACCTTTGCAACCCGAAAGACAGTTGCATCTGTCAAGTAGGAAAATAAGGCACCACCTTGTGTGGGAGGCTAAATTTAACTAATTTATGAGGCCATAAAGAAAGAAGACTCCGGGGAATGTGGAATGCGGAAGAACTTCATCCGTGTCGTTGATGGACGATGAAAAGCAGCAGCTCCCCTGGCGGCCAGAAAAAAAGTTAAATAGCCTTTGTCTGTTAAATGTTGTTTGTCAAACTGGCATTGAATGTTTGCCATATATGTGTTTACTGTAATCCGGCCTGAGTCCCCTGCGGGGTGAGAAGGGCGGAATATAAGAACTGTAAATAAATAAATAAATAAATAAATAAATATTATTATATTTATTATTGTTATATTTATCATATTTTATTATTATTATATTTATTATATGTATTATACTATTTATTGTTATATTTATTATATTTGTGTTGTTGTAATGATAATATTTATTATTATATTTATGTTATTGGTATAAGTATTTTAATATTTATTATTATTATAATTGCAATATTTATTATTATTATTATTATTATTATTATGCACCCCACAATCTAAAGTTAGCCAGTTCTATATGTGTACATAGACTTGTAGGTTTCAATAATGAAGCCCTATGAATTATTTCAATGCAGGCCGGAGGAGAACAGCTCCAGCGCAAACTTTTGGAAACGGAGCGACTTTTCTCCGGCTTTTGGGAGAGGAACAGAAAGCAGGCAGAGTTCGTGGCCCGAGACCAAGTCAGGTTGCTGGAAGGGAAGTGGACCAAAACAGCTCAAGCTGGCTGGGAATCCCAAGGCTTTGCCCCAAAGCAGCAACAAGGCAGGACCGGTGGCCAAAAGTGGTTCGTCCGCATCCTCCGTGCCGAGAGGTGCACCGTACTCCTTTAAGCCCAACCCTTGCCGACAGGAAGCAATTGAGAAAACAGACAAGCCCATGCTTCCAGATGACAACACTGCGCAGGTACAATATATGCGAAACATATAATTACTCCATCCCCTGAACCTTAAAAACTACAGGTGTGCTGTCGCATGCTAGGCCTATAGCAATGGGCTTTTGAACAGGACGTGCTCTTTGTGCCCAGTGGGAAGCCGAGGTGCCTTGGCTGAGAGGCTCTAAGGATTTTCCTATACAAAAGGTCTTTAGGAGCTTAAAAAGTTTAACAAAGTTCTTTATTATTGCTTAGGTCTTCAACAAACAATCAAATACTTTTTAGATCTTCAACAAGTCAAACAAATGCTTCTTATCTTGCCCACAAAGGAGAGACAACTGGCTCCGTGAACTGTTTCTTTTCTTTAAGAGGAAAAACCTTTTAACCACTCCCTGGGGCAATCTGTTTTCTAGGCTCTGCTGGTGTGGGCCCTACTCCCAGCTCCAATTGCTTCTGGTTACCCAAGTAGACCTACCAGCCAAGACTTTGTAGATTTTCCAACTGGAGTCCTTTTGGATTTTCTCCACGAATGGTGTGGATCTGTATCTTTAACCCCAACAAGGGTTGTGCTGTCAAACTGTTTTCCTTAGAAGCTGTAGGGTGTTGTGAGAAACGAAGCTTCTCTACAGGTGGGGAAAGCTCACGTCCTGTACCTGGGCTTCCAAAACTGTAAAGCTGCCTGAAGTCTTTCTTTTCCCTCCCAGAGCCCTGGGGAAAGGGGCGGAACCAAAAACTTAACGATGATTGATGGGTCATTGGCCCTATAATTGCAAACCAAAGGAAGCCACCTTATTGCAAAGTGCATGGAACTTTGGAATACATGCAAACACTCAAAGAAAGAAAAGGAAGTTGGAGCTCCTGGTACAGCCGTACCAGCACAACAGGCCAGGATTTAACCTTCCTTTTTTGGGCAAAGTCATTGAGAAGGGTGCTCTCATGACTTTCTCATGGCTGAAAACATACCTTGGGAAAACACATCATACATAATATTATAATATTATTATTTATTATATTTATAATCTATGTATATAATATAAGTCTGTGTTTGTATGCGGAGGGATTGGCTGCCACTTTCACAGGCCACTGTGACCAGCATGTGTGACAGACTTCTACCACACTTGGGACAGATAACCCCCATGACCTCCTTTATGTCCTGGTGTAGCTTGGGGGAGGACAGACAAAGGATGATGGGATTTGTAGTACTTTTAAACCCATCGGTTCCCAAAGACCACTATGGCCTCCAACAAAGACTGATAAAGACCAAACTTGGCATACAGAGCCCCCATGACCCACTCTACATCCTACTGCAGTTTGGAGGAGGGCAGACCATGGATGATGGGACTTCAAGTACCTCCACTCACTTACCGAGACCACTACAACTCTTATCCAATGACTGATCAAGACCAAATTTGGCACACATAACCCCCATGACCCCCTTTACATCCCGGTGGGGTTTGGGGGAGGACTGACAATTGATAATGGGATTTGTAGTACTTTCAAACCCTTCGGTTCCCACAGACCACTGTGGCCCCCAACAAAAACTGATAAAAACTAAACTTGGCACACAGAGCCCCCATGACCTACTCTATATCCTAATGCAGTTTGGAGGAGGGCAGGCCATGGATGATGGGATTTGAAGTACCCCCCACTCACTTCACTAGATCGCTGTGACCCTCATCCAATGACTGGTCAAGACCAAATTTGGCACATAGAGCCCCCATGACCCACTCTACATCCTGGGGCAGTTTGGAGGACAATGGATGGGACTTGAAGTACCTTCACTCATTTCCTGTGACCACAGCGACACTCATCCAATTGCCAATAAAGACCAAACTTGGCACAGGAGAGCTGCCATGGCCAACTCAACATACTGGTGCAGTTTGGGGGAACACGGACTACAGATGATGGGACTTGCAGTACCTTCACTTACTTTCTGAGACCACTGTGACCCTCATCCAATGGCTGGTCAATGCTGAACTTGGCACACAGAGTCCCCATGACCCACTCTACATCCTGGTGCAGTTTGGGGGAGGACGGACCATGGACGATGGGACTCACAATACCTTCACTAACTTCCTGAGACCACTGCAAGCCATATAAATAACTGATAAAGACCACCCTTGATACACAATGCCTTTCTCAAATAACCTGGGCAGCCCCAGGTCCCCAAGCTAGTAAATAAATATTAACAACATCAACTTAGGTTAAAGTGCCAAAGACCAATATGGCAACCAGACAATCAACCTTACATTCCCCTATTTGCAGATTCCAAGCATTATTTTTTGACCATGACATAAAGGTATCGACTCTGCCCGGATCCGTGCTGACCTTTTCCTTGGTCTCTTTGTGACAGAAAGGGCCGGGGCCTTACGCCAAGCTGAAAGAAAAAGGCACCTCTCTGAGAATCCTCTCTGCCGTCATCGAAAGTATGAAGCACTGGAGCCAGTTTGCTGAAAAAACCCCACTGCTCTTTGAGGTTTTGGGTGAGTACAACTGCATTCCCGTTCGTGTTTGCCGTAACACTGCGGAATACAAATGCTATCGCCCCAAAAGAAGACAATGTTTGCCAGTAATATTTCAGCTCAAGGTCCTGTCGGTGTCGAAACAAAGGCATACCTTTCTCTGCATTTGTTATGTGAGATTTTAAACCAAACCTAGCCGATTCCTTCAAGGGCTTGAACTCAAATTTATCCTAGTTATTTAATTATTTATTTATCATGTTGATATCGAGCTCCTTTAGGGGGCCCCTCTAGGGAGGAGAGCCCAAGGACCGCACCAAAGAGGGTCCCGGATACCTTGGTGAGATTTTTCCGGAAGCCAATCCAAGAGCGCCAAAAATAATTAAAATCAAATAAGCTCACCAGAGGCGAAAGGAGTCCAGCGACCGAGGCATTTATTTGCGATTCAGCTGAATGGATGTGTTACAGGAATCATTCCACTGCAAGCATGCAGTACAGAGATTTTCAGGCATTTTTATACAGTTTTGAACAAAAGAAAGCAGTTTGAAAATCCCGCCCGCCCCCCTATCGACCGGCTTCGCGCTGATTGGCTGAGGCTGGAACAGCTGGGAGGAGGTTATCCCGCCCTCCCCCGTCAAGAGCCAATGGGAGCGCACTCTCGCCTCGGGAGGGCCAATGGGCGCCCTCCGCTCGCTTCCTGGGTCCTGGCCAATCAGGAGCGAGGAGGCGGGACAGCCGCGGACAATGGGGGAAAGATGATGGGATTTGGGATTTCCTGCCCGCTGGAATGCGGGCCATTGTCCAAGGCGGGAAGAGGGTGATGTTTGGCAAACAAAGGGCTTTCCTGTTCTTGATGAGTCTGGCAAGGAATTTGAATAGCTGGATCGATACCGGACCGCCCGGGGGATCAACAGTATCTGGGTGATTTGATCAGTTCTTTCTTTCCAGGGCTCTGCTGACCCTTCCCTCCTTCGTTGGCCTTGCTCCGATGACGAAATCGGGGGGCCAGCAGCATTGTCTATGCAAGATGGGTCAATCAAAGGGTGATTTAGGGAAAAGAGGCTTGGGCTCTTTCCCCAGGCAGTTCCTGGTCACGCCGGTTTTATGGGGTAAGGGGTCAAGGAGGTGAAGATACAGGAGATTTCATAGGGATACATATTTCATAGTCATAAACCATAGGCATCACTAATATACAGGCATTTCATAATATCACAACCCACCACCCGTCCCATCCCAGTCCATCATAGTAAGAAAATATTTCATTTATTTCATAAAGAAGAAAACTAGAAGTCCCAAAAGTCCGGACGGAGGGGTTTGGATGCAGGGGCCAGCCCATGGATCAGGCTGGCCATCAGAAGATCAGTTCATTTTTTTAAACAGGAGCTGGAGCTGAAGGGGGAGCTATGTTCCACTGTCCTGCCCTTGGCGGAACTAGCGCTCCCAACCGGGGATCGGGCCCCCCTGCCCGGTCCCCACTTCCAAGGCTTCCCCTTGGGCAATCGTGGTGGATCGCAGGCGGCGGGAACCATGCTGGAGCGAGCAGCGGCGAGCGGAATGAAGCAAGCGGCAAAAGCTGGCGAAATTTTGACAATCAGCTGGTGACTCGGCCGAATTTAATGATTAAACAAAAACAATTATTTCACGAGTGCAGGAGTCCAAAGTGAGAAAACCAAGATAGCAGTTAGTCTTAGAAGTTAATGTAGAAAAATATAAAATTTGAACGGGCCCGATCCGCCATGTTGTTGTTTTGGCGGATAAGGGGGGCCAATAGGAAAATCTCCGTATCCGCGATTTGAACTAACGCAAATTCGGAGGCCTGGGGAGGCCAGGAAGGCATCCCCAGTGAGCTCACGGTTCCCCGGAGCTCAGAAAAAGGTTTATTGTGAGTTAGAAAAGTTGCAGTCAGTAAAAGGACACAAAGTATCAAGCGGAAAGGATTTAAAGTTTCAAAACTTAAGTGTTTTATTGAGGGATTTGTTACAAAGAGAGGGAGAGGGGAAAGTGAGAGAAAAGCTTCATGCAGTCCTTTGCCTTGAGCTGCTGGCTGGGGCACATTCCATCAGTCGGACCCAACTTGGCTCTCCGGAACTGCGGAACTCCCTGCTGCGGTTTCAAACCAACTTGAAGGCGGGAGTTTCCGCTGTTTGGGGAGCCATCAATGTCAGTATGAACCAGACAATTGTATTACATTTTTAACAAAATTTTAACAAGCAGACAAAACACAGAATTTGCAAGCTTGATAGTTGATTAAATGTCCTCTGACCAGTCTCTGGCCCCTTGGAGTGCCTATGGTGTTGATGTAAGAAGGTCCTCCCTTGTGCATGTGGCAGGGCTCAGGTTGCATTGCAGCAGGTGGTCAGTGGTTGGCTCTCCTCTGCACTCGCATGTTGTGGACTCCACTTTGTGGCCCCATTTCTTGAGGTTGGCTCTGCATCTTGTGGTGACCGAGCTCAGTCTGTTCAGCGCCTTCCAAGTCGCCCAGTCTTCTTCTGTGTGCCCGGGGGGGGGGGGGGGGCTCTCATTTGGTATCAGCCATGGATTGAGGTTCTGGGTTTGAGCCTGCCACTTTTGGACTCTCGCTTGCTGAGGTGTTCCAGCGAGTGTCTCTGTAGATCTTAGAAAACTATGTCTTGATTTAAGTCGTTGATGTGCTGGCTGATACCCAAACAGGGGATGAGCTGGAGATTTCTCTGCCTTGGTCCTTTCACTATTGGCTGCTACTTCCCAGCGGATGTCAGGTGCTGCAATACCGGCTAAGTAGTGTAATTTCCACAGTGGTGTAGGGCGCAAACACCCCATCATAATACGGCATATCTCATTAAGAGCCACATCCACTGTTTTAGCGTGGTGAGATGTGTTCCACACTGGGCATGCGTACTCAGCAGCAGAGTAGCATAGCACAAGGGCAGATGTCTTCACTGTGTCTGGTTGTGATCCCCAGGTTGTGCCAGTCAGCTTTCATATGATATTGTTTCTAGCACCCACTTTTTGCTTGGTGTTCAACTAGCCCAAACTGGTTTGGACATTGCCCCTAAACACATATCGATCTTACAACTTTTTTAAAAAGCCAAATATTAAAATATTTCTTGAATGTGTGTGGTACTTACAGTCTCATAGAAGACGCATGGCTTTTGTTTTTGTAAGGCAAAGAGAACCTTCCAGATGTTCCCTGGTAAGACCAAATGAATCCTATTTTGCCTCCCTCCTCTTGGTCTCGCCTGCTTCACATGTGCAATTGGTAGGGATGAGACAGGGCTTTCTTTAGTGGTGGCCCCTCTGCTGTAGAACTCTCCCTCCCTAGCGAGGTTATGCCATAGATGTGGGCAAAATGTCAGGAGATAATGCTTCTGGAACATTACCAGACAGCCTGGAAAACTCACAGCAACCCAGTGATTCTGGCCATGAAAGTGATGAATCCTAGAATCCTAGAGTTGGAAGAGACCTCCTGGGCCATCACCCAGTCCAACCCCATTCTGCCAAGAAGCAGGAATATTGCATTCAAAGCACCCCTGATAGATGGCCATCCAGCCTCTGCTTCAAAGCTTCCAAAGAAGGAGCCTCCTCCACACTCCCTCCGGGGCAGAGAGTTCCACTGCTGAACGGCTCTCATGGTCAGGAAGTTCTTCCTCATGTTCAAATGGAATCTCCTCTCTTGTAGTTTGAAGCCATTGTTCCATTGCGTCCTCGTCTCCAGGGAAGCAGAAAGGAAGCTTGCTCCCTCCTCCCTGTGACTTCTCTTCCCATATTTATACATAGCTATAATATCTCCTCTCAGCCTTCTCTTCTTCAGGCTAAACATGCCCAGCTCCTTAAGCCACCTCATAGGGCTTGTTCTCCAGACCCTTGATCATTTGAGTCGCCCTCTTTCTCTGGACACATTCCAGCTTAGAGTCAATATCTCTCTTGAATTGTGGTGCCCAGAATGGGACACAATATTCCAGGTGTGGTCTAACCAAAGCAGATATGAGGAGATATTGGAAAAATAGATATTGGTAAAAATAGATATTTATTTATGTATAAATTGTATGTACTTTACAAGCACTGAAATGTATAGAAAAATCAAGTTCTCTCTGTATAGAAAGAATGCTAAAAGGACAAGCAAGCTGCTGTCCAGGCACAGCAAGAGGGGGGCATGTTATCTATACATTCCAAGAGAGAGATAAGCCACAGACAGGTACAACTAGGCTCTAAGTAAGGAGCCCACCTCTCAAAGTTATGCCCCTTGACTGAGGGATGTAAGCTGCTCCTAGAAATACACAGAGACATGCCTTTTGCATGTTGGAAAATAGAACTTGATATTTCTGTGATGCTAAGGTGACATAGTGAATGATGTAAACGTATGTATGTATGTTTGAGAATGCAAACTAGCCCCAATGGTGCGCACTTTCGCCCCATGTCCTTGTTCCGTAGCTACAATTTGCAGGATCCCATTCCCTTGTTCTTGTGTACAGTTGGCCCTATTTACCTGTCCGAACAGATTCTCTCCTATGAACCATCAAGGTTATTGGGATCTTCGGGGGGGGGGGGGGGCTGCTCTCGGTCCCACCGCCTTCGCAGTTGCGTTTGATGGGGACAGGGGATGGGCCTTTTCGGTGGTGGCCCCTCGGCTTTGGAGCTCCCTCCCGATGGAGATTAGACCTGCCTCCTCCCTCCTGGCGTTTAGAAAGCTGGTAAAAACATGGCTTTGGGATACTGCATTCGCAGATTGATGAGTGAGTCAATAACTGTTGACCTTTCTGGCGGATGGCAATGAATTTGTGATACTTTTGGATGAACTGATTTCTGCTGTAACCTGTATGAATTGTATAACTGTATTTTCATGTTTTTATACTGATGATTTATAATGCTTTTTCTTATTGTATTGAATCTTATGTTGTCAGCCGGCCTGAGTCCCTCCTCGGAGGTTGAGAAAACCGGGGTATAAAAACTCCAAATAAAATAAATAATAATAAATATGTAGAAACATGTTCTTTGTTTGCCTGAAGTTGTAGAGGTATAAAGGCACAGTCAACGCCTCTATCGGGGCTCTGGATGCTTTTGGACACAGTCCACTCCAGGGTCCCAGCTGGAAATAAATCCGTGCTTTTGAGACCTCCCGAACTCTCTTTGTCTCTTTTCCTGAAACCTTCTCCCCGTCATTTTAAAAGCTTTTGGCAACATATTTTTATGTACTTATTTATTTCTGTCCCATACAGGTGTCCTGGATTCTGCGGTTACCCCTGGGCCATATGGTGCAAAGAATTTCCTTTTGCGTGATGGGAAGGAGAGCGTGCCGTGCGTCTTCTATGAAATTGTAAGTACCGCACACATTCAAGAAGAAGTATTCTGATATTTGGCTTTTTTAAAAGGTTGTAAGATCGATGTGTGTTTAGGGGCAATGTCCAAACCAGTTTGGGCTGGTTGATTTTATTCCTGGCCTGTTTGGCTTCATGAAGAGAGAGAGAGAGAGAGAGAGAGAGAGAGAGAAAGAGAGCAAGAGAGGGAGGGAGGCTGGAATGAGGACAGGATGAAGAAATTGATGCTTGCCTCTTCACTTTATGTTTCCTCGCCACAACTTTGTGCATGGGCAAACTTTGGCCCTCTAGGTGTTTTGGACTTCAACTCCCATCATTCCTAACAGCCTCAGGCCCCTTCCTTTCCCCCCTCAGCCGCTTAAGCTTAAGCGGCTGAGGGGGAAAAGGAAAGGGCCTGAGGCTGTTAGGAATGATGGGAGTTGAAGTCCAAAACACCTGGAGGGACGGCCCAAGTGTTGTGTGTCATCAGCAAACTTTCCTATTGCATAAAAATTCCCCGCACAACCTTTTCATACAAAATGATCTCTTGCAATGATTGAGCCTTTGAGTCGATTTCGAGTGCCTCCTCCTCCGACATCAGGATCGGGACCTCCCGAGGCTGATCCGGGGCCGGGTCCACCGCTGCATGGGGAACTACGACGCCAAGAGGAAGCTCCTGCGCTGCGTCTCGGTGCGCCCGGCCACCGCGGACGAGGAGCACACTTTCCAGGACTTTGTCCATGCCGCGGACCTCGAGATGGGCAAATACGAGAAAATGAGCCGCGAAGTGTAGGCGGCTCAAACGCCCGAAGTTGTTCCAGCAACACGAATTGAAACGACCACCCAAGACTTCCTGTTAGCATCCTTGTTATGTGCTACCTTAAAAATAAACTAATCTTGTTTCTGTTAGTATATAAATAAATAAAAAGTAATGTTCGTTTGTGGGATTAACATAACTCAAAAATCATTGGATGAATTGACACCAAATTTGGACACAAGACATAGATCAGGCCAATGAGTGACCATCACTCCTAAAAACACTGAAAAGCACTGTGGAAGGGACTTCAAAAGCCAAAAAAAGGATGCTACAGCGCATGCGCAAAAACGACTACCCCTGGCAAACAAAATTGACAAAAGCATATCCACATACTCTTCTGGACTACAGCTCCCAGCACCCCCTAGACTACGGCCTTTAGGAGAGGAGTTGGTTTGGGTCGCAGTAGTCTCAGGAAGTGAGTGAAGGCACTGCAAGTCCCATTGTCCATGGTCCGTCATCCCACAAAAACGTAGAGTGGGTCATGAAGGCTCCATGTGCCAAGTTTAGTCCTGATCCGTCATTAGTTTGGGTAACAGTGGTCTCAGGAAGTGAGTGATAATACTGCAAGTCCCATCGCCCATGGTCCATCATCCCACAAAAACGTAGAGTGTCATGGAGGCTCCGTGTGCCAAGTTTAGTCCTGGTGCGTCATTGGTTTGGGTCACAGTGGTCTCAGGAAGTGAGTGAAGGTACTGCAAGTCCCATCGTCCATGGTCCTTCATCCCACAAAAATATAGAGTGGGTCATGGAGGCTCTGTGTGCCAAGTTTAGTCCTGGTGCGTCATTGGTTTGGGTCACAGTGGTCTCAGGAAGTGAGTGAAGGTACTGCAAGTCCCATCGTCCATGCTCCATCCTCCTTGAAACTGCACCAGGATGTGGAGTGGATCATGGGGGCATCAAATACAAGATGGCCACCGGTGTGCAAGCCCCCCCCCCCCCCGATACGACACAAAACAGCGAGAGCAAAACTCGGTCCAGAGCAAGGAATTGCTTTATTATAACACAGTTGTCGGCAAGTCATCAAAGTCACACTTCAAACCATGGAAAGCGTTTCCTTCCACAAGTCAAATACGAGGGACGTTGTCTAAAAAAAGGGGCCACTTTGACAAAAATACAGGGGAAAGACACAGTCATGGAAAACACAACTTTTTTTTGTTACATGTAAAATCTTGATATAGATTTTTTAAATATATATATATATAGTTTTAGACTATAAGTTGGACCTGAATCGGTCGTTCGTGCCGCCTTTCTCAGAAGAAGGGCGAGGGAGCGTTTCCCGTCAAATCCGCGAATAATCAAATCCGCAGAAGTCGGAAACGCAAATGCGGAGGAGGGACGAGAGCATGGCGAATCTCCTCCGGGAACCGCGAGAAATCAGTCTTTTTTAATTATTATTTCGAAACTGCATAGCCACGTATCTCAGGAAATGTCGAACCTAAAGCGACGGTTCCTAGTCTTTTCAAATTACAAAACGGAAGTATCGTTCAAGAAACAAACGGCGACGATAAACAGTTTTGGGGCAAAAAAGTGGTTAGTCCGTTCAAGTTCTAGAAACCGCAAAGAAAGAAATTAGACAGATACAAAATTCAGGGTTGGTTTCGCTTTTTTACGACAATACGGTACAACATTTTCACTGCGTTATGAACGCTTTGTATTTAACTGCAAACAATTCATCCTGATTGGAAAAGGCACAGGCCGGTTAGGACAGGAAAGATGGCAGCCCACCCTAACACTGCATTTCTCTTACGAATTCCGATTACGAATTCTCCGCATTTTTCGTACAATTTTCCATGGTAAAATCGGTTTAGTCGAGCAGCGAGAGATAAAGGCATATCGGACCTTAAACAGGATGAGCGTTACTCAAGGAGAAAACCATGTCTGGAAACTATTGAAACAACAAATCCCAGCATTTATTTCTCTTATGGGAGGTGCAGTCCGATAATATCGAGAGGGCAATTTATTTATTTTGTTTATTTATTTACTATGCTTCTATACCGCCATTCTCAGCCCAAGGGCGACACTTGGCGGGTTACAAAACGGCACAATTTGATGCCCACACCAGTACAAAGATAATTAAACATTAAAAACATATCATCTACTGCCCTTGACGTAGACACTGGAATGTGGCAGATACCCATAAAACACAAAATACTCTTATTAAAATTGGAAATTATATTGGGTTGTTGTAGGTTTTTTCGGGCTATATGGCCATGTTCTAGAGGCATTTTCTCCTGACATTTCGCCTGCATCAATGGCAAGCATCCTCAGAGGTAGTGAGGTGTGTTGGAACTAGGAAAATTGGGTTTATATATCTGTGGAATGACCAGGGTGGGACAAAGGACTCTTGTCTGCTGGAGCTAGGTGGGAATGTTTCAACTGACCACCTTGATTAGTTTGACGCGGAACAGTGGCTTCAAACTACAAGAGAGGAGATTCCATCTGAACGCGAGGAAGAACTTCCTGACTGCGAGAGCCGTTCAGCAGTGGAACTCTCTGCCCCGGAGTGAGGTGGAGGCTCCTTTTTTGGAAGCTTTTAAACAGAGGCTGGATGGCCATCTGTCAGGGGTGATTTGAATGCAATATTCCTGCTTCTTGGCAGAATGGGGTTGGACTGGATGGCCCATGAGGTCTCTTCCAACTCTTTGATTCTATGATTCTATGATTAGCATTTGATAGCCTGGCAGTGCTTGGAGCAATCTTTTGTTGACAGGTGATTAGATGTCCCTGATTGTTTTCCCTCTGCTGTTTTGCTGTTGTAATTTTACAGTTTTTTAATACTGGTAGCCAGATTTTGTTCATCTTCATGGTTTCCTCCTTTCTGTTGAAATTGTCCACATGCAAGGTGGTCAGTTGAAACATTCACACCTAGCTTCAGCAGACAAGAGTCCTTTGTCCCACCCTGGTCTTTCCACAGATATATAAACCCTTTTTCCTAGTTCCAACAGACCTCACAACCCCTGAGGATGCTTGCCATAGATGCAGGCGAAACGTCAGGAGAGAATGCCTCTAAATCATGGCCATATAGCCCGAAAAGACCTACAACAACCCAGTGCTTCTGGCTATGAAAGCCTTCGACAATACATGGAAATTATATTATTTTGAAGAATTGTTTTGACTTTTGTGTCAATAAGATGTCTACCAAAACTCAGTATCACCTTCCAAAATTTGGCACTTCCCCAAACTTCACAAGTGTAAAAAATAAAATAGTTTAGGAATAGATTATTATTATTATTATTATTATTATTATTATTATTATTATTATTATTATTATTATCCTTGGACTGGGAGATATCTTTTACTTTAGTGGGCACAAAACCTGAAAATCCACTTGCCTCCTGCCCGTTTTTATGGCTACTTTAATGGCGGAAACCATGCGAATTAACATTCTGGAAGACCGGGAAAACATGGTTCTCCTTCAGCGTTTTCGTGTGAGCCAAAACGACTGTTTTCTTTCCCTAAAACTGGGAACAAACTGGCTATTTCTGGTATTTAAAAACTCCAAAGAAATGCATATTCATCAGGGATGTGGCTTGCGGCAAACACGGTGGTTGAATGTCAATCCCTGAGCGAGGAATCTCTGCGCAAACATGTGAAGGAGTTACAGGACGAAAACCATTTACCAAAATTGCATATACGAGGCCAAACTGTACCCTAAAAAAAAAAAGGCACGGGTGCTGCGAACACACGCATAAAACTGTTCACTAATTTGCCTACCACTTCTTTTCTCGGCGGATGGAAGGAGCCAAATTAAAGCCTGGAGAAACTCCCGGCCCTGAAAGGGAAGTGAGGAGCAAATGAAGTGAGGCCCGCCCGTCCATCCATCCTTAGTCTCAATAATGACCAAAGAAGAGGCAAATTTGAAAATGCAAAAATCAAGGAGTTATTGCTCAAAGAAACCACATCGGCAAAACCTGCATTCTTACTTCTGGCTCAAATTCCAATTGAAAGAATGATTGTGAACTGGAAACTATTTTGGGAGATAGGAAGGGGTTCGTTGTCCAAACCACTCCACAAGATCTCCAGAGGGTTGATATTCCTCACCAGCTTTGATACGGGATTTGAATGGAAGCCCAGACAAGGTACAGACAGGCCTGAAGGGACTCCAAAGGCCATCTAGTCCACTGAGAAACAACACAGAGAGTTGTAGAGGACGTTTGGCCAGGCAAAGTCTACCAGACCCCTATTCCAGGCCCACCAATCGCCTCATCCCATCGGCAAGCCGGGATTATCCTAGTGGCAGTGAGATCAGGATGAGAACGGCCCTTGTCGTTGTGGGCCTTCAAGTCATTTCCAACCCATGGCGGCCTTATGTGACTGGACAAATGAATGGAGATTCGGACTCTACCCTCTAGGGTCGTAATCTGTTTCTATGAGTATGAATCCTGATTGGATACTGTTTTCAGGTGGGATGCACACCCAAATACTACAATATGTATAAATATGTGAGAGGAAGCCACAGGGAGGAGGAGGGAGAAAGCTTGTTTTCTGCTTCCCTGGAGAGTAGGATGCAATGGGACAATGGCTTCAAACTCCATCTGAACATGAGGAAGAACTTCCTGACTGTGAGAGAGCCGTTCAGCAGTGGAACTCTCTGCCCCGGAGTGTGGTGGAGGCTCCTTCTTTGGAAGCTTTGAAACAGAGGCTGGATGGCCATCTTCCGGGGGTGATTTGAATGCAATATTCCTGCTTCTTGGCAGAATGGGGTTGGATTGGATGATGGCCCAGGAGGTCTCTTCCAGCTCTTTGATTCTATGATTCTATGTTTTACCTTCTGAACATACTCTGATTCATCACACCACGGAAAGCTGGCTCCTCCCAATCCGTTCAGAAAACTCTTTGCAAAAATCTCAACATCTTGAACTACCGCTCTCGTGAGATTTGAAGACATTCTCATGCGTTTGCGTAGTAAATGCATTTGCCCGATTGCGTCCTTTTGGCGTGAAATAGAGTACTGAGGAGTCGAATAAGAATGTAATCTGATTAGATTTCTGAACGATAAGATGGATTCATGAGATACGACTCCTTCACGGCATCCTTGAGGCGATGCAGAAAGCGATGGCAGCTTCCAACAGCGCTGCTTCTCCTTCTGAAGAGGCGTAATAGTTATTGACTAAATAGGAAGAAATTGCGCAGACTCCGGTTAAAAATCTTTCTAAAAAATAGAATGAGGTAAAGCGGCAATTCCCGATTTCCTTTCAGGGTCCTTCGACATCCCAAACAGAAATGGCGGCTGCTTCCGTCACAAACAGTCCGGGATCACGAGACTCTGCTCCTAGGCAGAATTTCACGTCTAGTAGTTGCTGACGGGACGCAGACTGATTTCTCAATCACACACAGAAACAGCACTTCGGCAACGGAAAACTCTGTACTATCTTAACTGCAATGATTAGAATCCTGTGTGCAAATACTCCACTTCAGCGACGTTTTGCAGACAGATTTCGACAGATTACTGAATTTCAAGTCTAGTAGTTGCTGACGGGATGTAGACGGATTTCCCGATCACATACAGAAACAGCACTTCAGCGACGGAAAACTCCGTACTGTTTTAACTGCGACGATTAGACTCCTGTGTGCAAATACGACATTTTGCAGACAGATTTTGACGGATTACTGACGTCGTGTAATGGGACCCGTTGGAAATCGTTCTCAAACTGTATCAGAAATGGAGAGTTTCCTGATGGGATGAGGTCCCAACACTCAAGCCACACTCACGGAAAAGGAGGCTCACTCGGAGACCTGCCTGGCCCACCTTTGGGACCACGCCTGCCCCCCATCTCTTTGCAGCCAAAGACTCAAAGATTCACCACATGAATGAACTCAGCAATAAAATGCAATTCAATGCAAATGCACCAGAGTAGGAAAAAAGGCCTTTCTGTGTTTGGGATCGGCATGCACAAAGAAAAGGCCAAAAAGGAGGAGACCCCTTCCTCAGTGCGTAACGCGTCGTCCTTCCACGATTTAATCTTGTCGCTCACACAACTAAAAACTGTGAAATCAAAGAGATACAAAAGTGAATCCGGGTTTTAAAAAAGATTTTCAAGAGAGAAAGACACACACACAAAGAAGAAACTGGGAGGTAGACAGATATTTCCACTCAGGGTACAAAATCCAGATCTCTCCTCCTTCTCTTGAGGCATCCCATCCGCCAGATCTGTCCTTGTGTTTTTCAAGCATATGGCGAACACGCGTCAACGCAATTCGGGAGCGGCGGGATCCGTGGTGAAAAAGGGCCGAGGAAATCCTATAAAATGGTGGGTATCGGGGTGGGAGAGGCCTGCTCCTTGGGGGTGTATTTGGCGAAGAAGGGCAGGAAGACGGAGAGCATGACGCCCACGATGGCCAGCATGTACCCCCAGCCGATCCGACAGTCGCCTGCGTAGTAGACGCCCGCGTCTCCACAGTGTTTCCTCACCGCGGCAGAAGCCAAGCCGAAGGGGTAGACCAAGAGCCCGAACACCATGATGAACACTGGAGGGGAAAGGGAGAGAAGAAGAAGAAGAGATCAGTGTTAGTCTCATTAATTATTATTATTATCTTTATTTGTACCCCGCTAGCATCTCCCGAAGGACTCGATGCGGCTTACAAAGGCCAAAGGCCCTCAATAAAAACAACTATACAACAATACACATAAACCATAAAGCAAATCAAAACATTAAGCAATAACAGTAAACAATTAAAAACAATAGTCTCAAAGCACGTCATCAGGTGCGCCTGAAGTTTGGGCACCAATGTGAGCACTTAGAAAGGTATGTTCAAATGTAATAACAACAACAATAATAATAACCACAACACTTGGTTTATATTCCGCTCTATCTCCCCAACATGAGCATTGTGCATGAATCCTTTCACAAAAAGGGGATTGTCTCCTTCTCTGAGTACAGTAGCGAAAGGCAAGAGCTCAGCCCATAATTACAGGCCGTCGACTTACACATATGGTGAGTGAACATGTCGCTGTCAATGTTAATATCCTTTTGGATGGGGGATGGGGGGGAGAAACGAACTCATCCAACATGACTGTAGGAACTACAGTGTTCCACCGCTATTTTGCAGTTCACTTTATGCGGATTCGCTGTTTCACAGATTTTTTATAAATCTATATAAATAAAAATGTAATGTTCGTTTGTGCTACCATCAGAACTCAAAAAACCACTGGGGGAATTGACACCAAATTTGGACACAAGACACCTAACAGTCCAATTTATGTCCTCCACTCAGAAAAAACCCGTCACTTCCCAAGACTTCTGCAACACTCATCTAATGACCAATCAAGACCAAACTTGGCACAGTACTTTCACTAACTTCCTGAGACCACTGTGAGCCATATAAATAACTGATAAAGATCAACCTTGATACACAACTCCTTTCTCAAATAACCCGGGCAGCGCTGGGTCCCCAAGCTAGTATTAATATAAAATATTTACATTACAACAGGCCTCAGAAAGGGAGGCTGGTGTGCGGCCCCTCACGTCCTGTCGCTTTTGTTGCTCATTCCATTGGTGACTCGGGCTGTGAGCGGACGTGCTTTGCCCTCTTCTTCCTCTTCCGCCCGCCAGAGACCCGATGCCACCCCAACAACAACCAGGCCTGCCTCCCTGGCCTCTGTGGACCCTGACAGAGCGACGGCCTGAGGCACGGCGGGGCTCCCAAGGGGGGTAAGGAAGCGCAAGGGCTAGACTGCGCATGCGTGCTTCATATACATATGCTAAAATAATGTATAAATATTACAATTAATATAGCGTTCCTACTTTGCGGATTTTCACTTATCACGGTTGTTCCTGCAACAGAACACCCGTGATAAGTGAGGGCACACTGCGTTGTGACTCAGAATATTCGATAAACCGAGCATGGTGTTTTCAGAGGCCGCGTAATCGGGTTCCTGTCAATGGCGACACTGAGAAGAAGAAGAAGAAGAAGAGGATGAGGAAGAAGAAGAAGAAGAATGCCCTGTCCCAGGAGAAATGGATCACCCCACCCCTTTAGACCCAAATCCGAGACTTGGGAAATGGACAGGTGAGGTTCACCTTTCTTGAGGTGCCTTTGACCTCCCCAATGTCCTTCTCCCTCCATTCATTTCCTTTAAATCACATTAAGAGACTTTCCCAGGAGTCCTTTGCCACCCCGGATGAGAAAAGTCTGCGTCAGCGAGAAGATGGTTTATGGCTCAGGCCACCAGCATCCATTTGCTAGAGAAGGTCACCTTCTCTTCTCCGCTGCTTTCTAATCTTCCTGGCATCGAGGGCGGCAATTCCCGCACTGACTTCTGTTTCCCAAGCCATACGGCATCCAAAATGTTTCCATTTGACACATCCTTTTCCAAGATGATTTACGACCTGGCTATAAAACAACTTACCGTTCTCTGTGAAACAGTTTAGTCCTGGATGAAGACATTGGTTGAGGGTAAGACCAGGTGGGATATGTAATTATAGAGCAAACTCTATATCCACGGGATCAGTACCTGCGGTTGAGGATAAGGCCAGGACAGATATGTAATTACAGGACAAACTCTAGATCTGCGGGATCAGTACCTGCAGTTGAGGATAAGGCCAGGAGAGATATGTAAGTACAGGACAAACTATATATCCACGGGATCAGTACCAGCGGTAGAGGATAAGACTAGGAGAGAGAGGTAATTACAGGACAAATTCTATATCCGCGGGATCAGTACCTGCGGTTGAGGATAAGGCCAGGAGAGATATGTAGTTACAGGACAAACTCTATATCCGCAGGATCAGTACCTGCGGTTGAGGAGAAGACCAGGAGAGATATGTAGTTACAGGACAAACTCTATATCCGCGGGATCAGTACCTGCGGTTGAAGATAAGACTAGGAGAGAGATGTAATTACAGGACAGTCTCTATATCCACAGGATCAGTATCTGAGGTTGGGGATAAGACCAGGAGATATATGTAATTACAGGACAAACTCTATATCCATGGGACTAGATGTTAGAACATGGGTTTAAATGAAGTGAAAGATTGTTTGTGGAGCAGCAATGCAATGCAGTGTAAGAGTTAAATGCATAGAGCTATGCTTGATTCCTAGAGCATGTTCTGATAATTTGTTTACATTCCGCTAAATCAGATTACCATGCGGGTTGAACTTCCTGCGATGTACAGCTAGAGAATGGATGTGTTTTTTTCCCTGTTCCTGTAAATAGTGTAAATTTGCAATAAAAGATAAGAGCCGCTCCGAGGCTTTGGAGCTGACTGAGGTAGTACGCTTCATTATTTGTCTTTCTGCTTCCGAGCAGATGCTCAGAGGTCAATAAATCAACACTAGAACCCGCGGTCTCATCTATCTGACAAAATAGGTCCTCGCTAGGCATCCTCTAGATCCCAGGTTGGATGATCTGCAGCGATGAGGCAAGGGACTCATACTGGTAGCCAGGCCCTGCAGACTACTTCAACCAGAGAAAACAGCCATAGCAGAGAACTTGATGAACCAACCTGGACACAACACAGAAATGCTGGACCACTCCCACAACAAGAGAAGCCACTGAAATCCACAGGAAGCATATGGACAATGTCAAAAGAAAGGAGGAAACCATGAAAATAAACAAAATCTGGCTACCAGTATTTTAAAAAGAAACTCTAAAATCGTAACAGTAAATAAATATGGGAGCTCCAGACAAGAAACAATCAGGGACAGCTAATCACCTCTGAACAAAGGATGCCCCCAGGCAGTAAGAAGCCACCCCTTGAAAACTGCTAGGCCATTAAATGCTAATCAAGGTGGCCAACTGAAAGATTTGCACTTGCCCCCAACAGACAAGAGTTCTTTCTCCTACCCTGGACATCATTCCACAGATACATAAACCCCATTTTCCTAGGTTCCAACAGACTTCGTAACCTCTGAGTCTAGGTTCCTAAGGGGAGGAGCCTTGGCTACTAGGAGACAAGTGTTTGGTCAGTTGCTAGGGGCTTGGTCTTCATTCTTCTCAAGGTGGTCAGTGTGGAGGGTCTCTTAACAGGCAACGTGGCCTGTTGCCCCAACTCTTGCCCAACTTTGAGGGGTGGGAGGTCCCCTTTTGGGGGGGGGGGAGCGTCCCGCTCCCCTTCCCTTGCTCCTCCTCCTGGTTCCTCTGCCCTCAAACTCTCCAGCCCGTCTTCCAGTACCCCTAGATACCACTAAGAGGTCCTGAGGAAAGGTACCCCACTGCCATTATGGGGAAAAATACGAAGAAACCCCCTCCGAAGAAAGGCAAGAAGAGAAAGAAAGAAGACCTGGACGATCTGAAGAAGGAAGTGGACGTCGAGGACCACAAGCTCTCCTTGGAAGAGCTCGCCCAGAAGTACAAGACAGACCTGAACGCAGGCCTCACAAAAGCCCAAGCGGCTGAAATTTTGGCCCGGGACGGCCCCAATGCTCTGACCCCGCCCCCGACCACCCCAGAGTGGGTCAAATTCTGCCGCCAGCTCTTTGGGGGCTTCTGCATCTTGCTGTGGATCGGGGCTTTCCTCTGCTTCTTTGCCTATGGCATCCAGGAGATCGTGGAGGGCAACGCGCAAAAGGACAACCTCTACTTGGGTATTGTGTTGGCAGCAGTGGTGTTGATCACCGGCTGCTTCTCCTACTACCAGGAGGCCAAAAGCTCCCAGATCATGGAGTCCTTCAAGCACATGGTGCCGCAGAAAGCCCTGGTCATCCGGGACGGCAAGAGGATGCAGATCAACGCTGAGGAAGTGGTGGTGGGGGACTTGGTAGAGATCAAAGGAGGAGACCGGGTCCCCGCCGATTTGAGGATTATCTCGGCCAGTGGCTGCAAGGTGGACAACTCCTCCCTCACGGGCGAATCAGAGCCGCAATCTCGAAACGCAGATTACACCCACGAGAACCCGCTCGAAACACGCAATATTTGCTTCTTCTCAACCAACTGTGTGGAAGGAACTGCCCGAGGCATCGTCATCTTAACGGGGGACGATACAGTGATGGGACGCATTGCTTCCTTGGCATCCGGCCTGGCGGAAGGATCCACCCCCATTGCCCGGGAGATTGAACACTTCATCCATATCATCACTGCTGTGGCTGTCTTCCTGGGCGTGTCCTTCTTCATCCTGGCCATGATACTCGGCTACCGCTGGCTGGAGGCGGTTGTCTTCTTGATCGGCATCATTGTGGCAAACGTCCCCGAAGGGCTCCTGGCCACTGTCACCGTCTGCCTGACCCTCACGGCCAAGCGCATGGCCTTGAAGAACTGCCTGGTGAAAAACTTGGAGGCGGTGGAGACGCTGGGCTCCACCTCCACCATCTGCTCAGATAAGACAGGAACCTTGACCCAGAACCGTATGACCGTCGCTCACATGTGGTGCGACAACGAGATCTTTGCCGCTGACACCACCGAGGAACAAGCCGGGGCGATGATGACGATGAAGCGCTCGCCTACTTGGCTGGCCCTCACCCGCATCGCTGGGCTCTGCAACCGGGCTGACTTCAAGCCTGGGCAGGAGGAGGTCCCAGTTGCCAAGAGGGAAACTACCGGGGACGCGTCCGAGTCAGCGCTCCTGAAATGCATAGAGCTCTCCTACGGGTCCGTGGCAACCATGCGGGAGAATAACCCCAAAGTAGCGGAGATTCCTTTCAACTCCACCAACAAGTACCAGCTGTCCATCCATGAAGCCGAGGATAAGCCCAAAGGCCACATCCTGGTGATGAAAGGGGCTCCTGAGAGGATCCTGGATGTATGCTCCACCATCTTGATCAACGGGAAGGAAGTCAACCTGGACAAGAACATGACAGAGGCCTTTCAGAATGCTTATGATGAGCTAGGAGGGCTGGGTGAGAGGGTGCTGGGCTTCTGCCAGTTCTACCTCCCTGAGAAGCAATTCCCCCGAAGCTTCCAATTTGATGTGGAGAAAGTCAACTTCCCCATCTCCAAACTCTGCTTCGTCGGGCTTATCTCCATGATCGATCCGCCTCGGGCCGCCGTGCCGGATGCCGTTGGGAAATGCCGAAGCGCCGGGATCAAGGTGATCATGGTGACCGGGGATCATCCGATCACCGCCAAAGCCATTGCCAAGGGAGTGGGCATCATCTCAGAGGGGACTGAGACGGTAGAGGACATTGCGCAACGACTCAACATCCCCGTCAGTGAGGTGGACCCAAGAGAAGCCAAGGCCTGTGTGGTTCACGGTAGCGACCTCAAGGAGATGACCTCTGAAGAACTGGATGACCTCCTGAGGAACCACAACGAGATCGTCTTTGCCCGCACTTCCCCGCAACAGAAACTCATTATCGTGGAAGGATGCCAGCGGCAGGGAGCCATTGTGGCGGTCACAGGTGATGGAGTGAACGACTCGCCCGCCCTCAAGAAAGCCGACATCGGCATCGCCATGGGCATCGCCGGCTCCGATGTCTCCAAACAAGCCGCGGACATGATTCTGCTTGATGACAATTTCGCTTCCATCGTGACGGGCGTGGAGGAAGGCCGGCTGATCTTTGACAACCTCAAGAAGTCCATCGCCTACACCTTGACCAGCAACATCCCAGAGATCTCCCCTTTCCTGATGTTTATCATCTTCAGCATCCCGTTGCCCCTGGGCACCATCACCATCCTGTGCATTGACCTGGGGACCGACATGGTGCCCGCCATCTCCCTGGCCTACGAGAAGGCCGAGAGTGACATCATGAAGAGGCAGCCGCGCAACTCCAAGACGGACAAGCTCGTGAACGAACGCCTCATCAGCATGTCGTACGGGCAGATCGGCATGATGCAAGCCATCGCCGGCTTCTTCTCTTACTTTGTGATCATGGCGGAATATGGGTTCCTCCCCTCCATCTTGTTGGGGCTCCGCCTGGATTGGGACGACCGGTCCAAGAACGACCTGGAGGACAGCTTCGGCCAGGAGTGGACCTACGAGCAGCGGAAGGTGATCGAATACACCTGCCACACCGCCTTCTTCAGCAGCATCGTGGTCGTGCAGTGGACGGACCTCATCATCTGCAAGACCCGGAAGCTCTCTCTCTTCCAGCAGGGCATGAAGAACGAGATCCTCATCTTCGGCCTCATTGAGGAGACCACCTTGGCGGTCTTCCTGTCCTACTGCCCCGGCATGGAGATCGCCTTGCGCATGTACCCGCTCCTGCCCATGTGGTGGCTGTGCCCCATGCCATTCAGCCTGCTGATTTTCGTCTACGACGAAATCCGGAAGTGCATTATCCGTAAGCATCCTGGCGGCTGGGTCGAGAGGGAGACCTACTACTGATCCGTCCATGTTTGACAGCTATGCTGATTTTGAAGACCTTCTAGGGGTGTGTCACCTTTGGGCAGAATGGTCCTATACGAAGTAAAGCGGATCTTTAATCCAATGACAGAATCTCAGGTGTGTTTTTCTTCCCTGTCTTCCCACGATTCCCTTTGGCTGAATTGATCAACTGACAAAAGGGCCAGGAGAACCCCAAGAAAGAGGGCAATCGGCCACCAAAAGATCTCACAACCCATACTGACCACTGTGATCCCAAAAAGTACGGCCTGTAATATAATCGAGTAACTTTACACACTCTACATACTTCACGGGGTCACATCAACAGGTGACTTTAAGGTACAGGTACCAATAAAAGCAACTTTCACTCAATGTAAACGAAACCACGTCTGGCCACACAAGGTGGAAGTTTGGTGAAGTTTTAGTAACGTTAACAAACTGTAATCCAAAACTATGGGGAGGAGGAAAGGGAGCAATAAGCCCTTTCTCAGAGCTCAGCAACTATTGAAATGCCATTACTTAGGTGATCCCTCGTAGCTCGAGGATGATGGTCTTTCAGGTGTGGTGCCTTGGTGATGGGTCCATACATGACCGTGGAGCCCTCTTCTTGATCCACATCTTCTCCCGCAGTGAGGGCGTCGGTGTCCAGACAGAAGGTGGTCCCGGTCAGGGTTGGCTTGACGCGCCTTCTTCCTCTTGGCATGTTTCTCCCTTTCATTCGTGCCTCTTCAAATTCTGCAGCACTCATGGGCCAGGGCTTCCCAGTTCTCAGTGTCTACGTTTACACTGGTTAAAACCGACATTCATTTGGTATTCTTCCATATGTTCACTCTACACATGTGCAGTGCGCATAGGGATTCGTTCATGTTTTTGGCAAACGATGTCCGGCCTGTTAAAAGTTTGGGGACCCCTGTCTTAGGTTCGTGAAGGGGTCCTGTGCCCCCAACAGAGTCAATGTGGAGGGCTGACTATCTCTTTGTGGTGCAGCTTCACAAGAAGGCCTCTCATGTATTTGCTGGTTTGCCCTCGAGCGACATCACGGTCACGATAGTTGTGCAGCTGGAACACAACATATACAGACAGACACACACAGGCTATTTAACATTCCAGCTTCATGAGGGTATTTCGGCCACCAGGGGGAGCTGTCGCTTCACTGTCCACTTATGACACCAATGGAGTACTTCCTCATTCTTTTGCATGCTGCTGGAAATTTTTATGGCGTCGTAAATTAGTTAAATTAGCCTCCCCACATAAGCGGTACCTAAATTTCCTACTTGACAGATACAACTGCCTTTCAGGCATGCATGGATCAACAGCAAGCTAGACTATTAATGGTTGGGAGCTTACTCCGACCTGGGCTGGCTTCGAACTCATGACACGTCCAGAAGATGTGTTTTTGCTTTGTTCTGCTCAACAAATGATGGTTTCATCAAATCCTAGAGTTGGAAGAGACCTCGAGGGCCATCCAGTCCAACCCCATTCAGCCAAGAAGCAGGATAATCCCATTCAGAGCACTCCCGACAGATGCCCACCCAGCCACTCCTTGAAAGCCTCCAAAGAAATCATGTTTTGCTTCTCTGCCTGGAATTTCGGAGACAGAGGGGAATGGAATTAACGACAGCTTGCCACTTGTTCTCCTCCTCCTCGCCTTCCCGTTTCTTCATCCATTCCTTTTGTTTGAAAGCAGCGCAATTACAGACTTCGGTGGCAAAGAAACCGAGAAAGGCGTCCGGAGGGCCCTCCTCTCCCAAGTTCTTCTTTGCCGCTGGCCCGATTTCGGCAACGACAGGTGGCTGTGTTCGGGTTTGATTGCCGCCGCTTTGCTAACAAGGCCCAAAGAGAGAGAGCTTTGCCAAATGGCTTGGATCCAACTTCCAAGCAGGCCCTCGAGGTTTTGCATTTTCCGTCTCCAGCTGCGATTTGAAGATATTTTGCCAAGACTTGGAAGGCCTTCGAAAAACCCAAAATGTATTAAGTTCAAGGGATACCAGGACAGAAATAGAAGTAGCTCCAAATGAAGGGCTTCCCTCGTCCTCTTGCTTCTCATGCGCTTGGGTTCTGATCTCCTCTGCCATCCAGTGAATGCTGATGCTGCTAAAAAGTATTTCAGCTGGACAGAGGAGGACGACAGCTATATTACAAGGGATGAATGAAAAGTAATGCCTCCACCTTCGTAACTCCTTAACAGATGGCAGTACTGGTATGCAGCAGGTACTGGCTTGTTCAATAGACTCTCCTCTACAGTTCCATTTTGGTGGGAAGCCTTAGCATTGAACGGTTGTGTTGTTAAAGTGCAAAGTATGGAACCCTGCGCAGACGGGCGGTCAGTGCGACTTAAGGAACATTCAGTCATTGAATTCTTGACAGTAGAAGGTATCACCTCAACATCTTTAAACTTACTCACCCAATGACACACAGTACTCACATCAACACAACTATCATAAACAGTTTGCATCCTCTGATGAATCTCCTTTGGGGTGACACCTTCTGCCGTCAAGAATTCAATGACTGCACATTGCTTAAGTTGCATTGACCGACCGTCTGCGCAGGGTTCCATATTGTGCACTTTAACAGCACAACCATTCAATGCTAAGGCTTCCCGCCAACATGGAACTGTAGAGGAGAGTCTACTGAACGAGCCAGTGCCTGCCACATACGTTGCTTAAGTCACATTGACTGACCATCTGCTCAGGGTGTCATACTTCGCACTTTAACAACACAACCGTTCAATGCTAAGGCTTGGATGGAACTGTAGAGGAGAGTCTACTGCACAATCCAGTACCTGCAACATACGTTGCTTAATTCGCATTGACCGACCGTCTGCGCAGGGTTCCATACTTTGCACTTTAACAACACAATTGTTCAATGCTAAGGCTTCCCGCCAAAATGGAACTGTAGAGGAGAGTATACTGAACAAGCCAGTATCTGCCACACACGTTGCTTAAGTCTCATTGACCAACTGTCTGTGCAGGGTTCCATACTTTTCACTTTAACAACACAACAGTTCAATGCTAAGGCATCCCGCCAAAATGGAACTGTAGAGGAGAGTCTACTGAACAAGCCAGTACCTGCCGCATACCGGTACTGCCATCTGTTGAGGAGTTACGAAGGTGGAGGCATTACTTTTCATTCAACCCTCACATTATTATACGAGAGTGAGTCAAAAAGTTTTGCCTCCTGGGCCATAAAACCGTTCTGAACGAAGCCATAACAGCAGAAGTTGCTCCGGATCGGAGCCTGAATTGTCCTCTAAACAAAGGAACTGAACTCGTGGGATATAATTGGACGAAACCAATCCAAAGCATGTCTCGAAAAGCCAACTGGGAAATTGGTTTGAAAACTGCAAACGCCGCATGCGCCTGAATATTATTTCCCTGCAGCCACTTAGCAGCATTTGGCCTTGCGCTCCCATCCAAAAAGGACCACGTCTCCTCCCAATCTCTGCGTCCTTTTATGGAAGCGAAAGGAAGATCGTTCCCTTCGTATCCGCACACTTTTGGCCTCTTTGGTTTCGCAGATGAAAGCTGTCAATACATCAAAGCCTCGATATTAATGTATGGCGAGTAATTATCTGAAGGCAAACAAACGCTGCACAGACGCCGGGGAGGATCAAATGCATTGGCGGTGCATTCGCCTTCTGAAATGCTCTGATGCCAATTAGCAACAGACCCACCCAAGGCTGGATCTGGATGGCTTGCACCAACACGCTCCCTGATGCAAAACACCCCGAGAAGAAGAAGAAGAAGAAGAAGGGCCAAGGAGGGATCCCAGGAAATGGACAGCCGCCCGTCCATCCGTCCAGGGCTCCTAGGAGACGGAGACACATCACAGGACGCAGAATGGCCACGGCCGGCTAAGCGGGCGCCCTTCCCATCATCGCTGAAAGTCAATCAATCCTAGCAGAATGAGCTGGCCAAGCTGGCTGAGATCCTGGCAGTCTTTGAGTTAGCAAACCTATGAGAGTTCCTGGAAAACTGATCGGGAAATCCTAGGACTCCATCCTGGTTTTGTGAAGGTCTTCAACTTTTCGTGGACTTTGGAAATACACGGCCATCCTCCGGGAATCTTCCACGATTGGAGCCTCCTCAGGGAGATGATGATGATGCTCATTGAGATGGAAATTCTGACCCACTTCTCTGCCTTCAAGAAGACGGAGAGATGGAAGCGTCGCAGGCTTGGTCTCCTCCTCCTCCTCCTCCTCCTCCTCCTCCTTCTCCTCTCTCCTTTTCCTTGGGGTCCAGGCCACGAAGGACTGTCTGGGTTGGAACTAGAAGTGCTTCGGGGCTCTTTCGACCCAAATATTTTTGGGGAAAGGCAGTCTCTTTCTTGTATTCTGCATCTAGGCGAAACCCCTTCGTCAGCTCCCCGATCCATTGTCTCCCCCATATCTGAGTGACCCACTTTTCACAATTCTTGGCCGCCGTTTCCTTCTCTTCGACTGTGCGTTTGTTGTGCTCCGCTTCTCCATACAGTGATGGCCGGAGTGGCTTGTCCAACGATGAGGGTAAATGGAATGGCTCAAAACGTGGCTGGCTAGGACATCCTGGGAGTCATGATCAGTACTTGAGGAGGAGAATGGAGACCTTCTCAGAGTTGGAGAAGGGAGAACGTAGACCTTCAGTGCTTGAGAAGGGAGAACACAGACCTTCCTAGTCCTGGAGAAGAGAGAAAATAGACCTTCGGTGCTCGAGAAGGGAATATGTAGACCTTCTCAGATCTGGAGAAGAGAGAATGTAGATCTTCAGTGCTTGAGAAGGGAGAATGCAGACCGTCCTAGTCCTGGAGAAGAGAGAAAGTAGACCTTCAGTGCTCAAGAAGGGAAAATGTAGACCTTCTCAAAGCTGGAGGAGAGAGAAAGTAGACCTTCGGTGCTCGAGAACGTAGACCTTCTCAGGGCCGAAGAAGGGAGAATGTAGACCTTCCTAGTCCTGGAGAAGAGAGAAAGTAGACCTTCAGTGCTCGAGAAGGGAAAATGTAGACCTTCTCAGAGCTGGAGAAGGGAGAACGTAGACCTTCCCAGAGCTGGGGAACAAAGAATGTAGACCATCTCAGAGCTGGAGAATGGAGAACATAGACCTTCCTAGTCCTGGCGAAGAAAGTAGACCTTCAGTGCTCGAGAAGGGAGAACGTAGACCTTCTCAGAGCTGAAGAAGAGAGAACGTAGACCTTCCTAGTCCTGGAGGAGAGAGAAAGTAGACCTTCAGTGGTTGAGAAAAGAGAAAGTAGACCTTCCCAGAGCTGGAGAAGGGAGAAAGTAGACTTTTGGTACGAAAAAAGGGAGAATGTAGACTACCTCAGTGCTGAAGAAGGAAAAACGTAGACCTTCCCAGAGCTGAAGAAAGGAGAACATAGGCCTTCTCAGTGCTGGAAAAGGGAGAAAGCAGATGGGCAGCAATCCCAATGATACTCAGGCAGTGCTGAGTATATACGTTAGTATGGTCGTTGTCGTCAATGTCCAAGGACTTAATGAATGGAGATGACCACTCACTGTCTGGAAGGCTGTCCAGAGAAGGGAAGGGTCTGGGCACGAAGAATGCCTGCCATAAATGGGAGCCCAATGTCCCTGAAGAATGGCGACAGTGCTGGGTGGTGTTGCAGCCCAGCTCCTTGGTGGTGGAAGGGCTTCTCCTCTCCCTCGAGGGCCGTAAGTCAAGCTATGAAACGCCTGGACGGAGGGAGACATCTGCTGCCGGTCATGGTGGAGGGAGACCGCTGCGTAATTCAATCAAATAAAGGCAGAGGAAGAGGGGGAAGGAGGGAAAGAGGGAGGAAGGGCCGGCGTGCGTTGAATCATAAGTCACCCCTGAAGTAATTACATTTTTTAATATCCCTATCAGGAGGCAACCGGGTCTGTCGGTTTTATGGGCTTCCCGGCTGGCTTGAGCGGATGGATGCTCTGCCAAGGTCAAGGGGAATGGGGCGCCGGGACGGCTTATGCGTTTATCCCGTCATCCCTGGAGGAAAGCCAGGAGGACGGCCAAGGTTTCAGCCTCTATGCATGGATGTACGCGTATAGCCATATCTCTATAATATATAGGTGTGGAGATACAGGATCCCCCAGTGGCGGAGGGTTAATCTGCTGAACTTGCTGACCGAAAAGTTGCAGGGCAGCAGGGTGAGCTCCCACTGTCAGCCCCAGCTTCTGCCAACCTAGCAGTTTGAAAACATGCAAATGTGAGTAGATCAATAAGGAAGGTAACGATGTGGGTTTCCCTCACAAAGGAAGCAATACGGCACAAACGCAACGGGGCTGTATTGTTGGTTTTGAAGTTGAGGACCCTGATCAGTCTCCCACCACCAAGTGTGGACCCTTCTGTCCCAAAACCCTGCTTCATGAACCTGGTGCTGCACTCTGGCCCTGGAGCACCTTTCCATCCAGCACCACACAGAGTCCATTCTGAGCAAACGACAGCAGATTGTTTACAAAGAGCTGGACTTGATTTTAAGGCAACGTTGTCTGCTCTGAATAGCCCAGGAAAACATCACTTAATCTAAGCTCAAACCTGACACAGAAGCCATGATGTCATCCCGTCGACACCTGGGTTTCAAGGACCGCTTCTCATGGAGTCTTTCTGGCCTAATTAACCTTTCCTTTGCTCTCTCTGAGCAGAGGCCTAATTTTGTATCACGGGCTAACTCTCCATCTCCTGAAGGCCAATTCCCAAGAGAACGGGAGTTACACCACAAAGTGGGGTGGGAACGGCACTCGTTTGTGTGATGACAAACCCAAAGAAAAGGCAACAACGTGCGACGAGTCCTGAGAAATGACAAGATTTCTATTCTAACACAACGGGAATGTGACGCTTTCCAACACCCCTCATGGGATGAGGTCCTAGAGAGACCCATCGCTAGAGTCTTCCGTACTGGAGTTCAGGGGAACCGACGAGTATTGTGTTTTCGCTTCACTTACCTGCTGCCATCTGGATGTAAGCGGCCAAGGTGCAGACCCGCCGCTCGCACTGACCGCCGGGGAGGAAGAGGACGGTGACGGCGAGGAGGGCACTGACCGCCAAGAGCACGCAGCCTCCGCCGCACAAGACGGCGCTCGTCTGGAAAGAGAAGAGGACGAGAAGGTGAGGCTTGCACCTGAAAACATAGAGGCACGGTCAAAGCACAGCCAGTCCCCAAGTTACGAACAAGAGTGGTTCTTAAGTTGAATTTGTACGTAACTCAGAACAGGGACAGGAGTTTGACCCTGGTTTTTGGGAGTTGTAGTTCACCCTGCATCCAGAGAGACCTCTATAATTTGTCTGGGCCCAACTTGGCACCCAGACCCCACGACCAAATTTAAATGGTGGCGATGTTTGGAGGGGATTGACCTTAGAGCTTGGGAGCATCCAGGGAGCACATCCAGGGAGCACTGTGACTCCTGCCAGCGATGGATCTCGATCAAATGTGGCACACAGACCCCACGTGACTAACTTTAAATTCTGGCAGGGTTTTATTTGGGGGGGGGGGGGGAAGAGGCTGGCTTTGAATGTTGGGAGTTATAGTTCACTCACATCCGGAGATCACTGAGAACCCAACCAATGATGTCTCTGGACCAAATGTAGCATGCATACCCAACATGACTAAATGTAAATACTTGCGGGGTTTAGGGGGAATTGACCCACAATGTTGGGAGTTGTAGTTCACCCATGCTCAAAGAGCACTGAGAACGCAACCAATGATGGCTCTGGACCAGACTTGGCATGCATACCCAACATGACTAACTACTAGTGGAGGGTTGTTTTTTTTTTTAACCTGGGATGATGGGAGTTGTAGTTTTCCCACATTCTTGTGTGTTTTCCAGAACCAACCAATGACTATTCTTAATGAATAGCACTACACAATCTCTAACATGAGCATCACTGGGTACCTAAGGTAGTACAATGTTCTCCATATACATGTATGTGTGCGTGTTGCTGAAAATAGAAATCGGTGGTTAGAGGTTTGCTAAAAACGGACGGCGTGGCCGCCAGCTTGTCTGCAGAGTCCAGCACAAACCCCTGTTTTCAAAACACACGCAAAACCCCGACATACAGTTTTGGGCCAAGGACAGGAAGGGGAAATTACAGTTCTCCGCACGATCCGTCTCTGACCTTTGTGGGGGATCCAGGCGAAGAAGGGAAGAAGAAGGGGAAACAGGAAACGAGCGGAGGGAAAAGGACCCCCCCCCCCAAAACAGACTCGAAGGGAAAGGTGGGGAAAGAAGGGGGGGGGGGGAGGCAAAGGCTGGAGGCCGGACAATACAATAACAACAACAACAGTATCCTTTCTGGAAATCTCTAGGCCTTCCAGCATCAAATATAACAACAACAACAACAACAACAACAACAACGTTCTTTTAAAAATCTCGAGGCCTTCCAGCATCAAAAACAACAACTATCTTTCTACCTATCTATCTTACCATCCCATCTCTATCTATCTATCTACCTTATCAATCTATCTATCTATCTATCTATCTATCTATCTATCTATCTATCTATCCATCCATCCATCCATCCATCTCTCTCTCTTCCAATCTATCTATCTATCTTTTTCTTTCTTTCTTTCTTTCTATCTATCTACCTTATCAATCTATCTCTCTATCTCTCTTTCTTTCTTTCTATCTACCTTATCTCTGTCTCTCTCTCTCTCTCTTTCTTTGTTTCTACCCTATCTATCTATCTTACCACCCCTATCTCCCACTGTCTGTCTATCACTCTATCACTCTATCTATCTATCTATCTATCTATCTATCTATCTATCTATCTATCTATCTTACCATCCCTGTCTCCTACTATCTCTCTCTCTCTCTCTCTCTCTTTCTTTCTATTTACCTTATCAATCAATCAGTCTTTCTATCTATCTTTATATATGTCTATCTTTTTTCTATCAATCTATCTATCTATCTATCTATCTATCTATCTATCTATCTATCTATCTATCTATCTATCTTACCATCCCTGTCTCCCACTATCTATCTATATATCTATCTATCTATCTATCTATCTATCTATCTATCTATCTATCTATCTATCTATCTATATCTTTCTTTCTATCTACCTTATCAATCAATCAATCAGTCTATCTATCTATCTATCTATCTATCTATCTATCTATCTATCTATCTTACCATCCCCCTCTCTCTTACTATTGATCTCTACTTCTATCTATCTATCTATCTATCTATCTATCTATCTATCTATCTATCTATCTATCTTGCCATCCCTCTCTTGCCTATCTATCTCTTCTAATCTATCTATTCTCTTACTATCTCTATCTATCTATCTATCTATCTATCTATCTTACCATACCCCTCTCTCTTAGTATTGATCTCTACTAATCTATCTATCTATCTATGCATGAATGTATGTATCTCTCTATCTAGTTCTATATCGAACTATCTATCTATCTATCTATCTATCTATCTATCTATCTATCTATCTATCTATCTGTTGTAGAATCCCAAAGTTGAAAGGAACCCCCCTGCCTGCCCGCCTTTGAGGGCAGAGAGGGGTTGGGTTGGATGGCCTTGAGAGGTCCCTTCCAGCTGAGAAGATCACAACCTGGGCAGTTTTCTCTCTGCTTTCAACCCACGTGCCCTGGATGTCTGGCCAGGGAAAGGTGGGCAGAGCCTGTTCTATTTTAGAAGCTTTGCCCAAAGCGGCCGGTCCTCATGACACGCAGCAGACCGCCAGCACACGGCTCACAAGGCCGGGAAGCATCACAGGACACAGACGGAGGGATGGGCGGCCCCGGGGCATCTCCTTGCAGGCGCCCAACGCTGAAGCCAAACCTGATAAACAACACCCACATCAGGACGGGGGCCACAAAGACATTATTATTATTATTATTATTATTATTATTATTATTATTATTTCTAATATCCTGGGAGTTACAATAACAAAAAGAGACCCGTGCAGAGTACAAATAATAATAATAATGATAATGATAATAATAATAATAATAATTATTATTATTATTATTATTTCTACTAGAAGATACGTCTATATAATAATAAAAATTTTGACTGGAAGAGACATCTCTATATAATAATGATGATAGTAATAATAATTTCTACTAAAAGACACATCTATATATAATCTAGTCAAGATTATTATCATCATCATTATATACAGATGTATCCTAGTCAAAATTAATATATAAAAATAATAATGATGATGATCATCATCATCATAACTAGGATATATTTATATATAATGATGATGATGGTGATAACAATTATTTCTACAAGATACATTGATATAATACTAATAATAACTAGAAGATGATATATGATATATGATGATAATTTTTGAATATATATATATATATATATATATATATATATAATTTTGGCATCAATACATAATAATTATGATAATAATACTAATAATAATTTTGACATCTATACATAATAATAATAATGATAATAATAATTTCGACTAGAAGGTAGATCTATATGTATTGATGATGGTGATAATAATCAATAATTTCGACTAGAAGATACATGTATATACCATGATGATGATGATGATGATAATTTCTACTAGAAGACACATCTCTATAATAATAATAATAATAATAATAATAATAATAATACATCCATATATATAATGATGATGATCATTTTGACTAGAAGATACATGTATACCATGATGAGGATGATGATAATTTGTACTAGACGACACATCTATATAATAATAATATTTCAATTAGAAAATACATCTATATACATATATATGTCATGATGATAGTTTCTACTAGAATACACATTTATTATACGATGATGATGATGATTTCTACTAGAGGACACATCTATATAATATTAATTCTATTAAAATATATATATGTTATGATGATGATAGTTTCTACTAGAATACATATTTATTATACCATGATGATGATGATGATGATTTCTACTACAAGACATATCTATATAATAATAATAATCCTATTAAAAATACATATATATATATATATATATATATATATATATATGATGATAGTTTCTACTAGAATACACATTTATATACCATGAGGAGGAGGATGATGATTTCAATTAGAAGACACATCTATATAATAATAATAATATTTCTATTAGAAAATACATATATATATATATATATATATGTTATGATGATGATAGTTTCTACTAGAATACACATTTATTATACCATGATGATGATAATGATTTCTACTAGAAGATATATCTATATAATAATAATAATCCTATTAAAAATACATACATACATACATATATATATATATATATATGTCATGATGATAGTTTCTACTAGAATACACATTTATTATACCATGATGATGACGATTTCTACTAGAAGATATATCTATATAGTAAGAATAATAATTCTATTAAAATATATGTATATATATATATATATATATATATATATATGTCATGATGATAGTTTCTACTAGAATACACATTTATTATACCATGATGATGACGATTTCTACTAGAAGATATATCTATATAGTAAGAATAATAATTCTATTAAAATATATGTATATATATATATATATATATATATATATATGTCATGATGATAGTTTCTACTAGAATACACATTTATTATACCATGATGATGACGATTTCTACTAGAAGATATATCTATATAGTAAGAATAATAATTCTATTAAAATGTATATATATATATATATATATATATATATGTCATGATGATAGTTTCTACTAGAATACACATTTATTATACCATGATGATGACGATTTCTACTAGAAGATATATCTATATAGTAAGAATAATAATTCTATTAAAATATATGTGTAGATATATATATATATATATATATATGTCATGATGATAGTTTCTACTAGAATACACATTTATTATACCATGATGATGACGATTTCTACTAGAAGATATATCTATATAGTAAGAATAATAATTCTATTAAAATATATGTATATATATATATATATATATATATATATATATATGTCATGATGATAGTTTCTACTAGAATACACATTTATTATACCAGATGATGACGATTTCTACTAGAAGTTATATCTATATAGTAATAATAATAATAATAATAATAATAATAATAAATCTATTAGAAAATACATCTATATATATAATGATGATAGTTTCGACTAGAAGATACATGTATATACCATGATGATGATAATGATAATGACACATGTACATCTATATATCTATATATGTGATGATGACAATTTTGACTCGAAGGCATATCTATATGCAACGATGATGATGTTGATGATGATGATGATGTGTGACAATGTTTCCCAAGACGGACATGCATGCCACGTTCCTACTGAATAGGTGTGTATGCCATGCTGGGGGTGGTGACGGTGAGAATGCCTCCGGGAAGCCCCCTCTCTCTCTCTCTCTCTCTGCCTGCCTGAGAGATGCTGCCCTGAGGGTTGTCCTCCTCCTCCTCCTCCTCCTCCTCACCTGCCAGGCGCTGGAAGGGATGCGTGCGAAGCTGCCCAAGGTGCTGAAGGCATTGCCCCCTCCTCCTCCTCCTCCTCCTTCTGGGCAGGGGGCCGTGCTGGGGATGGGGGCCCCGCTTGTGGGGCAGCGCCAGAGCAGCCCAAAGCTGACCCCAGCTGCTGCGCCCCCCTCCTCCTCCTCCGGGCGCACGACCCAGGCCGGGGAGAGGAAGCCCAGGCTGCAGGCGGCCAGCAGGCAGATGGAGAGCAGCGCCCACAGCACCCCCACGCCACTGCCACTGCCACTGCCTTCGCCCCCCGGCAGCATGGGGACCCCACGGGAGGAGGGCAAGGGGCCCCCACGCAGCAGCAGCCACAGCACCAAGCCCCCGCCCTGGTCCCCTGGAAGGATGGGGATGCTCCTGCCTGGCTGGATGGCTGGCTGGCTTCTCCTCCTCTGCCTCCTTTTCTCTTTCTCTCTTTCTCCTCCTCCTCCTCCTCCTGCTGGGCGGCTCCTCCTCGGCAGGGATCCTGCCTCCACATCTGCCAGGAAACGGGGGGGGGGGGGGGGAACACCGCCAGATCCCTCCCGACAGAGGGCCACACGGGCTCTGCATCAGCACCACCATCAGCATCACAGCAGTACAATCCTAGGGGACCATTGATGGAAGGGAGCCCCACAGGTCATCCAGTCTGACCTACAGGAAGGAAATCTACACAATAATAATAATAATAATAATAATAATAATAATAATAATAATAATAACAATAACAACAAGATATTAAATAAAATAATAATAATAATAATCACTGCCCAATCCCTCCTGACAGTCTCTGCATCCTCATCATCATCATAGCAATACAATCCAAGGGTAATATCGATGGAAGGGAACCCCAAAGGTCATCCAGTCTAACCTCCAAGAAGGCAATCTAACTAATAATAATGATAATAATATTAACAACAAGATATTAAATAATAATAATAGAATAATCATAATAATCATAATAATAAACACCCAGTCCCTCCTGACAGGCTCTGCATCATCATCACCATCATCATGGTAATATAATCCTAGGGTACTATGGATGGAAAGGAACCCCAAAGGCCATCCAGTCTAACCTCCAGGAAGGAAATCTACACAATAATAATGATAATAATCACAACAACATATTAAATAATAATAATAATAAACACCGCCCAATCCCCCCTGACAGGCTCTGCATCATCATCATCAACACCATAGAATCCTAGAATCAAAGAGTTGGAAGAGACTTCCTGGGCCATCACCTAGTCCAACCCCATCCTGCCAAGAAGCAGGGATATTGCATTCAAATCACCCCTGACAGATTGGCATCCAGCCTCTGCTTCAAAGCCTCCACAGAAGGAGCCTCCACCACACTCCCTCCGGGGCAGAGAGTTCCACTGCTGAACAGCTCTCACAGTCAGGAAGTTCTTCCTCATGTTCAGATGGAATCTCCTCTCTTGTAGTTTGAAGCCATTGCTCCATTGCGTCCTAGTCTCCAAGGAAGCAGAAAGGAAGCTTGCCCCCTCCTCCCTATGACATATTCCCCTCACATACTTATACATGGCCCTCATCATATCTCCTCTCAGCCTTCTCTTCTTCAGGCTAAACATGCCCAGCTCCTTAAGCCGCTCCTCATAGGGCTTGTTCTCCAGACCCTTGATCATTTGAGTCACCCTCCTCTGGACACATTCCAGCTTAGAGTCAATATCTCTCTTGAATTGTGGTGCCCAGAATGGGACACACTATCATGGTAATATAATCCTAGGGTACTATGGATGGAAAGGAACCCCAAAGGCCAGCCAGTCCAACCACCTTGAAGGAAATCTACATAATAATAATATATTAATAATAAATATAATAATAATAATAATAATAATAATAATAATAATAATAAATGCCGCCCGATCACTCCCGACAGAGGGCCATACTGGCTCTGCATCATCATCATCATCATAGTAATACAATCCTAGGGTACTATGGATGGAAGGGAATCCCAAAGGTCATCCAGTCTAACCTCCAGGAAGGAAATGTACACCCTGGATCATCATCGTCAGAAGAAGAATAGAAATCATCATCATCATCATCATCATCATCATCATCATCATCATATAATCTGAGGGGACTAGAGATGGAAAGGAGCCCCCAAGGCCACCCAGTCCAACTGCCAGGAAGGAAATCTAAATAATAATAATAATAATAATAATAATAATAATAATAAACACTGGCCGATCCCTCCTGACAGAGGGCCACACAGGCTCTGCATCATCATCATGGTAATATAATCCCAGAATACTACAGATGGAAGGGAACCCCAAAGGCCATCCAGTCCAACCGCCAGGAAGGAAAGCTAAATAGTAATAACAACAACACCATATTAAATAATAATAATAATAATAATAATAAACACCGCCCAATCCCTCCTGACAGGCTCTGCATCATCATCACCATCATCATGGTAATAAAATCTTAGGATACTATAAATGGAAGGGAATCCCAAAGGCCATCCAGTCCAGCCGCCAGGAAGGAAACCCACATCATCATCATCATCATAATTACGATAATAATAATAATAATAATAATAATAATAATAATAATAATAATAATAATAATAGAATAATAACAATGGAGCCATAGGATCCTAGAGTTGGAAGAGAACCCCAAAGGTCATCTAGTCCAACCCCCACGAAAAGGAAGACACTCTCAAAGCCCTCTCAATAGATGGCCATCCGGACTCTACAGAATAAGAAGAACAATAATAGAATCATAGGACACTATAGTAGGAAGGAAACCAGGAAGCACGTCTCAATAACAACAACAACAAACCTTCTGCCTGTCGGCATGGCTGCTCCAATGTCTTTTACCGCCACCCAGTGGCCACGCCGGGAAATTGCACGCTTTCCTACAACACTGGGAGGAACTATTTTGCCCTTTTCCAACATGGCCGAAAAAGAGCTTAGAAAAGGTGGCCTATGGCCCAAACCCGGGTGTTGCCCTTTTCCAATATGGTGGCGCCCTAGAAGAGCCCTGTGTCGGAGACAGGCTTCCCTTAGAAAAGATGGCCGCTCAGCCAAAGTTGGGAGTTGCCCTTTCTCAATATGGCGCAATAAAGCCGGGTGTTGCCCTTTCTCAATATGGCGGCGTCTCAGCAGCGCCCTATGTTGGAGATAGGGCTTCCCTTAGAAAAGATGGCCGCTGAGCCGGGTGTTGCCCTTTCTCAATATGGCGGCTTCCCAGCAGAGCCCTGTCTTGGAGACAGGGATTCCCTCAAAAAAGATGGCCGCTGAGCCAAAGCCGGGTGTTGCCCTTTCTTAATATGGCGGCGTCTGAGCAGAGCCCTCTGTTGGAGATAGGGCTTCCCTTAGAAAAGATGGCCGGGGTGTTGCCCTTTTCCAATATGGCGTCGTCCCAAAAGCGCTCTGCATGGGAGACAGGGCTTCCCTTAGAAAAGATGGCCGCTGAGCCACAACCGGGTGTTGCCCTTTCTCACCATGGCATCGTCCCACTAGCGCCCTGTGTCGGAGGTGGGGTTTCCCTTAGAAAAGATGGCCGCTGAGCTAAAGTCGGGAGTTGCCCTTTTCCAATATGGCGGTTTGTTAGAGATGGGGGCCTCCCGTTGCCCTTTCTCAATATGGCGTCGTCCGGAAAGAGTCCTGTGTTGGAGATGGGGGCTTCCCTTAGAAAAGATGGCTGCTTAGCTGCAATTGGACGTTGCCCTTTCCTAAGATGGCGCCCAAGCTCAGACCCAGCTGCAAAGGGATTGGCGGAGACGCCGAAGCGGCCATGTTCCTTGAGGGCGGAAAGGGCCCCGGTTTCCTTTCCTTTGACTTTCCCGGCGTTCCGCGCGCGCCGTGCCGGAAGCAGGAGGCCTCCTCCTGCGCGGTGACGGTTGTTGACAACATGGCGGCGGCCGTCTCCTCCTCCTCCTTCTCCTTCTCGGCGGTGGAAGCCGGAGGCAGCAGCGGCGGAGGAAGGAGGAGGCCTCGCCAGCCTTGAGGGGAAGGAAGAGAGGAAGGAAGAGAGGGAGGAAGGAAGGGGCCCGGCTTGCCCTCCCCGCCCCTCCGCCGCCATGTCCTTCTTCAGGCGGAAAGGTAACCGGCCGAGGGAATGGGGAGGGAGGGAGGGAGGGACCCCGAAGGCCGGCCAGCCACCCGGCCACCCAACCCCACCCCCCTCCAGCCCAGCTTCCCTTCCTTCCTTCCTTTTGGGGTCCTTTGAAGTGGGATGCCAATGAAAGAAGAGATGGGGGAACCCCAAAGAGATATCCCATTCAAAGCCCCCCCGACAGATGGCCAGCCAGCCTCTGCTTCTAAGGCTCCAAAGAAGGAAGGAGCCCCCACCACACTCCCTCCAGGGGCAGAGAGTTCCACTGCTGAACAGCCCYYTCTCACMACCAGGAAGKWMTWSCAMAGAGATGCCATTCARAGCSSAAYCAGGAAGTYCTTTCCCTSWTSTTCWKGCKKMWTCTYMTTWCCYTRTTRTTRTTRKTWKTAKTWKTAGTWGTAGTAGTAGTAGTAGYAGCAAAGAGATGCCATTCAAAGMCCCCCCCCCCCCGACAGATGGCCAGYCRGYCYYTGCTTCWAAGACTCCAAAGAAGGAAGGAGCCTYCACCACACTCCCTCCAGGGGCAGAGAGTTCCACTGCTGAACAGCTCTCTCTCACAACCAGGAAGTTCTTCCTCATCTTCAGGCGGAATCTCCTTTCCCTATTATTACTTACTTTACTTACTTACTTAGGCGATCCCTCGTAGTCCAAGGATGATGGTCCTCCAAGTTCGGTGTCCGTAGGTGGTTGTGGAGCCCTCTTCTTGACCGGCATCTTCTCCCTTCTGCAGTGAGGAGGGCATCGGTTTCCAGATGCAAAGCGGTCCCAGTCGGGGTTGGCTTGATGCACCTCCCTCTTGGCACGTTTCTCTCTTTCACTCTCCATTTGTGCCTCTTCAAATTCTACAGCACTGCTGGTCACAGCTGACCTCCAGCTGGAGCGCTCAAGGGCCAGGGCTTCCCAGTTCTTGAGGGTGACTTTAGGCAAGCCACACTCTCTCAGCCTCAGGATCATAGAATCAAAGAGTTGGAAGAGACCTCCTGAGCCATCATCCAGTCCAACCCCTTTCTGCCAAGAAGCAGGAATATTGCAGTCAAATCACCCCTGACAGATGGCCATCCAGCCTCTGTTTCAAAGCTTCCAAAGAAGGAGCTTCCACCACACTCCCTCCAGGGCAGAGAGTTCCACTGCCGAACAGCTCTCGCTCACAACCAGGAAGTTCTTCGTCATCTTCAGGCGGAATCTCCTTTCCCTGTTGTTGTTGTTGTTATTGTTATTATTATTATTATTATTAGTAGTAGTAGTAGTAGTAGCAAAGAGATGCCATTCAAAGCCCCCCAGACAGATGGCCAGCCAGTCTTTGCTTCAAAGCCTCTAAAGAAGGAGCCTCCACCACACTCCCTCCAGGGCAGAGAGTTCCACTGCTGAACAGCCCTCTCTCACAACCAGGAAGTTCTTCCTCATCTTCAGGCGGAATCTCCTTTCCCTGTTGTTGTTGTTATTATTATTATTAGTAGTAGTAGTAGTAGTAGCAAAGAGATGCCATTCAAAGCCACCCCCCCCCCCGACAGATGGCCAGCCAGCCTCTACTTCAAAGCCTCTCCACCGCACTCCCTCCAGGGGCAGAGAGTTCCACTTCTGAACAGCCCTCTCTCACAACCAGGAAGTTCTTCCTCATCTTCAGGCGGAATCTCCTTTCCCTGTTGTTGTTGTTATTATTATTATTAGTAGTAGTAGTAGTAGTAGCAAAGAGATGCCATTCAAAGCCCCCCCCCCCCCCGACAGATGGCCAGCCATGCTTTGCTTCTAAGACTCCAAAGAAGGAAGAGGTGTGGAACATCAGGCTAGCCCCCTCCCTGTTGATATTCCGCAGGAAGTTAAAGACCTGGTTGTTTGAGAAGGCATTTGAATAGAAGTGCAATGACGGGTAACTCGACCATAGGAATGGAACAACGGAAATGGTATTGGATTGTGAACTTGATGATGAGACGACTCGGAATGGCTTTGTAATAATGTTGATGTTTTTGATGAGATGTTTTGATAATGATGTACTGTGGATTATTTTTTGTATGTTGTATTTTTGCACCTGTTTTTCCATGTTGTACACCGCAATGAGTCGCCATTAGGCTGAGAATTGCGGTATATAAGCAAAGTAATAAATAAATAAATAAATAAGGAAGGAGCCCCCACCACACTCCCTCCAGGGCAGAGAGTTCCACTGCTGAACAGCCCTCTCTCACAACCAGGAAGTTCTTCCTCATGTTTAGGCGGAATCTCCTTTCCCTGTTGTTGATGTTATTATTATTATTATTATTAGTAGTAGTAGTAGTCCTATCCTTATTTCTACCCAGCTCCATCTCCCGGCTTGACTCTCATTCCTTCCTCACTGCAGACGATCCCCTGACAGAGTGTGCTTGTGTTTTGCAGCGAAAGGCCAAGAGCAAGAGAAAGCCATCGAAGCCAAGGCCATCCAAGGTAGGGGACGACTGCGGGGTTTGTTCATAGAATCACAGAATCCTAGAGTTGGAAGAGACCTGGTGGGCCATCCAGTCCAACCCCATTCTGACCAGGGTGGGACAAAGGACTCTTGTCTGTTGGAGTGAGGTGTGAATGTCCCACCCTCGTCATTCCACAGATATATAAACCCATTGTCCTAATTCCAACAGACCTCACTACCTCTGAGGATGCTTGCCATAGATGCAGGTGAAACGTCAGGAGAGAATGCCTCTAGAACATGGCCCTATATAGTCCGAAAAACCTACAACAACCCAGTGATTCTGGCCATGAAAGTCTTCCACAATACAATAATAATAATAATAATAATAATAATAATAATAATAATAATGTTCCTGTAACCAGGCTGGCTGCCATATTTTGAACCAGTGGGAGTTTCCAAACTTGGTTCAAGGGTAGCCCAATGTAAACCGCAGTGCAGAAGTCTAACCTTGAGGCTACCAGTGTGCGCACCACCATCTTCAGGTCTTCCAAATCTCGTAATCTGGTCCTCTTGTTGTTGGTGTTGCTTGTTGTTTCCACCATTGTGAATATTTATTCAATTCTTGCTGCTGTTGTCTTCCTTCCTTCCTTCCTTCCTTCCTTCCTTCCTTCCTTCCTTCCTTCCTTTGTTTCCCTGACGCAGCTGCATCGGCGGTCCATTCCCCGCAGAGAAGCACCCGGAAGAATGCCTTGCTGGAGGCGGCCGGACCGAGCCACGTGGCCATCAACGCCATCTCGGCCAACATGGAGTCTTCCAGCAGCCGCACGGCCGCCCTCAAGAAGCAGCCCAGCCACATGGAGGCCGCTCATTTCGGAGACCTGGGTAGGATTCCCTGGCTTCGCCTTCCTTGACGTTTCACATCATTATAAAGGCGATCCTGTCTCCTCTCAGCCTTCTCTTCTTCAGGCTAAACAAGCCCAGCTCTTTAAGCCGCTCCTCATAGGGCTTGTTCTCCAGGCCCTTGATCATTTAGGTCACCCTCCTCTGGAGTCAACATCTCCCTTTAATCTTGTCCATCTTGTCTCCTGTGCTGTGCTTATAATATAATATAATATAATATAATATATTGCATATACATATACTATTGATAATATTATATAATATAATATTATTGATAATAATGTGATAGTATTGATAATGTAATATAATGCAATACTAATAATAATATGGTATTATAATTATATATTTTATATTGCATGTAATATGACTAATAATATTAAAATATAGTATTTATGATAGTATACAATATTATTGATAATGTAATACTATTAATAATGTAATATAATGCAATACTAATAACAATCTGGTATTATAATTACATATTTTATATTGCATGTAATATGACCAATAATATTACAATATAGTATTTATAATATTATACAATATTATTGATAATAATGTAATAGTATTGATAATGTAATATAATGCAATACTAGTAATAATATGGTATTATAATTATATATTTTATATTGCATGTAATATGACTAATTATATAACAATATAGTATTGATAATATTATTGATAATAATGTAATACTATTAATAATGTAATATATTGCAGGACTACTAATAATGTGGTGTTATAATTATATATTTTATATTGCATGTAATATGACCAATAATATTAAACATAGTATTTATAATATTATATAATATTATTGATAATAATGTAATAGTATTAATAATATAATGCAATGCTAATAATAATATGGTATTATAATTATATATTTTTATATTGCATGTAATATTACTAATAATATTACAATATAGTATTGATAATGTTATAATGTTATTGATAATAATGTAATAGTAATAATCTTACAATATAGTATTGATAATATTATATAATATTATTGATAATTATGTAATAGTAGTAATAATGTAATATAATGCAGTACTAGTAATAATACGCTATTATAATCATATATTTTATATTGCATGTAATATTTTGACCTCAAATTCGGCCAAATTCGGACCATTTACCCACATTAACAATTCCAAATCGGTCTCCTAAGGTAAATTGGTGTAACCAGGTGAGCGGACCCTCTGGACTGAAGGTGGTGCTGTTGAACGCCAGATCTGTCAACGGAAAAACGACCTGGATCCAGGACTAATCCTGGATGAGCGGGCAGATCTGGCGGGCATCACGGAGACCTGGTTGGATGAAGCTGGAGGAGTAAATCTGACCCAGCTTTGTCCTCCAGGGTTCTCCGTGCAGCACCAACCGAGATCCGGAGGGCGGGGAGGCGGGGTCGCAGTGGTCTATAGAGATTCCATCCCTCTGACCAGGGGCCCCATCCCGCAGTCAACAAATTTTGAATGCGTTCACCTGAGGGTGGGTGACCGGGACAGAATAGGGATTCTGTTAGTGTACCGTCCACCTCGCTGCACTACAGTCTCCCTACCTGAGCTAGCGGGGGTGGTCTCGAACCTGGCGTTGGAGTCCCAACGGCTTCTTGGGGGACTTCAACATCCACGCCGAGGCAATCCTCTCAGGTGCGGCTCAGGACTTCATGTCTGCCATGGCAACCATGGGGCTGTCCCAACAAATAGCTGGCCCCACCCACTGTGCTGGACACACATTGGACTTGGTTTTCTGCCAGGGATGGGAACAGGGTGGCGGTGTGGAGGAGTTGTCCATCTCTCCGTTGCCATGGACCGACCACTTCCTGATCAGATTTAGGCTCACTGCGCCCCCTAACCTCTGCAAAGGTGGAGGACCCATTAAGATGGTCCGCCCCAGGAGACTGATGGATCCGAATGGATTCCTGACGGCTCTTGGGGATTTTCCCGCCACCTCGGTAGGTGACCATGTCGAGGCCTTGGTCGCTCTCTGGAATGGGGAGATGACCAGGGCAATTGACATGATCGCTCCGGAGCGTCCCCTCTCAAGTAGCCGAGCTAAACCAGCTCCTTGGTTTACCGAGGAGCTGGCAGTGATGAAGCGAAGGAAGAGGGAACTAGAGAGCGTGTGGCGTTCGGATCCAAGCGAGTCAAACCGAGCACGGTTTGTGTCCTTTCTTAGGGCATATGCCGCGGCAATAAAGGCCGCAAAGAAAACTTTCTTTGCGGCCACTATTGCGTCTGCAAAGAACCGTCCGGCGGAGTTGTTTCGGATTGTCAGAGGTCTTTTAACTCCCGCCACTTCTGACGGGAGCCCTGACAATTCGATCACGCGCTGTGAAGCATTTGCTCGGTTCTTTGCAGACAAAGTCGCCTTGATCCGTTCTGAGCTGGACGCCGCGTTAAATGCAGTCTCTGAGGATGTAACACGAGCACCTGCTTGTCCGATTTTGATGGATTCATTTCAATTGGTGAAGCCCGAGGATGTGGACAAGATACTTGGAGGAATGAGGCCTACCACGTCCATCCTAGACCCCTGCCCATCCTGGCTTCTAAAGGAGGCCAGAGGGGGATTGGCAGAGTGGGTGAAGGTGATGGTTAATGCCTCCTTACAGGAAGGAAAATTTCCAGCGAGCTTAAAACAAGCTATTATAAAACCGCTGTTGAAGAAACCATCACTGGATCCCACCCAATTCGACAACTATCGGCCAGTTTCCAATCTCCCCTATTTGGGCAAAGTCATGGAACGTGTGGTGGCAACACAACTCCAGGGGTTTCTGGTAGACACGGATTATCTGGATCCGGCACAGTCTGGTTTCAGACCGGGACATGGAACCGAGACGGTCTTGGTCGCCTTAGTGGATGATCTGCGCCGGGAGCTAGACAGGGGGAGTGTGTCCCTGTTGGTGCTCCTGGGCCTCTCAGCGGCCTTCGATACCGTCGACCACGGTATCCTTCTGGGGCGCCTTGCGGAAATGGGTCTTGGGGGCACTGCTCTGCAGTGGCTCCAGTCATTTCTGGAGGGCCGTACCCAGAAGGTGTTATTGGGGGACTCCTGTTCAACACCACAGCCTTTGACTTGTGGGGTTCCACAGGGCGCTATACTGTCCCCCATGCTGTTTAATATCTACATGAAGCCGCTGGGTGAGATCATCCGGAGTTTCGGGGTGCGGTGTCATCTGTACGCAGATGATGTCCAACTCTGTCACTCCTTCCCACCTGCTACTAAGGAGGCTGTCGAGGTCCTGAACCGGTGCCTGGCCGCTGTAACGGTCTGGATGAGGGCGAACAAACTGAAATTAAATCCAGACAAGACAGAGGTACTCCTGGTCAGTCGCAAGGCCGAGCAGGGTATAGGGTTACAGCCTGTGCTGGACGGGGTCGCACTCCCCTTGAAGGCGCAGGTTCGCAGCTTGGGTGTGACCCTGGATTCATCTTGAGCCTGGATCCCCAGGTTTCAGCGGTGACCAGGGGAGCATTTGCACAGCTTAGGCTTGTGCGCCAGCTGCGCCCGTATCTCGGGAAGTCTGACTTGGCCACGGTGGTACACGCTCTGGTCACATCCCGCCTTGACTACTGCAACGCTCTCTACGTGGGGCTGCCCTTGAAGACGGCCCGGAAGCTGCAGCTGGTTCAGCGCGCGGCATCCATGTTACTAACTGGAGCGGGGGGCAGGGAGCATACAACGCCCTTGTTGTCCCAGCTCCATTGGCTGCCGATTTGCTACCGGACCCAATTTAAGGTGCTGGTTTTGGCCTACAAAGCCCTAAACGGTTCCGGCCCAAAATACCTTTCGGACCGCATCTTGGCCTACGAGCCCACGAGGACCTTGAGATCGTCTGGGGAGGCCCTTCTCTCGATCCCGCCTGCCTCACAGGCACGTTTGGCGGGGACGAGAGAGAGGGCCTTCTCGGTGGTGGCCCCCCGGCTGTGGAACACTCTCCCTGCAGACATCAGACAGGCGCCCTCCCTCATGTCCTTCCGAAAAAGCCTCAAGACATGGCTGTTCGAGAAGGCATTTAATTAGTGCTTTAACAATGTGGTAAAGATGATTGGAATGGAACAAGGAATATGAGATTGGTTATGATTCCACTAAGAGACGAAGCGGATTTTTAGCGTAGTTTTTTGTAATTGTTATGTAGTTTATATGTTGTTGTAATTGCCTTTTTGTAAATTGTCCTTTATGTGTGTGTACACCGCCATGAGTCGCCCTAAAGGGCTGAGAATGGCGGTTAATAAATGCATCAAATAAATAAATAATATGGCTAATAATATCACAGTATAGTACAATATAGTAATATCTAATACTAAGAATGTGCCATGCAATTAATATAATATATTTTATTGACGTATTGCTTGTAAGCGGCTCTGACTCTCCTTTGGGGTGAGAAGGGCGGCATATCAATGTCGTAAACAAGTCAACTGCCGTGATGTGCTTTTTAGGCTTGACTAAAGTGTGGGATTTAGGGTGTAAACAAAGTGGATGATGGTGATGATGGTGAGGGTGATGCCTTCCTCGTCCCCCCCCCCCCCCCCCCCCCCCCGTCTTCCAGGGCGCTCCTGCCTGGACTACCAGACCCCGGAGGCCACGTCCAGCCTGTCCAAGACGCTGGAGCAAGTCCTGCGGGACCCGGTGGCGCTGCCCTACTTTGTGCAGTTCATGGAGCTGCGGCGCATGGAGCACCTGGTGCGCTTCTGGCTGGAGGCCGAGAGCTTCCACGCCACGGCCTGGGCCCGCATCCGGGCGCACAGCCTCAACACCGTCAAGCACAGCTCCCTGGCCGAGCACCTCCCCCTCGGCCTGGCCGCGGACGACGACGCCGGCAACGAGAAGGCCGCGATGGCCGGCTCCTCGGCCACCTCCTCCTCCGAGTCGCTCGCCCGGCGGCCCTCGCCCGTCGCGCTGCTGCCTCCTCCTCCTCCCGCGGAGCTGAACGGGCGGACTTGGAGCCTCCAGAAGCAGCAGCACTTGCTGCTCGGCCGAGCCCCCCGCCTCGGGTTTGGGGCCCCCCACGCGGAGGACTGCCCCGCTCCGGAAGACGCTTCCAAGGCCTCCGCCTCCAACCGGAGCAGCCCTTCTTTTGCACTCAAGGACCTGTCAGGAAAACTCATGAAAAGTAAGTACTGGCCAGGGGTGTGCCGTTCGGGGAGGTCAGGCGTGGTCCATTTCAGTGTCCTGCAATTCAGTGGGGACACTGGTCTGCATGTCGGGAGGACAGAAATACGTTTTTGTAGGTGTGGTTTGTAGGTGTGGCTTGTCCTTAAATCCTTCATAATATCTGCTACTGTTACCTTTTATTGACTTTTAACTAATGGGGTTTTGGTGTTGTGTTGACACTTATTGTATTATGTGTTGTTGTTATTATTGTTATTATTAAAGTATTATTATTAAAGTATTATTATTATTAAAGTATTATGATTATGATTATTAAAGTGTTATTATTATAGTATTATTATTATTAAAGTATTACGATTATGATTATTAAAGTGTTATTATTAAAGTATTATTATTATTAAAGTATTATGATTATGATTATTAAAGTGTTATTATTATAGTATTATTATTATTAAAGCATTATTATAGTATTGTTATTAAAGTATTATTATTATTAAAGTATTATTATTATTATTAAAGTATTATTAAAGCATTATTAAAGCATTATTAAAGTATTATTATTATAGTATTGTTATTATAGTATTATTATTAAAGTGTTATTAAAGTATTATTATTAATGTATTATTAACGTATTATTATTACTAAAGTATTATTGTAGTTTTGTTATTAAATTATTATTAAAGTATTGTAGTTTTGTTATTAAATTATTATTATTAAAGTATTATTATTGTAGTATTGTTATTAAATTATTATTAGTGTTATTATTAAAGTATTATTATTAAATAAATATTATTATTAAAGCATTATTATTAAAGTATTATTATTATTAAAGTACTATTATTACATTATTTTATTATTAAAGTATTATTATTATTATTATTATTATTACTAGCTGTCCCCTGCCATGTGTTGCTGTGGCCCAGTCTGTGTAAATGTGTTCCGTGTGTGTACATATGTGTTTATGTGTGTGTGTATATGTGTGTTTGCATATATATGTGGATGTGTATATATGTGTGTATATATTTGTGTATTTACCTGTATATGCATATTGTGTGTGCTTGTCTATATGCATATTTGTGTGTGTGTGTATGTGTATATATGTACATGTGTTTGCATGTGGAGGAGGGAGCAGGCTTCCTTTCTGCTTCCCTGGAGACTAGGACGCCATGGAGCAATGGCTTCAAACTACAAGAGAGGAGATTCCATCTGAACATGAGGAAGAACTTCCTGACTGTAAGAGCCGTTCAGCAGTGGAACTCTCTGCCCCAGAGGGAGTGTGGTGGAGGCTTTTAAACAAAGGCTGGATGGCCATCTGTCAGGGGTGATTTGAATGCAATATTCCTGCTTCTTGGCAGAATGGGGTTGGACTGGATGATGGCCCACCAGGTCTCTTCCAAGTTTATGATTCTATGACTTCCTCTCACATGTTTATACATGGCTATCATCATATCTCCTCTCAGCCTTCTCTTCTTCAGGCTAAACATGCCCAGCTCTTTAAGCCGCTCCTCACAGGGCTTGTTCTCCAGACCCTTGATCCTCTGAGCCGCCCTTTTCCTCTGGACACATTCCAACTTGAAATAATGTTCTTTGTTATGCAGTTGTCTATTCTACCCATTGGATAGCTTTTCTCGGACCGTTTTTCTTGAGAAGCGATGCCTGTGAGCCACATGTCTCCGCCATTTTGTTTGTTTACCTCCCTCCCTCCCTCCCTGCCTTAGGTATTGAGCAGGATGCCGTGATCATCTTTACCAAATACATCTCCCCCGACGCTGCGAAGCCCATCCCGGTGACGGAGTCCATGAGGAACGACATCGTAGGTGAGCGGGACGCAGAGGGGGAAGTGTTCAGAAGCCCCCTCCCCTCGTCTGGGTTGAGAGGGCCTCTCCTCCGAGCACGCCACGGGCTTTCCCGCGCCGCTCACTCTCTTGCGATCTGTTCCCTTTGCAGCCCGGATCTGCGGGGAGGACGGGCAGGTGGACCCCAACTGCTTCGTCATGGCCCAGTCGGTGGTCTTCAACGCCATGGAACAAGAGTAAGTGGGGGCTTCTCAATACTCCCATCCCCTTGTGTGTTTTTTGTGGTGTGTGTGGGGGAAGGCATGCCACCTCGTTGTGCAATACCACAATGGTAAATAAAGCTATTCTATTATTGTTATATTGATGTATACCCCACGTTATCTCCCCCAAAGGGAACTCCAAGCGGCTTAACATAAAATCATTAGCATATTATTATTATTATTATTATTATTATTATTATTATTATTATTTGAAGCACAACAAGATTAGTACACAGCAAACAAGATCACTATGCTGGATGTTATTATTATTATTAATATTATTATTATTATATTTATTATTATTAGTGTATATATTTTACTATTGTTGTTGTTGTTAGTATAGTTTTACCCCACTAATCCCATCTGCAGGAGACTCAAGGTGGCTTAACATAAAATCATTACATTATTATTATTATTATTATTATTATTATTATTATTATTATTTGAAGCACAGCAAGATTAGTACACAGCAAACAAGATCACTATGCTGGCTGTTGTTATTATTATATATTCATTATTATTCATGCATATTTTATTATTATTATTAATAGTATATTTTACCCCACCTATTCCTCCTGCAGGAGACTCAAAATAGCTTAACATAAAATCATTACCATATTATTATTATTATTATTTGAAACACATCAAGATTAGTACACAGCAAACAAGATCACCATGCTGGCTGTTATTAATATTAGTAGAAGTAGTATTATGTATTTATTATTATTAGTGTATATATTATTATTGTTGTTCTTGTTAGTATATTTTTACTCTCCTTATCCCTCCTGCAGGAGACTTAAAGTGGCTTAATGTAAAATCATTAGCATACTATTATTATTATTATTATTATTATATTTATTATTATTGTATATTATTTTACTGAATCAGTATGTCACAGCAAATGAGATATATATGTTGGATTTTGTTTCACAAAATCACAATACCAACACTTCCCAAGTGTTTAGTATATTTATTATTATTGTTGTTGTTATTAATACCCCGCTTTATCTCCCCCAAATGGAACCCCAAAGTGGCTTAACATTAGCATACTATTATTATTATTATATTTATTATTATTTTATTATTTTACTGACACAAAAACACAGTATGTCGCAGCAAACGAGATATATTTGCTGCATTTCCTATCACAAAAACACAAGTCGAACACTTCCCAAGCATCTAGTATATTTATCATTATTATTATTATTATTCTTATTATTATTATATTAATTTATTTATACCCCGCTTTATCTCCCCAACGGGAACTCAAAGTGGCTTAACATAAAACCATTAGCATACTATTATTATTATTATTATTATTATTATTATTATTATTATTTATTGTATATTTATTATTGTGTTACTGACACCAATACACAGTATATCACAGCAAATGAGATATATATGCTGGATTTCATATCACAAAAACACAAGTTGAACACTTCCCAAGCATCTAGTATATTATTATTATTATTATTATTATTATTATTATTATTATTATTATTATTATATTTATTATTGTATATTTATTATTGTGTTACTGACACCAATACACAGTATGTCACAGCAAATGAGATATATATGCTGGATTTCATATCACAAAAACACAAGTCAAACACTTCCTAAGCAGCCAGTATATTTATTATTATTATTATTATTATTATTATTATTATTATTATTATTATTATTATTATTATATTTTTCCCTACTTATTTCTCCTGTAGGAGACTTAGAGTGGCTTAACGTAATAGCATCAGCATAACCATTTAGACGATACGAGCATGAATAAATATAGGTTGCTTACCTGTAACCGTAGTTTCCCGAGTGGTCAACTGGGAATTGCACATATGGTAGTTTCTGCGCCTGAGCAGACAGCTCTTATATAAGGCAGATGGCAAAGTTTTCCCTTTGCAGTTCCTTCCTGTTCCCTTTGTGGTGGGGTGGGGACCCCCTCTTCCCGGGCCCCTTGGTGAGCGTGCCCCCTTTCCGCCTCTTGCAGGCACTTTAGCGAATTCCTGCGGAGCCACCACTTCTGCAAATACCAGATTGAGGTGCTGACCAGCGGGACCGTCTACCTGGCCGACATCCTCTTCTGCGAGTCCGCCCTCTTCTACTTCTCCGAGGCAAGGACTCTGGGTTTGCCCCCCACCCCCTTCCCCTTCCGCCTCGGGAGAGCCCTGACCGTCTCCTCTCTCTCTATGTGCGGCCTTCCTCTGGGCGGGCAAGCCTCCCCTTGATCCTGGCATGGGCCATGGACGTCCCCTTGGCCCCCCCCCCCCCCCCCCCCCCCCCAGTTCATGGAGAAGGAAGAGGCCGTGAACGTCCTGCAGTTCTGGCTGGCGGCGGACAACTTCCAGTCCCAGTTGGCAGCCAAAGAAGGCCAGTACGACGGGCAGGAGGCCCAGAACGACGCCATGATCCTGTACGACAAGTGAGTCCCCTTCCCCTCACCCTTCCACGATTTCTGTACGTGAGGGACCAACCAGGCTGCCAAGATAAGCCATCTCTCGGGAATTTTCTAGGTACTCCAGGTGATAATAGGCTGTTGGAAATTGCCATGATAATAATAAAATATTATTATTATTATTATTATTATTATTATTATTATTATTATTATACTATTATCATATTAAATATAATAATATTGTATTATTATTATTATACTATTATTATTACTGGAATTTGCCATAATAATAATAATAATAATAATAATAATATGTAACATAGTATTATTATAATATAATATAATAATCTATATAAATAAAAATGTCATGTTCGTTTGTAGGATTAACAGAACTCAAAAACCACTGGGGGAATTGACACCAAATTTGGACACAAGACACCTAACAACCCAATGTATGTCCTTCATGCAAAAAAAAAATTGATTTTGTCATTTGGGAGTTGTAGTTGCTGGGATTTATAGTTCACCTACAATCAAAAAGCATTCTGAACCCCACCAAACGTTGGAATTGAACCAAACTTGGCACACAGGACTCCCATGACCAACAGAAAATACTGGAAGGGTTTGGTGGGCAGTATCCTTTGGTTTTGGAGTTGTAGTGATCTCTCCATCCAGAGATCACTGTGGACTCAAATAATGATGGATCTGGACCAAACTCTACACGAATACTCAATATTCCCAAATGTCAACACTGGTGGAGTTTGGGGAAAATAGAATCTTGACATTTGGGAGTTGTAGTTGCTGGGATTTATAGTTCATCTACAATCACAGAGTATTCTGAACCCCACCAACGATAGAATTGGGCCAAACCTCCCACACAGAACAGCCATGTGGGTCACAGCAACGTGTGGCAGGGGATGGCTAGTATGATATAATACTAATAATATTTGAAACACAACAAGGTGAGTTCTTGTTTGCTGTGTACTCATCTTGTTGTTTTTCAATATTATTATTATTATTACTATTATTATGCACTTATGTATTTATGTTCTTCTTTATCTCCGCGGAGGGACTCGGAGCGGATTACAGTTTCACATATACATATAAGGCAAACATCCAGTGCCTTTTTACAGGGTAAACAACCACACACAGACAGAGGTGAAGGTCTTCCCCTTCCATTTCTGGCATCTGGAGGTGATGCTCCACTCTGGCTCTTGTTAAATTTTTCCGTGCTGAGGGCCCTGTTGTCCATAGGCATCTCCAGTTGTGTTGCTGGCATGTCTGCATGGCCTCCGTACCTATTGATCTACTCACATGACATGCCTTTGAACTGCTAGGTGGGCAGAAGCTAGGGCTGACAGCTGGGAGCTCACCCTGACTTGCAGCTTTGAACTGCTAACTCTTTGATCAGCAGATTATCTGCAGCTAGCGGTTTAATCTGCTGCGCTTTCCTCCGTAGAGGAAAGTGTAGTACTTGAAGGTCCCAGAGGGTCCTGGGGCGCCTCCGTGGTGGCCTTTGTGGTGCTTGTTCCTCCGTCCTGACCGTGTTGCCCCCTCGTGTGTGTGCCTCTGCGCAGGTATTTCTCCCTCCAAGCCACGCACCCCCTGGGCTTTGACGACGCCGTGCGGCTCGAAATCGAGTCCAACATCTGCCGGGAGGGCGGCCCGCTCCCCAACTGCTTCACCACTCCCTTGCGCCAAGCCTGGACCACCATGGAGAAGGTCGGCAGCCCCCCGCGCCTGGCCGGGCCCCTGGGGGAGGGGGGGTGGGCCCCAGAGAGAGAGAGAGAGAGAGAGAGAGAAGGTTCCCTCCGTCCTTTTCTGTCTTCTCTCTCCAGGTTTTCCTGCCCGGCTTCCTCTCCAGCAACCTTTACTACAAATACTTGAACGACCTCATCCACTCGGTCCGGGGGGACGACTTCGCCGGCGGAAGCCTCGCACTGACCGTTCATGGCTTCGGCGGTGGCGGCACTCCAGACCACTACTCCCACTCGGGGACGCCCGACAGCTCGACTCCTCCTTCCCAGGCGAGTCCCCCCCCCTTTGCGCCCTCGGCACCCCGAAGGGGGTCATTAGGGATGTGCAGCGCTTTCATTACTCATCGTAAATCGTATCAAATTCGTCCTTACAATGCAATATCTGACAGGCGCCAAAAACGTAAGAATCAAAACTCACTCAAGACTCTTTCGGTTGGATTTTGTAAACACAGAAGCCTCCCAAAGTCAGATTTATGTTCAGTCCAAGGAAGGAAAACAAAGCCAAAAAGGCTGCCTTTCCTCTTTCAGTGAATGGCCTCGAGGAGAGGGAAGCCGCAGGGAGGAAGCAGAGTGAGCTGGGAAAGTGGCGGAGAAAGCAGAGCATTCTGGGAAATGTAGTTTGGGAAAACAAAGCCAAAAAGGCTGCCTTTCTTCTTTCAACAAATGGCCTCGAGGAGAGGGAAGCCGCAGGGAGGAAGCAGAGCGAGCTGGGAAAGTGGCAGAGAAAGCAAAGCATTCTGGGAAATGTAGTTTGGGAAAGCAAGGAACCCCATTTTGTAAACACGGAAGTCTCCCAAAGTCAGATTTATGTTCAGTGCAAGGAAGGAAAACAAAGCCAAAAAGGCTGCCTTTCCTCTTTCAACGAATGGCCTCGAGGAGAAGGAAGCCGCAGGGAGGAAGCAGAGCTAGCTGGGAAAGTGGCGGAGAAAGCAAAGCATTCTGGGAAATGTAGTTTGGGAAAGCAAGGAGCCCTATGCCGGAGAATGCGAAAGGCCCTGCCCTGAACTACATTTCCCAGAATGCTGTTCAGCATCAGTAAGCTCCAATCAGGAGAGGGAGAGGTGTGTCGCTCCGTCGCACCAGGTAGCCAGAGTTGCAATGAAGGGTTGAATCTGCAAAGAACAGAAAAGCAATTACATTTCATGACGATAGCAACTAAATTTCCACTCACAATACTTTAGAAACACTTTAAAAATAAAATGCCAGCACTCCCCTGATTTTGTAATGAGTTGTGAAATATTTTTTTAATTGATTGCACACGCCTAGTGGTTAATAGCGAGGGTCGCGAGGGATCTGTCTCGGCCGGAGGGATTCCCTCCCTGGCGCGTCTGAGCGCCCCCCCCAGGAACCCCCCCCCCCGCGCCCCTTGTCGTTTGCAGCCGAGCCTCAAAAGGGCCAATGTCAAAATCCTGAAAAACTTTGACGAAGCAATAATTGTCGACGCGGCCAGCCTGGATCCGGAGTCTCTGTATCAGCGGACGTATGCCGGGTGAGTGAGTGTCCCTTCGGGAACTCTTGAGATTATTCCCGATAGAGTGCAAGGCTGCGTCAAAAAGCTTTGTTTCATGCGCCATAAAAATGCATATTTATATATTTTATTATTTTTATATTTTTATTATTATATTTTTTATATTTTGTATTTTTATTATATATATATATATTGTTATATATTTTATATATATATATATTATTTTATTATATATGTTATACTTTATTATATATTATATATTTTTAATTTTTGTATTTTTAAATATTTTTATATTTTTATTTATTTTTATTTTAAATATTTTATATTTATATATCTCTATTATTTTTATTATATATATATATATATATATATATATATATATATATTCTCCATTTCTTGTCTTTTTTTCTTTGTCTTCTCTTTTCCCCCCTTTCTTTGGATTATCGCCCCTCACGCACTAGTTTGTCTTTGAATGTTGATTTTATCTATAATGTATTTTAATTAAAATTCTCAATAAATGCTATTTTTTTTTTTTAAAAATGCATTCCGTAGGCTCACCAGCACCACCTCCACCTGCCAGGCATGCCACTGAACCCCCACCCAACATTAACGGTGGGACATGGCACACACACCCACACAGAGGCAGAGCTCCCCTTTGATATTTAGCAACAGTCGCTGTCAGTCCCTCAATCCCGACGTTTTGACGGTCCCTGACCGGCACAGAGAGGGGTGCGAGCACAGTTCCCTAGGCAGGCAGGCAGGCAGGCACTCATAAGAAAGACTCAAAGAGTTCACGACGCTCGTTCTTGCCGCAGGAAGATGTCGTTTGGCCGTGTCAGCGACCTGGGCCAGTTCATCCGCGAGTCGGAGCCCGAGCCGGACGTCAAGAAATCGAAAGGTGAGTTCCGCCTTGGCTCCCTCCTTTGGGGGGTCTTCCCTACTGACCCCTTCCTCCAAAATCATCTCTCCCACCAAAGATGGCAACACTTCATGTATTGTTTGTAAACAAGGAGTGGGTGAGCGTAACCTTCTGAAACTTGGTGGGCTAACCGTGGGAAATGTTTAGGGCCCATTATTTTGGAACCCCCCCCCCCCCCCCCCACTCCCCTTGTTAATTCATTGATTGCACCGCCTGAGTCTCGGGTTCTGCCTCTTGTTTTGTTGGGTCAACTGCGGCCGGTTCTCAAGCAAAGAATATTTTCAGGCTCGGTCCTGCAACTGATTCCTCTTTTCCTCTGCGCTCCTTCCAGGGTCCATGTTTTCACAAGCAATGAAGAAATGGGTGCAAGGAAACACGGACGAGGTAGGTCTCCCGCATCACGGCTCCGTGTGAGTCGGTTCTCTCCCAGAAGGGAGTGAGTCAAAAAGTTTTGCCTCCCGAGTCCTAAAAACGTTGATCCCGGGCTTCTCTCTCTCTCTTTTTTTTTTTCGTGCGTCCCAGGCCCAGGAGGAGATGGCCTGGCGGATCGCCAAGATGATCGTCAACGACGTCATGCAGCAGGCCCAACCCCACCCGCCCGCAGAGAAAGTGACCAAGGTGACGGCGGCAAGTACAGCCTCTGTATTAATAATAATAATAATAATAATAATAATAATAATAAAAATAAATATAATATCAATAATAATAAAAAATAAATATAATAATAGTAATAATAATAATAATAATAATAATAATAATAATAATAATAATAATAAATATGAATAATAATAATAGGAGCAACCCCAGGGCCATCTAGCCTCAATAATAATAATAATAATAATAATAATAATAATAATAATAATAGAAGCAACCCCAGGGCTATCTAGCCTCAATAATAAATATAAATATAATAATAATAGGAGCAACCCCAGGGCCATCTAGCCTCTGTAACAACAGTAACAACAACAACAACAACAACAACAACAACAACAACAGTAGCAACCCCAGGGCCATCTAGCCCCAGTAGTAGTAGTAGTAGTAGTAGTAATAATAATAATAATAATAATAATAATAATAATAATAGGAGCAACCCCAGGGCCATCTAGCCTCAATAATAAATATAAGACTTGGTTCAAGACTTGGCTGTTTGGTTGTGCATTTAAGTAAAGTGATCAGACCTAATTTGCCAAAGAGTCACTGTTGTATGTTTTTATGTTGAATGTTTTTATATTGTCTAAATGCTATTTTAGATTGTAAGTCGCTCAGAGCACCTTGTTGGAGAGCAACTAATTAAGAAATAAAGTGAAGTGGTAAATATAATAATAATAATAATAGGAACAACCCCAGGGCCATCTAGCCTGAATTATAATAATAAATATAATATAATAATAATAATAATAGGGGCAACCCCAGGGCCATCTAGCCTCAATAATAATAATAATAATAATAATAATAATAATAATAGCAACTTCAGGGCTATCTAGCCTCAATAATAATAAATATAATAAATATAATAATAAATATAATAATAATAATATAATAGGAGCAACCTCAGGACCATCTAGCCACTGTAATAATAATAATAATAATAATAATAATAATAAATATAAATATTATAATAATAATAGAAGCAACCTTAGGGCCATCTAGCCTCTAGTGGTAATAATAATAATAATAATAATAATAATAATAATAATAATAATAATAATATGGACAACCAATTCACTATGACGACTGACCATTGTTATTATGTGATTGCATTTTGCTGTTATAACGTTTTAATTTAATATGTTATATGACGTTTTTAATTATTGTTTTGTGATTTTATTGTTGGAAACCGGCCCAAGTCCCCCGATAGAGGGGAGAAGACCAGTATACAAAATTGCTAAATAAATAAATAATAAAATAATAATAGAGTAAAATAATGTAACTGTAATAATAATAGGAGCAATCTCAGGGCCATCTAGCCTCAACAATAAATATAAATATAATAATAGGAGCAACCCCAGGGCCATTTAGGCCCTGCAATAACAACAACAACGCATTGAGTTTTCCCTCTTCCTCCGGGGAATGTTGTCTTGCCGGAAGGTTGTGTGTGTGTTGCTGTGGCGCGGAAGCCAATGCCTTCTTCCTCCTCTTCTCTTGTCCCAGCTATGATCTCCGACCGAAGGACTCCAAAGATGGGCCCACCCACCCGTTGGTTCTCCGCTCCTTCCTTCCTTCCTTCCGAGGCTGTGCTTCCTCTCTTCCAACGGAAACCGATTGGCGTGGGCCTCCCCGGCTCCTCTCCCTCCCCTCCCAGTGCGTTCCCAGTTTGAGAAGCCGCCTCCCAGTCGGAATCGGACTGCAAATTGGGAGCAGCACCGTCACTCGTCACAGAGACCCGGGTTGTTGACATCTCCCTCTATATCTATACACACACTTACATATATATATATAAGAACTCTTCCTTTTTCTTTACTTGAAGCTCTCGGGGAGGAAGTTCCCGTTTGGTTTCCTGAGTTGCATTCCTCCCTTTCCCCGTTCTCCGGCCCACTCCACGGCGCTCCTTTCCTCTCTATGGTTGGGGTTGTGGCCTTCTCTCCCCCAAAACACAACAAAACACAACCCGCACCCTTTGGACTCGCCTCCTCCTCCTCTTCCCGCTTGTCGTTCTGGGAAGAGCCTCAGACGGAGAACGGCGGCGCTGGTTGCAATACGCGCTCACGGGATGCGGGACCCTCTCACTCTCCCTCTCTCTCCGTGTGCGGACAGGCTTTTTTGGTACTGTGTACCAACTCCTTACGGTCCGGCGCCCAAGGATTCGTGTACGGAAACCATATTTAATTGTGTTTTGATTGAAATACAGTATATATATATATATTACAAACCTGTGTGTGTGCATATCTTCTCTCTGAGCGTGTTTGTGAGTGTATTCAAAACTTTTCCTACCTAGAGCTGCATCACGGTCAGAATCCTAGGACTGAAACTATTATTATTATTATTATTATTATTATTATTATTATTATTAATTAGCAAAGGCAGCCAGGCTTCAAATAATAATAATAATAATAATAATAATAATAATAATAATAATAATAGAATCATAAAATAATAAGAGTTGGAAGGGATCCCCAAAGGGCATCTAGTCCAACCTCTCTCCAGCCAAGCAGGAAAAGCACAATCAAAGCCCTCCTAACAGATGGCCACTCAGACTGTATAATAATAATAGTAAAATCATAGAATCAACAAAGGATGCCCCCAGCCAGGAAGAAGCCAGGCCCCCAGCATTGGTGTGATCTCCAACAATCACCTGCTGTGCCCAGGCGGCTTCCTGAGGTGCTCCTCTGCTGTGAGTTTTCTGGCCATGTTCCAGAAGCATGCTCTCCTGGCGTTTCACCCGCATCTCTGGCAGGTCTGTTGGAAACTAGGCAAATCAGCTTTGTATATCTGTGGAACAATGTCTGTGGGAGGCGAGAGTGAAGGTTGCCATTGGTCGCCTTGATCAGCACTGAATGGCCTTGCAGCTTCAAAGCCTGGCTGCTTCCTGCCTGAGTGGGGAATCCTTTGTTGGGAGGTGGGAGAAAGAAAGAACTCTTGTCTGTTGGAGGCAAGCGTGAAGGCTGCAATTTATCACCTTGATTAGTGTTGAGTGGCCTTGCAGCTTCAAAGCCTGGCTGCTTCCTGCCTGAGGGGGAATCCTTTGTTGGGAGTGGGAGAAAGAAAGAACTCTTGTCTGTTGGAGGCAAGTCTGAATGTTTCCATTGGCCACCTTGATTAGCATTAGGTCCCATTGCAGCTTCACAGCCTGGCTGCTTCCTGCCTGGGGGGAATCCTTTGTTGGGAGTGGGAGAAAGAAAGAACTCTTGTCTGTTGGAGGCAAGTCTGAATGTTTCCATTGGCCACCTTGATTAGCATTAGGTCCCATTGCAGCTTCACAGCCTGGCTGCTTCCTGCCTGGGGGGGATCCTTTGTTGGGAGGTGGGAGAAAGAAAGAACTCTTGACTGAAGGAGGCAAGCGTGAAGGCTGCCATTGGCCACCTTGATTAGCACTGAATGGCTTTGCAACTTCAAGGCCTGGCTGCTTTCTGCCTGGGGGGATCCTTTGTTGGGAGGTGGGAGAAAGAAAGAACTCTTGTCTGTGAAGGCTGCAATTTATCACCTTGATTAGCATGGAGTGGCCTTGCAGCTTCAAAGCCTGCCTGCTGGGGGGGGGGGGTGGTGTTAGCTGGCCCTGACTGTTTCCTGCCTGGAATCCCCCTTTCTGTGGAGCATGGCCCTCCTGCTTCTTATGGCCTTCAGTGGCTCCTCTGTGTTGCCTGAGAGTGGTCCAGCATGGCTGCCTTTTCCAAGCATACTCTGCCGTGCCCAGGTGAGTTCCTCAGGTGCTCCTCTCTCTGCTCTTGGGGCGCCTGTCCTGCCTCTTGCCCTTCCGGGCCGGGCCAGCAGGTGGCAGCAGAGTCCTAGCTCTCTCTCTCTGTCTGTCTTGGGCGCCGCCTGATGACGCAAGCGCGCCTCCTTCCTTCCCTCCTTCCTTCCTTCCTTCCTTCCTGTTCCGGTGGGTCCACGTGGGTGAGGAGATGGCGGCGGTGGAGGCGATGGCGCGGCTCCTGATCCAGTTCCGCGATGAGTCCGGCCAGGCCCTGGGCTCGCCCTTCGACGTCCCCGCAGACATCACCCCACAGAAGCTCCAGCTCGTCTGCCACGCCCTCCTCCAACAGGTAGGCACCACCAAAACCCTCCCGGCAGAGGCCCGCGCGGCCCAGACACGAGAATAACAATAATAGAATAGCATCCAGGGGTTGGAAGGGGCCCCCAAAGGGCATGCAGTCCGCCCTCTCTTCAGCCAGGCAGGAAAGGCACCAGCAAAGCCCTCCTGACAGATGGCCAGTCTAATAATAATAATAATAATAATAATAATAGAATAGCATCCTAGGGTTGGAAGGGGTCCCCAAAGGGCATGCAGTCTGCCCTCTCTTCAAAGCACCACCAAAGCCCTCCCGGCAGAGGCCCGCGCGGCCCAATCAGAAGAATAACAATAATAGAACAGCATCCTAGGGTTGGAAGGGGCCCCCAGAGGGCATCCAGTCTAGCATCCTAGGGTTGGAAGGGCCCCCAAAGGGCATGCAGCCCGCCCACTCTTCAGCCAGGCAAGAAAAGCACCATCAAAGCCCTCCTGACGGATGGCCGTCAAGCCTAATAATAATAATAGAATAGAATGGAATCCTAGGGTTGGAAGGGGCCCCCAAAGGGCATCCAGTCTAGCATCCTAGGGTTGGAAGGGCCCCCAAAGGGCATGCAGCCCGCCCACTCTTTAGCCAGGCAAGAAAAGCACCATCAAAGCCCTCCTGACGGATGGCCGCCCAGCCTAATAACAATAATAATAGAATAGAATAGCATCCTAGGGTTAAAAGGGCCCCCAAAGGGCATCCAGTCCACCCCCTCTTCAGCCAGGCAGGAGAAAGCACCATCAGAGGCTTCCTGAGAGATGGCCACCCAGAGCCCTCCCGACAGATGACTGTCCAGCCTAATAATAATAGACACAGTTACTGTGTTGGGTGACAGATCTCTATCTGTTATAGAATCCTAGAGTTGGAAGGGCCCCCCAAAGGCCTCTAGTCCAACCTCTGGGAAAGCACCATCAAATCCCTCTTGACAGATGGCCGCCCAACCTAATAAGAATAATAATAGAATAGAATAGCATCCTAGGGTTAAAAGGGCCCCCCAAAGGGCATGCAGTCTGTCCACTCTTCAGCCAGGCAGGAGAAAGCACCATCAAAGCCCTCCTGACAGATGGCCAGCCTAATAATAATAACAATAATAGAATAGAATCTTAGGGTTGGAAGGGGATCCCAAAGGGCATCCAGGCCAACCCTTTTCTTGCCAGGCACCAGCAAAGCCCTCCTGGCAGATGGCCATTCAGCCTCTGCTTTTTAATAATAATAATAGAATAGCATCCTAGGGTTGGAAGGGGCCCCCAAAGGGCATGTAGTCCACCCTAATAAGGATAAGGATAATGATCATAATAGACACAATTACATTGCTAGAATTGCCAGTTCTACAAAGAAAAGGAAATACCTTGGGGCAACTTTTCCAAATAAGAATGCGACTCTTGTCCAAGGTCACTCTCGTTCCTGGGTTATCCGTGTCGTTTCCTCATTGGTTCTGTCATGTAAAAAGTGTATCAAACTGCCCAAACAGAATATAATAAATATAATGTGCTCTACCACCATTGCTAACGCCCTGCCTGCTCCAGAAATAATAGAATAACAATGCCGAGCTTCTCCCTTTCGAAGGAGGATCCGCTGCCCTTGGCCTTCTTTGTGGGCGACTCCGAAATCGTCGCCTCCTTGGAGAAGACGCTGTGCGGCCAGGCCGTGGAGACGGAGCGCGTGCTGGACGTGGTCTACCAGCCGCAGGCCGTGTTCCGGGTCCGGGCCGTCACGCGCTGCACCAGCTCCTTGGAGGGACACAGCGAGGCCGTCATCGCCGTCGCCTTCAGCCCCACCGGCAAGTACGTCCACTTCCTATTAGAGACCGATTACGGTGGTTGTGGTTGTTATTGCGTGTCCATAACAGCACCTATGTGTCTATTTATGTATCTATCTATTATCTACATATCTATGTGTCTATCTATGTATCCATCTATGTATCTATGTGTTTATGTATCTACATAGCTATGTGTCCATCTATGTATCTATCTATGTGTCTATGTATTCATATGTCAATGTATCTATGTGTCCATCTATGTATCTATTTATGTATCTATGTGTCCATCTATGTATCAAAATATATGTATTTATGTGTCTACATATCTATGTGTCCATCTATGTRTCTATGTATTTATGTGTCTACGTATYTATGTATCCATCTATGTATCTATTTATGTATCTATGTGTCCATCTATGTATCAAAATATATGTATTTATGTATCTACATATCTGTGTCCATCTATGTATCTATGTATTTATGTGTCTACGTATTTATGTATCCATCTATGTATCTATTTATGTATCTATGTGTCTACGTATCTATGTGTCCATCTATGTATCTATTTATCTATGTATGTGTCCATCTATCTATGTAGCTATCTATGTATTTATGTATTTACATATCTATGTGTCCATCTCTGTATCAAGTATTTATGTGTCTATGTATCTATGTGCCCATCTATGTATCTATATATGTATTTATGCACATTAGGCCCAAGTGTCTGGGCTTCGTCTCTGAATATCGGGCTCTTCCCAAGGGCCTAGAATATTAGTGATCTGTTATGACATTATTGTAATATATTATTATGATATATTATTCTATATTACATGTGCATAACAACACAGCACACATGCACATTAGACCCAAGTGTCTGGGCTTTGTCTCTGAATATGAGCAGGCTCTTCCCATATTAGAGACATATTATTAGATTATTATTATTATTATTATTATTATTATTGTTATTATTATATATTATTCTATATTACGTGTGCATAACAACACAGCACGTGTGCATATGAGGCCTAAGTGTCTGGGTTCTGAATATTGGGCTCTTTCCAAGGCCCTAGGATATTATTACGTTGTTATTATATATTATTATTATTATTATTATTATTATTATAGGTTATTATATATTATTATTATTCCTTTAGATACCTTGCCAGCGGCTCTGGTGACACCACCGTGCGCTTCTGGGACCTCAACACTGAGACGCCGCACTTCACAGCTAAAGGTGAGCTATTATTATTATTATTATTCTATATTATATTATTTATTTATTTATTTACCTTAATATTATATTATTATACAATATTATATTATTCTAATATTTTATTTATTTATTTATACCCCTCTTTCTCTCTCCACAATGAAACTCAAAAGTGGCTTATTATTATTTTTCCTATTGTACTATATTATAGGTTTATATTATATTATTCTAATATTTTATTTATTTATAACCTGCTTTCTCTCTCCACAAGGAAACTCAAACGCAGCTTATTATTCTTATTCTTATTATACTATAATATAATTATTACATATTGGTATACATTGTTATATTATTATAATATATTTCACACACACACACACCCTTGGCACAGTGGGTGAAACTGCTGAGTTGCAGAACTTGCTGACCAGAAGGTTGGCAGTTCAGATCTGCAGGATGGAGTGAGCTCCTGCTGTTAGCCCCAGCTTCTGCCAACCTAGCAGTTCAAAAACATGCAAAATGTAGGTAGATCAATAGTTATTGATCCAGTGGGAAGGTAAGGGCGCTCCGTGCAGTCATGACCATGGAGGTGTCTATGGACAACGCTGGCTCTTTGGCTCAGAAATGGAGAGGAGTGGTCCTGACTCTCTCTCTCTCTCTCTCTCTCTGTTGCCCCTTGTGCGTCAACCAGGCCACCGCCATTGGGTCTTGAGCATCGCTTGGTCTCCCGATGGAAGGAAGCTGGCGTCCGGTTGCAAGAACGGCCAGGTAAACAACCCAGGATGATGACGGGACAAGCGTCTCGACCAGGAAGAGAGCGGACCTGCGGAGAGGATGGGAAGGAAGGAAGGGAAGGAGAAAGGAAAGGAAAGAAGAAAGGAGGGAAGGAGGAAGGAAAGAGTGAAGGAAGAAAGGAATATAAGAGAAGGAAGGGAAGGGAAGGAGAAAGAAGAAAGGAAAGAGGGAAGGAAGAAAGGAATGAAAGAGGAAGGGAAGAGAGAAGGTAGGAGGGAAGGAGGAAGGAAAGAGAAGAAGGAAGGAAAGAAGAAAGGAAAGAAGAGAGGAAGGAGGAGGAAGGGAAGAGGAGGTTGGAAGGAAGGATGAAAGAGAAGGAAGAAAGAAGAGAAGAAAGAGAGTGGGAAGGAAGGAAGGAAAGAAAAGAGAAGGAAAAGAGAAGGGGAAGGAAGGAAGGAAGGAAGGGGGGAAGAGGGAAGGAGGAAAGAGGGAGGAAGGAAGAGGAGAGAAGAAGGAAGGAAAGGAGGAAGGAAAGAGAGAAGAAAAAAGGAAAAGGGAGGAAGGAAGGAAGGAGGAAGGAAAGATGGAGAGACAAGAAGAAAGGAAGGAAGGAGGGGGTAAGAGAGAGGAGAGAGGGGAGTGTTTTTGATTTTGTGGGTGGGGTAGGTTGAAAATTTTGTGGGGGGGGGTTTGAAAATTTTGTGGGGGGGTTGAAAATTTTGGGGGTTGAAAATTTTGCTGGGGGGGTGAAAATTTTGTGGGGGGGGTTGAAAATTTTGTGGGGGGGTTTGAAAATTTTGCGGGGGGGGGTTGAAAATTTTGTGGGGGGGTTGAAAATTTTGCGGGGGGGGTTGGAAAATTTTGGGGGGGTTTGAAAATTTTGCGGGGGGTTGAAAATTTTGTGGGGGGGTTGAAAATTTTGCGGGGGGCTTGAAACCTGCCTCCTAGCTCATGCGGAAGCAAAGAGCACAGCAGGGGGCAGAGCAGCCTTCAATAGCTGCAGCTCCGCCCCTGTCAACCACCTCCACCAAGTCTGGCCTCCTTAATGAGAGCATTCAACACACACCACCCCCAACTTGGTTGCTTCACTACATCGGCTATTGCTGCAAGTAATGACAGTGTGAATAAATTGTCAATATTTGCTTGAGATAATAGTGCTTACAGTTCTGGAGGGACTCGTAATTTTTGCATCTCATAGACTTAGCAGGAAGGGGATTTGGTTAACCAGTTAAAATTCATGAGTAAACCAGGTTTTTAAAAAAAATCTGAAACATTTCAGGGGGGGGTTGAACCCCTAAAACCACCCCCTCGCTACAGGCCTGCTCTTCAGGTCCCATGGCGGGCCTTTCTGGGGCTGAGAGTCTGTGACTCGCCCGAGGTCAGGCACTCCCCTGGAGCGGGCATCACTCTCCGGCCTGGTCTCATGTTTGTGGGGGACGGTCCCGAGCGTGTCTGCGTCGCCTTGCGTGTTTTGTGCAGATCTTCCTGTGGGACCCGCAGACGGGGGCGCAGCTGGGCCGGGCGCTGGCGGGGCACGCCAAGTGGATCACCTCGCTCTGCTGGGAGCCCTTGCACCGGTGAGTCTCGGGGTCCCCCCTGGGGGGGTTTGGCCCCGGAAGGAAGCCCTCTGGGTTTGGCCCCCCCTTTGAACACGCTGCTCCCCCCCCCCTCCCTCCTCGGCAGGAACCCCGAGTGCCGGCTCCTGGCCAGCGGCTCCAAGGACGGGAGCGTGCGCGTGTGGGACACGGTGGCCGGGCGCTGCGAGCGGATCCTGACGGGGCACACGCAGTCCGTGACGGGCGTCAAGTGGGGAGGGGAGGGGCTGCTCTACTCCTCCTCCCAGGACCGCACCATCAAGGCCTGGAGGCCCCACGACGTACGTATCCCCCCCCCCCCACTCGCCCACACGCCCCTCACTCACTCCCCGGCACGAGGAAAGGGGGGGGTCATGGCCATCCAAGAATGAGCTGATTCGCTGTTGTTGTTGTTGTTGTTATTTGGGCACTTGTTATGGCTCTCGTTGCCTCAGAGACAACACAGGCCATCCCCAAGTGACGGAGAAGATCGGTCCTATAGGTCAAATCTGTAGGAAAGGAAGGAAGGAAGGAAGGAAGGAAGGAAAGAGAGGAAGGAGAGAGAGGAGGAGGAAGGAAAGGAGAGAGGAAGGACAGAAGGAAGGAAAGAGGAACCAGAGAGAAAGGGGGGAAGGAAGGACAGAAAGGAGGAAGGGGGAGAGAGGGAGGGAGGAAGATAGATGAAGGGGAGAAAGAGAGGAAGGAAGGAAATGAGGGAGGAAGACAAAAAGGGAGGAGGGTGAAAGAGGAAAAGGAGAGATGGAAGGAAGCTGAGGAGGGAGGAAAGACAGGAAAAGAGGGCAGGAAGGAGAGAGAGGAAAGAAGGAAGGAAAGAAAGAAGAAAGGGGAGGGAGGAAGATGGAGGAAGGAAAGAAGGGGAAGGAAGGAAGGAAGAGAGGAAGGAGAGAGAGGGGGGAAGAAAGAAGAGAGGAAGGACGGAAGGAAGGAAAAACGTACCAGAGAGAAAGGGGAGAAGGAAGGACAGAAAGAAGGAAGGAAGGAAAAAGAGAGGGAGGAAATGAGGAAGGAAGACAAAAAGGGAGGAGTGTGAAAGAGGAAAAGGAAGGAAGGATAGATGGAAGGAAGCTGAGGAGGGAGGAAAGAAAGGAAAAGAGGGGAGGAAAGAGAAGGAAGGAAGGAAAGAAAGAAGAAAAGGGGAGGAAGGAAGAGATGGAAGGAGGGACAGAGGAAGGAAAGAGGGAAAAAGGGGAAGAAGGAGAGAGTAAGAAGAAAGGGGAGGAAAGAAAGATAAAGGAGGAAAGAAGAGAGGAGGAAGGAAGGGAAGAGGAAAGAAAAGAAACAGGAAGGAAAGAGAGGATGGAAGAAACAGAAGGAAAGAAGGGAAGAGAGAGGAAGGAAAAGGAAAGAGAGGAAGGAAGGTAGGTAGGTTGGGAACAGAGAGGGAGGGAATTCGTGAAGTGTGGCTTAGCTAGAACCCACCGGCTGCCTTTAGGCGAGTGCCACTCTCTCTCTCGGCCTCGAGGGAAGGCCAGGGGCGCCCCCTCGGCCTGAGCCTGGCCCAGCGCCTCTCCTCTTCCTCTTCCTCTTCCTCTTCCTCTTCCTCCCTCTCTTTGCAGGGCGTTTTGTGCCGCACTTTGCAGGGCCACGCGCACTGGGTGAACGCCATGGCGCTCAGCACGGACTACGTTCTGCGGACGGGGGCCTTTGAGCCGGCCGAGGCCTCCGTCAACCCCCAGGACGTCCAAGGATCCCGTGAGAGACACCCCCCCCCCTTGCCTCTTCCCCGCCCCGCCCCTCCCTTCGCTTCCCAAATCCTCCTCGGCGGACTCCACCCTCCCCTCTGAGGGGCTTCCCTACTTTGAATAGACTCGGGGGGGGGGGGGGATGTCACGACAATCGGGCAGTGCAGACCCTTTAATACACTCCAATAATAATAATAATAATAATAATACACTTTATTTATATTCCGCTACACAAACATTCAGTGCCTTGAATACAATAAATAATAATAATGATAATAATAATAACACACTTTATTTATATTCCGCTACATAAACATTCAGTGCCTTGAATACAACAATCAATAATGATAATAATAACATACTTTATTTATATTCCGCTACACAAACATTCAGTGCCTTTAATGCAACAATCAATAATAATAATAATAATAATATGCTTTATTTATATTCCGCTACACAAACATTCAATGCCTTTAATTCAACAATTAATAATAATAATAATAATACGCTTTATTTATATTCTGCTACACAAGCATTCAATGCCTTTAATACAATAATTAATAATAATTATGTGCTTTATTTATATTCCGCTACACAAACATTCAGTGCCTTTAATATGATAAATAATCACAATACACTTTATATTCTGCTACACAAACATTCAGTACCTTTAATACAATAATAATAATAATAATAATAGCACACTTTCTTTATATTCCGCTACACAAACATTCAGTGCCTTAAATGCAACAGTGACACAATGCACAATGCATTCTCCTGACTGTCTTTCCTTTCCTTCCTGGCAGTGGCGGAAATCCAGGAGAAAGCCTTGCGGAGATACAACCAAGTCCGGGTACGTACGCTGGCCGCCTTGTTGTCTCAACGTTGAGTGGGGTGTTTGCCCGCCCTGACTCGACTTCCCTTCCGCAATGATGAATGAATGCCTGTGGGTTGTGATTGCGACAGGGCCAGGGTCCCGAGCGGCTGGTCTCCGGCTCGGACGACTTCACGCTCTTCCTGTGGTCGCCGGCCGAGGACAAGAAGCCGCTGGCGAGGATGACCGGCCACCAAGCGCTCGTCAACCAGGTCGTCTTTTCGCCCGACACCCGCCTCGTGGCCAGCGCCTCCTTCGACAAGTCCGTCAAGCTGTGGGACGGCAAGACCGGGAAGTACGTGGCGCTGGCGGTGGCGGATTTGTGGAATCGTGCGCTCCACACAACGTGTCACTTCCGGCGGAGGTTGACCGCCTCTGTTGTCCCCGTTTCCCTCTCTCTCTCTCTCTCGCTCAGGTACCTGGCCGCCCTGCGAGGCCACGTCTCCGCCGTGTACCAAATCGCGTGGTCCGCCGACAGCCGCTTGCTGGTGAGCGGGAGCAGCGACAGCACCCTCAAAGTGTGGGACGCCAAGACGCGGAAGCTGGCCGTCGATTTGCCGGGACACGCGGACGAGGTCAGGCCTCTTCCCGTTCGTTCCCAGTTCAGTCCCTCAGCAGTTCCGCCTTCCCTGCAGGGAATTGTGGGAATTGTAGTCCAAAACACCTGGAGGGAGGGCCCGTGCCTGGGATATATACTCTTCCAAAAAGGAGGTGTTATGTGGCACCCCAGAAGGGATTGTTCCCTCCCCAATGCTTTTGGACACTAAACATTATTTGCGCTCCCTCTCTGCACACACACACACACACTCTTGTGCCCCACTTTGTGCTGGTCAGTCACCGTAATAAAGTTTTGTATTGTATGTCATGCAAACACAAAGTTTTTGCAGTTTAATACACTTTTCTCCATGTTTTTATGATAGGCCCAATTAGGAAATTAGGACATTGATGACCCAGGAACAAAAATCATTGTGTTACACGGTGTTGTTGTTGCCAATAACAACAACAACAACACTTGTGTGTGTGTTTGTATGTATGTATGTGTGTGATATATATAAAATATGATACTTGGACTTAATATGCATGTGTGCTGTGTTGCTATGTACATGCAATAATAACAACAACAATATTGTGTGTGTGTGTGTGTGTGTGTGTAAAAAGCATAAGACACTTGGATCTAATGTGCATGAGTGCTGTGTTGTTATGCACAGGTAATAATAATAATAACAATACTTTTGTGTGTGTGTAAGATACTTGGACTTAATGTGCATATGTGCTGTGTTGCTATGTACATGCAATAACAACAACAATATTGTTGTGTGTTTGTATATGTATATATAACATAAGACACTTGGACCTAATGTGCATGTGTGCTGTCTTGTTATGTACATGTAATAATAATAATAATAACAATAATACTTGTGTGTGTGTGTGTGTGTGTATATACACACACACTTGGACTTAATGTGCATGTGTGCTGTGTTGCTATGTACATGCAATAATAACAACATTGTACATGCAATAATATAACAACAACATTGTACATGTAATAATAACAATAATACTTGTGGGTGTGTATGTATGTATGTGTGTATGTATGTGTATATGTGTGTGGGTGTGTGTGTGTATATATATATATATATATACACACACACACACTTGGACTTAATGTGCATGTGTGCTGTGTTGCTATGTACATGCAATAATAACAACAACATTGTGTGTGTGTGTGTGTGTGTGTGTATATATATCATAAGACACTTTGACCTAATGTGCATGTGTGCTGTGTTGTTATATAATAATAATAATATAACAATAATGGTAAAAATAAAAGAAATAATAATAATAGTAAACATTATTATACGTAATAGTAATAATAATACTACTCTGCAAGACCTTCCGATACTCCGGGTTTCCGACCCGCGTGAGCAGGGGCTTCTTTGGGTTAGTTACTGGAATGCTTCCTGCGTCTTGTTGTTCCCAGGTGTATGCGGTGGACTGGAGTCCCGACGGCCAGCGCGTGGCAAGCGGAGGGAAGGATAAATGTCTCCGGATGTAAGTCTTTCCTTGGGCATTTCCAGGACATTTCTGGCTTATGGTGGACCGACCCTCCGGTTTCCCTGGCCTGGTTTGTTCAGAGAGGGTTTCCAGCCTTCAAGGTTCCATAAACGCCTTCTTTTCCATTCAAACAGATGGCGGAGATAGCGGTGTGGGCGGGAGCCGTTCTGCTCTGCCGTTCGTTCGTCCATCCAGCCCGGATGCGGCCTTGTCGTCCCAGAATTCACGGCTTGAGAAACGCGGACGCTCCCCTCTCTTGCTCAGCGGGAAACCTGGTGACGGCCGCCTCTGAGCCCGGAGGCCCCGCCCTGGAGCGCAAAGGACATCCCTGGGATTGCGGCACCGGAAGAAGAACGGGCCTCCCTCTCGCTTTCCCTCTACACACAATCACTGTCTATCCCGGACGAGCCCCCAAAGGGCGGCGGGACTGCTTCCGTGTTCAATCCCAGAGGGGGCCACAGTGACAACTCCCATCATCCCCAGCACGTTTGGTGCAATGGGAACATATGGGAATTGTAGTCCTGATATATATATGTATGTATGTATATATGTATGTTTTTTTCACACTAAAACGGACGTCGATTTCCCGTTTGGCCTCAGAAATCTATTGATACGGATTTGGAAAAAAATTTAGAATCCCCCAACAGATCTATCTATCTATCTATCTTACCCATCCATCTATTCCTCTATCACTCTAAATATCTCTCTCTCCCTCTACCTACCTACCATCCATCCATCCATCTCTCGCTCTAAATATCTATTTGTCTGTCTGTCTAGATTTCCTCTTTGTGGAGTCTGAAAGACGCACATATGGGTTTTAGTTCTGTGCATGCTCAGCTGTTTGGAACCTTCTAGACTCTCTTAAAAGAGGCCCTGCCCCCTCTCCCCAATACTATAAATGCCCCTGGCAGGGACTGCGCCTTAGTTCCTTTTTCCGCGCTCAGCGGCTTTGGAACCTCTCTAATCTCTTGACTGTTTCGGCCAATTTAAGCCATTTTGCTTAAGTTACTGGACTGCCTTGTTACGACCTCGGCTCTGCTATCGACCATGATGCCTCTCTCCTCCCTTTGATCTATTTGTCTGTCTGTCTGTCTATATATCTTATTGTAAAGAAGTCGTTAAACTGCTGCCACCAATTGTAACGATGACCGTTTTAATGCCACCGAATGCCACCAAATGTGAAGGTGCGAGTGGTAAAACACCCACTGCCACCTAATCTATGAGGGAAGCCGGGCAACGATCAATATCAGCCTAGGAACTATTTTATATAGGGACTGTTTCTGGCTGACTTTATTATTGTAGGCTGTTCAACTTAGGAGAAACTGTATCAGGCAAGGCTTGAGGAGAACAGTAACAAGTTTATTTTAACAGGAGGATAACAGTGTATAACCGTTCTTCAAAAGAGGCACAAATCTTGATGGATACATTGGAAAGGTTTCATGAGTAAACTCAGGCAAACACTTCATAAGGTTTCACAGCTGGCACGACAGGCTTAAACCCAGCCAAACCTTGATTCTTAATTCAGAATCAACAACCCCCTGTACTGGGTCCTTCTCTGCAACCACTTGGTCACCAATTGATTCCCTGAATCTCCACCAAAAGATTCAGTGTTCTCCCAGTAGCTCTCCGGCCACTGACTAATTCCCTGTTTCTCCCACTAGGGAAATCAGTCCCTTCCTGTAGCTCACCGGTCACAGACTGCCACTTTCAAAAAGCTGTGCTGTGAAGTGATAGTTGGCTCCGCCCCCGTTGCTATGGCAACTCAGCTACCATCAAGCCACTCTCTCCAACAAAACATAATCTTACATACTTACCATCCCTAAACCACTGTCCAAACTACACATAACCAAAGGAATAAAACTTACACATCGTCACACTTATCCATCCATCTATCTCTCACTCTAAATATCTGTCTGTCTGTCTATCTATCATCTTATACATCCGTCTCTCACTCTAAATCTCTCTCTCTCTATCCACCCATCTCTAGGCCTGTTTGATCAAGAAAAAATTTGTTTCTAAAATCGTTTTGTAATTGGGGTGTTTTTTTGTTTCGATATTTAAAATAATTACAAAACTTTCCCAAAAAAAGTTTTGGTATTTACAAAATTTTGTAAATATTAACGAATTTTTAGAATATTTTTTGTATTTTTTAAGAATAATATTAAAAAATAATATTAAAAAATATTTTAAAATGGAAAATTAACCAAAAAATGGCCCAAATGTCGACCAAACACAGGCAGGAGACAGCAAATGAGAGCACACACCAACAGAAGAGTATTTTCTTTTTTAGAATATTTTTTAAGAATAATATTAAAATAATATTAAAAAAAAATATTAAAATAATATTAAAAATATTTTAAAATGGAAAATTAACCAAAAAATGGCCCAAATGTGGACCAAACACAGGCAGGAGACAGCAAATGAAGCAAGCAGCACTCACAGCAGCAAGGAATGAATCCAATCCAGTTGCTAGCCATTAGCCAAGCCAACCCAATGCAAACTCCCTCGCCCTCTGCAGCAATGAGCTACGGCCGCGCCGCGCGGAGCCGCTTTGAAAGGGCTCGCCGGCCAATCAAAAACAAACAGCCACGGACCCACGGTGCACTGCTTGGGAGCGCCGGATTGGCTCCCAGGCACCAGCACTCCAGCAGCCTCCACCCCATTAACGAAACGAGCGGAAGCTCGTTAAATCTATGGGGGCTGCCGGTTCGATATTTTAAAACCCTTCCGGGTTTGGAAATGTGTTTTGATATCGCTTCAAAAATGCCAAAAATCACGAATTAATAATGAATTAACGAATTAATGAACGAAACCGCACAGGCCTACTAAATATCTGTCTGTCTGTCTGTCTATCTTATCCATCCATCTATTCCTCTATCTAAATATCTATCTATCCATCTGTCTGTCTATCTGTCATCTTATATATCCATCTCTCACTCTAAATCTCTCTCTCCATCCATCCAGCTCTCTATCTTATCCATCCACCTCTCACTCTAAATATCTGTCCATCCATCCATCCATCTATCTATCTTATTCATCCATCTATTCCTCTATCTAAATATCTATCCGTCTGTCTATCTTATTGATACATCTATTCCTCTCCCTCTCTTGCTCCATCCACCTCTCACTCTAAATATCTATCCATCTGTCTGTCTATCTATCATCTTATATATCCATCTCTCACTCTAAATCTCTCTCTCTCAATCCATCCACCCTTCTCTCTATCTTATCCATCCACCTCTCACTCTAAATATCTATCTGTCTATCTATCTATCTATCTATCTATCTATCTATCTATCTATCTTATTGATCCATCTATTCCTCTCTCACTCTAAATATCCACCTGCCTCTCTGTCTGTTTATCTATCTTATCCATCGATCTCCCCCTCTCTGTATCTAATCCATCGATCTCCCCCTCTAAATATCTCTTATCTATCTCTATCTATCCATCAACCCTCTCTACATTATTATTATTTTTATCATTACACTGTCCTATATCCCCAATGCTTTTGAACATTGACATGAAATGGCTGGGGGAGATCATCTGGAGACATGGGGTGCGTTGTCACGGGCGTGCGGATGACTCCCAAATACCTTTCTCCATCTGTCCATCCACCTATCCCTTCCTCTCTCTCAATCTAGATAGATCTACCTGTCTGTGGCTTTATCGATCTATGTACCCCCATCCTCCCTGCTCGTTCTCTCTCTGAATATCTCTCTCCTTCCCTGTCTTATCTGCCAAGCCAGGACTGGAACTGATAGAGCCACACATTGGGCGCGGGCTTTCAGGGTTTCGGGAAGGACCTGAAATGACACGCATGCTCTCTCTCTCTCTCTCTCTCTCTCTCTCTCTCTCTCGGATCGAGTTCCCATTTGCCCCCTGAAAGGCATTTATCCGCTTGGACAGCTTCTGCCTCGGATGTGCAAATGCGAACCAGGCCCCGGGCGCTTTCCCTCACCCAGATCGCTCAATGCGCACGCATGCGCACACACAAACGCACACACACGCATGGGAGCTCTGCCCTTGCCTCCTCTCCAAAACCATATCCTTTGCCCTGAGACTTGTGTTTACTATAAAAACAAAACGCAAGGCGTGCGTCAAATCCCTGGGTCCCACCTTCCGCCGGGAGATTGTGGACACGGCTCAAGAGGAGAACGGATGCCGAGGAAGCAGAGGGGTTGTCCATGGCTGGGCAGCCATATGTTATAATAATACAATTAATATACTGTAATATAATACGCATTAGGGCTGGGCAACCACGGAAAAATTTGTTTCTAAACTCGATTCGTTTTTTGGTTTTTTTTGCGTTTCGATATTTAAAAGAATTCCAAATTTTTTCTTTAAAAAAGTTCGATATTTACGAAATTTCGCAAAATTACGAAACGAATACGAAACGAATACGAATCGATTCGTTAATGGCGGACGCGACCGCGCAATACGCTAAAAACCCACCTCCAAATGGGACGGGGGGAACTTCTGAAGCTTCCCTCTCCCTCTGTTGTTGACTCTTGGTCTGATATTTATATTTTTTTTTCACTGGTTAAACAAACAACAACTATAAAACTTGCCCCAGACATGCGGAAATAATAACGAAATAATTTCGAAACGAATACGAAGCAATTACGAAACAAATTGAAAAATTCGTTTCGTTTTTTAGATGCTCCTGAATGGTTCGTTATCGCTTCGTAACCCCCCCCCAAAAATAACGAATTTTTAACGAATTGCGAAACGAAACCGCCCAGCCCTAATACGCATCTATATTAACATTATATTACTATAGCAGAAAATACTACATCTGTTAATATAGTATAATATAATGTGCATATATATTTATATATATATACACACACACAAATTATATTACATTAATAGATATACTGTATTAGAATATATTGCATTTTATAATATGTGTTATAGTAATAATATTATAATATATTAGCATATATTGTAATATATGGTGTAATACTATAATATATATTAATATAATGTAATATATGCATATATATTTCTAATATAACATATAAAATACTGTGTTAATATACTGTAATATACCCCTGTGCTGGCAGGACTGAAGTCGCAGGTTCAAATCCGGGGAGACAGCGGATGAGCTCCCTCTGTCAGCTCCAGCTCCTCATGCAAAGGGGACATGAGAGAAGCCTCCCACAAGGATGATAAAAAGAAACATCAAATCATCCAGGCAACGTCCCCTGGGTAATGTCCTTGCAGACGGCCAATTCTCTCACACCAGAAGCAACTTGCAGTTTCTCAAGTCACTCCTAACACGACCAAAAAATGTAATTTTTTTGTGTATGTGTGTGTGTGTGTGTATATATATATATATATATATATATATATATATACTAATATAACATATAAAATACTGTATTAATATACTGTAATATAATATGGATATATATATATTATAGCTATCAATGTAATAAAGTATGTGTGTGTATATATTATAACATAAAATACAGTATCTAATATACTGTAATATATGGATGTATTTATATATAATATTATATATATATATATATAATGTCTATTAATGTAATAATAGTTTGTGTGTGTGTATATATATATATATATTCTAATATAACATAAATACTGTATTAATACTCAGTTCTTGTGGGTTTTTTGGGGCTATATGGCCATGTTCTGTATTAATATACTGTAATATAATATGGATATATATATATACACACACAGACACACAAACTATATTACATTGATATATAATATGTATATTATAATATGTCATAATATGTGAATAATGTATATGTGATAATAAATATAATATATAATTGTATTATTAAATATTTAATAATAATACAATTAAATGTAAATACAATTTTAAATTTAAATATGATTAAATATTTAAATTGTATTTATTATTATTATTATTATTATATACATAATAAACATATAATAATAATAGGAAAATATTTGCATGAAATAAAAACAAACACATTCATGCAAAATGAACTTTCCACCAATAATGGACTATTATAATGTAATTATATACAATTAATGGACTATTATAATGTAATAATCCCGACCAATGAGAAGCCTTTGCAATTTTCCCGCGGGCGGACTCTTTCTTCTCCTTGGCCCCGCCCCTTTTGGGTCTCTCAGCGGAAGGAGACGCGGGGACTGCGCCTGCGCGATGCGTTGCGTAAGAACCCTTGCGCCGCGCGGAGGGAGGCGAAAGAAGGCGCTTCCCTCCCGAGTCTCCTCCGCGCGGACTCTTTTTTCCTCTCCTTTGGCCCCGCGGCGGAAGGAGACGCAGAAACCGCGCCTGCGCGATGCGTCCTATAAGAACCCTTTCCTTGCGCGGAAGCTTCGTCAGTCGGGAGCCGGGCGCCGGCGGAGACGGACGCGCGAGAGTGAGGGAAGAAGGAAGACAACAACAGAGGCCTGGCTGTGGATGTCTACTGAGAGAGACCGGCCTTGGGACTCTCTCCACTCGGCTCCAGCTTAGATTGGGCTCCTTTTCCGACCCAAAGCGGATTATTTTGGGGGGCCAGGATGTGAGAAGCCCAAGAGGGGGGACCCCTTCCTCCTTCCAGCTGTGTAGGCCTCACTTTTGAGATTCCTTGGCCTGGGCTTGGCTTTGGAAAGGCAGGGCCTTCCTCCCCATCCCATTTCCATCGATCCCCCCCCTCAGTCAGTCTCTCCCCTTGATATTGATCCTTTTGCCACTATTGCCAAGGGGTTGGGGACCCTTCCCACCCATTTCTTTGTTATTATCTCTATTTTGGGGAGGGAAATTGTGTCATTTCCCCCCAGAAATCCCCATTTGGGGACACTGCACCTTCTTTTGAGACTCAAATATTTCCTTCACTGTGGGATTTTAATCCACCCCCCCAAAAGGATAATATTTTTTGTCTTGTTTACCTCCAGAAGTCTCCATTATTTAGAGACATTTCGCCTTCTTTTGAGACTCGATATCGTATCTCCTTCTCTGGACATTGTGGGGTTTTAATCCACCCCAAAAAAGGACCTTATTTTCTGATTCTGTTTACCTTCAGAAATCCCTATTTTGGGGACATTGCTCCTTCCGATCAAATTTCCTTCGCTGGACATTGAAAGGTTTTAATCCACCCCCAAAAAGGATAATATTTTTTGTCTTGTTTACCTTCAGAAATCCCCATTATTTGGAGCCAATTTGCCTTCTTTTGAGACTCAATATTGTATTTCCTTCACTGGACATCGTGGGGTTTGAAGCACCCCAAAAAAGGACCTTATTTTCTGGTTGTGTTTACCTCCAGAAATCCCTATTTGGGGACATTGCACCTTCTTTCAAGGCTCAAAATCTTATTTCCTTCGCTGGACATTGTGGGATTTTAATCCACCCCAAAAAGGATAATATTTTTTGTTTTCTTTACCTTCAGAAATCCCCATTATTTGGGAACATTTCGCCTTCTTTTGAGACTCGATATCATATTTCCTTCACTGGACATTGCGGGGTTTGAAGCACCCCAGAAAGGACAATATTTTCTGGTTCTGTTTACCTCTAGAAATCCCTCTTTGGGGATACTACTCACTTATTTGGGGACGTTACTCCATCTTTTGAGAATTGATACCCTATTTCCTTTGCTGGGCATCATTGGTTTTTAATCTTAACCCAAAAGGATTGCATTTTCTGGTTCTGTTTACCTCCAGAAATCCCCATAATTTGGGGACATCGTTCCTTCCTTTGAGGCTCGATATCGTATCTCTTTCCCTGGACATTGCGGGGTTTGAAGCACCCCAAAAAGGTTCTGTTTACCTCCAGAAATTCCCATTATTTGGGGACACCGTTCCTTCCTTTGAGGCTCGATATCGTATCTCTTTCCCTGGACATTGTGGGGTTTGAAGCACCCCAAAAAGGACAATATTTTCTGGTTCTGTTTACCTCCAGAAATCCCTCTTTGGGGATACTACTCACTTATTTGGGGATATTACTCTATCTTTTGAGACTTGATATCCTATTTCCTTTGCTGGACATTATTGGTTTTTTAATCCACCCCCAAAAAGGATCGTATTTTCCTGTTCTGTTTTCCTAATTGGCAGGCATTGCTCTTTCCTTTAAGAGTCAGTATCTTCCTCCCTTCGCTGGGCATCATGTGTTCTTAAGGATATTTTCTGGTTCTGTTTTCCTCCAATTTTGGGGGCATTTTCCCATATCCTATCCCCTTCCCTGGACATCATAGGTTTTTAATCCACCCAAAAAAAGATAATATTTTTCTGGCTGTTTTTGACGCCAACTCGAGGTGCTATAAAAGCCTTAAAACCTATATATATATGTATGTATATATAGCGAAGTGCCCCAATAGACGCCCTGAATGCACCCCAAATCCTGTGCCTTTGGCCTCCATCTCCTCCTCTCCATCCTTCCTGTTTTCCCCATGGAGGGGTCAACCTAGGCTTCCTTTCCCCCCCATAGAGACGACTTCTGGTCCCCCCCTGTTTTTGGGGACCCCATGCCCCCCCAGTCTCCTTGCTTTGGTGTCATCCGAATAGCCAGCTCAGGGCCCCCGACTCCAATTGTTTGGGGGTCATGCAGGCCTTTGGGGGCCCTTTGGAGCAGGCCGGGGCCCCCTCTCCCTGGTGCCAGATGTGAGGCCCCGGCCCCCTTCCCCGCCTCTCCTGGCCCCCCATCTCTTCCCCTTGGGAGATCACAATAACAACCACAACAGCAGTCTCACAACCCTCCCAACTGCCCCCCCCCACCCCCAAATAAGCCCTCCTGCCTGTCTTGATGCCCATCCGGCCACCATGGAGGCGGTGGGCGACTTTGAATACAGCAAGAAGGACCTCATCGGACATGGCGCCTTCGCCGTGGTCTTCAAAGGCCGCCATCGCAAGGTAAACAACAGCTGGGCTTCTTCTTTTGGGGGGGATTTGATTGACATTTGCAGCAAGGAAGAGCTTCCGGACCAGCCTTCTGATCCACATTTGTGTTGTGTTGTGTTTCCTTCTGATCCACATTTGTGTTGTTTATTTCCGCAGCAGAAACCACAATCTTGCAGTCCTCTTTCCAGCACATCTCATTGTCCGCTACGGCGGAGGGTTTTGGTTCCTTCCAGTCCACATTGTGTATTATTTCCACAATCTTGCAGTGCTATTTTAGTCTTGCAAGTCTTGTGAGTGTGTTTTTGGTCCTTCCAATCCACATTTGTATTGCCAAAGTGCAGGTGAAACGTCAGGAGAGAATGCCTCTAGACCATGGCCATACAGCCTGAAAAAACCTACAACAACCCACGTTTGTATTATTATTACTTCCCCAGGAGAAAGAGTTCTTTCTCCCACCCTGGACATCATTCCATAGATATAGATATCGAAATAGATATATCTATATAAACCCACTTACTTAGTTTCCAGCTGACCTCACAACCTCTGGGGATGCCATAGATGTGGGCAAAACGTCAGGAGAGAATGCTTCCGGAACATAGCCAGGCAGCCTGGAAAACCCACACACCACAACCCACCATCATGCAGTGCTATTTAAGTCTAGCAAGTCTTGTGAGTGTGTTTTTGGTCCTTCCAGTCCACATTTGTATTATTAGGACGTCCGCGGCAGAAAGAGTTCTTTCTCCCACCCTGGACACCATTCCAAAGATATATAGACATATATAAATAGATATAGATATATAGCATCCTAGAGTGGGAAGAGACCTCCTGGGCCATCATCCAGTCCAACCCCATTCGACCAAGAAGCAGGAATATTGCATTCAAATCACCCCCGACAGATGGCCATCCAGCCTCTGTTTAAAAGCTTCCAAAGAAGGAGCCTCCACCACACTCCCTCCGGGGCAGAGAGTTCCACTGCTGAACGGCTCTCACAGTCAGGAAGTTCTTCCTCATGTTCATATCTATATATCTATATAAACACACTTACTTAGTTTCCAGCTGACCTCACAACGTCTCGGGATGCCATAGATGTGGGTGAAACGTCAGGAGAGAATGCTTCCGGAACATAGCCAGGCAGGTGGTGGCTCCTTCTTTGGAAGCTTTGAAACAGAGGCTGGATGGCCACAACCCACCATCATGCAGTACTATTTTAGTCTAGCAAATCCTGTGAGTGTTTTTTTGGTCCTTCCAACCCACATTTGTACGATTATGACAGAAAGAGTTATTTTTCCCACCCTGGACATCATTCCACAGATATATAAATAGATATAGAGATATCTATATAAACCCACTTGTTTAGTTTCCAGCTGACCTCACAACCTCTGAGGATGGCTCACAACCTCTGGGGATGCCATAGATGTGGGCGAAACGTCAGGAGAGAATGCTTCAGGAACATAGCCAGGCAGCCTGGAAAACCCACACACAACAACCCACCGTCATGCAGTGCTATTTAAGTCTAGCAAGTCTTGTGAGTGGTTTTTGGTCTTTTCAATCTTTTTGGTCTTTGGTCTTTTTCAATCCACATTTTAATTTCCAACATGAAAAATCAGGGCCAGCTAACACCTCCCAACAAAGAATCCCCCCCCAGGCAGTAATCATCCAGTGTTTGAAGCTACAAGGCCATTCAGTGCTAACCAAGGTGGTCAATAGCAACATTCACACTTGCCTCAAGCAGGCAAGAGTTTTTCCCTCCACTATGGACATCATTCCACAGATATATATATATCATACATACATACATACATATATATATAAACCCACTTGCTTAGTTTCCAGCTGACCTCCCAACCTCTGGGGATGGCTGCCATAGATGTGGGCGAAACGTCAGGAGAGAATGCTTCTCGAACATGGCCAGAAAACTCACAGCAACTCAAGTCTTATGAGTGTTTTGGATCCTTCCAATCCACATTTGTATTATTATGATTTCCCCAGAAGAAACCACTGCCTTTGCAGTACCCTTTTAGTCTGGCATGTCTTGTGTTTTTGGTCTTTTCAATCTACATTTGAATTCCCGACATGAAAAAAATCAGGGCCAGCTAACACCTCCCAACAAAGGACCCCCCCCAGGCAGGAAGCAGCCAGGCTTTGAAGCTGCAAGGCCATTCAGTGCTAATCAAGGTGGTCAATAGCAACATTCACTCTTGCCTCAAGCAGACAAGAGTTCTTTCTCCCACCTCCCAACAAAGGATTCCTCCAGGCAGGAAGCAGCCAGGCTTTGAAGCTGCAAGGCTATTTGATGCCAATCAAGGTGGCGAATTGCAACGTTCACACTTGCCTCCAACAGACAAGAGCTCTTGCTAACACTTCCCAACAAAGGATCCCCCCAGGCAGGAATCAGCCAGGCTTTGATACATTACAACGCATGCACAAAACCATACACATACAAAACACATATATTTTTCCAGTATTTACATATTCACAGACTGAGCCACAGCAATGTGTGGCAGGGGAGATATATATATATATATATATATATATATATATATATATATATATATATATAAAAACCCTACTTGCTTAGTTTCCAACTGACCACACAACCTCTGGAGGTGCCTGCCATAGATGTGGGCGAAACGTCAGGAGAGAATGCTGCTTGAACATGTCCAGGCAGCCCGGAAAACTCTCAGCAACCCACGTCTTATGAGTGTTTTTGGTCCTTCCAATCCACATTTGTATTGTTTTGATTTCCCCAGCAGAAACGACTGCCTTGCGGTACCGTTTTAGACTTGTGTTTTGTTCCTTCCCATCCACGTTTGTGTTATTGTGAAACCACAATCTTTCGGTCCCTTTCAACACATCTTCTGGTCACTATTTCTGAGTGTTTTTGTTGCCTCTGACCCTCATTGTCATGATTCCCACAGCAGAAACCACTGCCTTGCAAGTAGCATTTGAGTCTTGTGAGTGTTTTGGGTCCTTGCAAACCACTTTTGTGTTATTTCCAAGCCTTGTGAGTGTGTTGTCTCCTTTCCAGCCACATTTGTGTTGTTATTCCCACAGCAGAAACCGCAACTGTAAATCTCGCCAGCCTCCCCCTCGTTGCCCTGGCATTGCCTGTGTGTGCGCCCGCTTATGGCATCTTAAGGACTTTGGAAATGTTCTGACTGTGGTTGTTGTTGTTGCTCCTTCTCCGTTCCAAGTGTGGTCATGTGAGTCTCTTGCAAGGGAAAGCAACCAGGGAGCGGGGCCTCCTCCTTCAAGGCTCTTATCTAATGTCCTTCTTGCTTGGCTGTTCTTTTTGCTGCAGTGTTGTTGTTGTTGTTGTTGTTGTTGTTGTTGAGAGAGCCCTGGGAATCTTAACAATCTTGTGGTCTCCAAAGATAGGAATTGCTTGTGTTTTTACTGCATTCCAAGAAGGCATGAGAGTTGCTGTAAGTCTTTTGTGCTGTCTGTCCATGTTCCAGAAGCATTCTCTCCTGACGTTTTGCCTGCATTTATGGCAGGGATCCTCATATGGATGCCTGCCATAGATACAGGTGAAGCATCAGGAGGGAGTGCTTCTGGAACATGGCCGTACAGCCCAAAGGACTTACAGCAACCCAGTGATTCCGGCCATGAAAGCCTTCGACAACGCACAAGAGTGTTGTGGTTTTCAAAAATGGGGTTTCCCAGCCCCTTAAAGACTCAGAAGAAATAGAAACACTAAAACAAGCCTAACGTTTGGGTGGTTGTGAGTTTCCCAGGCTGCCTGGCCATGTTCCGGAAGCATTCTCTCCTGATGTTTTGCCCACATCTATGGCAGGTATCCTCAGAGGTTGTGAGGTCTGTTGGAAACTAGGAAAATTGGGTTTATATATCTTTGGAATGATGTCCAGGGTGGGAGGTAGAACTCTTGTCTGTTGGAGGCAGGTGGGAATGTTGCCATTGGCCACCTTGATTAGCATTGCAAAGCCTTGCAGCTTCAAAGCCTGTCTGCTTCCTGCCTGGGGGAACTCCTTGGTTGGGAGGCATTAGCTGGCCCTGGTTGATTCTTGTCTGGAATTCTCCTGTCCCCCAACAACCTATAGAAAATGGGGGATAAATAAAGACATTAATAATAATAATAATAATAATAATAATAATAATAATAATAATGGATCACACGTCGGACACAGTCCTAGGCACTTGGGAAGGGTCCGACTTGTGATGCAATACAACAGCTGACAAAGTGTCTGCTGTGGACTCATCTTGTTGTGTAATAATAATAATAATAATAGTAATTAGCATTGAATAGTCTTGAAGCTGCAAACTCAAACCACGAGGGTCTCTGCATAGAGATGTGTTGGAAACTAGGCAAGTGGGATTTATATCGCTGTGGAATGATGTCCAGGGTGGGAGGTAGAACTCTTGTCTGCTGGAGGCAGGTGGGAATGTTGCCATGAGCCACCTTGATTAGCATTGCAAAGCCTTGCAGCTTCAGAGCCTGCCTGCTTCCTGCCCGGGGAAATCCTTGGTTGGGAGGCATTAGCTGGCCCTGGTTGATTCTTGTCTGGAGTTCTCTTGTCCCCCAACAACCTTCAGAAGACGGGGTATAAATAAACACATAAACATGATGATGATTAGCATGGGATAGTCTTGCAGCTGCGGTGCAGCTGCAAATAATAATAATAATAGTAATAATAACAATAATAATAATAATCTTTATTTATGCCCCGCCACCATCTCCCCGAAGGGGACTCGGGGCAGCTAACATGAGGCCAAGCCCAAAGATACAATGCAGCAAAATACAACAACAAAAATTACATCACAATAAAGTACATACAGTGGCAAAATAAAGTAAACAAAGCGAAATAGCATTATAGAAAATCGACCACAATGAGCAAACTCAAACCATGTGGGTCTCTGCATAGAGATCTGTTGGAAACTAGCTAAGTGGGGTTTATATCCCTGTGGAATGATGTCCAGGGTGGGAGAAAGAACTCTTGTCTGTTGGAGGCAAGTGTGAATGTTGCCATGGGCCAGCTTGATTAGCATTGAATGGCCTTGCAGTGTCAAGGTCTGGCTGCTTGAGGCAGGTGTGAATGTTGCCGTTAGCCACCTTGATTAGCATTAAACAGCCTTGCAGCTTCAAAGCTGGGCTGCTTCCTGCTTGGGGGATTCTTTTGTTGGGAGGTGATTGACTGGCCCTGATGGTTTCCTGTCTGGAATTCCCCTATTTTCAGAGTATTGCTCTTCATTTACTGTTTTTAGAATTTTTTAAGGTCTGGCTGCTTGTGGCAGGTGTGAATGTTGCCGTTAACCACCTTGATTAGCATTAAACAGCCTTGCAGCTTCAAAGCCGGGTTGCTTCCTGCCTGGGGGTTCCTTTCTTGGGAGGTGTTAGCTGGCCCTGATGGTTTCCTGTCTGGAATTCCTCTGTTTTCTGAGTGTTGCTCTTTTTTTACCGCCCTCACGAAGAGGTCCCCACTTCCAATCCCATGCATGATGCCATAGGGTTTGGGGCCATGGTTCTCCACCTGTGGGTCCCCCCCCCCCACCTGGTGTCTGGACATTGCTCTCTGGACATAGGTGAACTACAACTCCCAAACTCAAGGTCAATGCCCACCAAACCCTTCCAGTATTTTGTGTTGGTCGTGGGGAGTTCTGTGTGCCAAGTTTGGTCCAATTCCATCGTTAGTAGAGTTCAGAATGCTCTTTGAATGTGGGTTAACTATAAATCCCAGCAACTATAACTCCCAAATGACAAAATCAACACCCCCCCCCCCCACAAACCCCACTGGTATTCAAATTTGGGAGTATCGGGTCCAGTGAATGAAAATCCATCCTGTTTATCAGATATTTACATGACGATTCATGACAGTAGCAAAATGACAGTTATGAAGTAGCAACAAAAATAATGTTATGGTTGAAGGAGTCACCACAATGTTAGGAACGATATTAAGGGGTCGCAGAATTAAGAAGGTCGAGAACCACTGGTCTAGCAAGTCTTGTGTTTTTGAATTTGACTTCCTGACGTGGAAAAAATCAGGGCCGGCTCACAACTCCCAACCATGGATTCCCCCCCCCCCAGGCAGGAATCAGCCACCCTTTGAAGCTGCAAGGCTACTCGGTGCTAATCAAGGTGGCCAATGGCAACATTCAGCTTGCCTGTCTGCCTCTCTATTCTCTTGTTGTTGTTTCTCTCTCTGTCTCTCTCTTGGTGATGTCAGCTTGCTCGTGCAACGTGGAAAAAATCAGGGCCGGCTCACACCTCCCAACAAAGGATTCCCCCTCCCCAGGCAGGAATCAGCCAGTGTTTGAAGCTGCAAGGCTACTCAGTGCTAACGAAGGTGGCCAGTGGCAACATTCAGCTTGCCTGCCTGCCTGCCTGCCTCTCTATTCCTTTGTTGTTGTTTCTCTCTCTGCCTCCCTCTTGGTGATGTCACCTTGCTCGTGCAGGCTCCTCCTTCCCTCCCTCCCTCCCGTGTCCTCAGCTCCTTTTCTGAGTCCCCCAAAGGGCTGAGCCACTTCCCCGCCCTCCTCCTTCCCCCCTCTCTTGCTTTCCTGGGGGGTCTTTTCTGGAGTGGCCAAGAATAGAGAGCCTTGTTTTGGCCCCGGGGAAAACAAGGCTGGAGGTGCCTCCCTCCTCCTCCTGGGGAGAGGCGCCCAGCCCGCCTTGCCTGACCTCAGCCGCCCTTCTGACGCACGCACGGGAAGCCTTCCTTCCGTGACCTTTCCCCTCCCTTTCTAGATCTCTCGATTCCTCAGAGGAACATGGCAAGGGTTCCCTGTGGCCTTTTTCTCACGCTCCCGGAACCCTTCGCTTTGGATGGACTTGGCTAAGGCGCCTCTTGGTTGCCTCTTCGTTGCCTCTTCGTTTCCTCGGGTTTGGCTATTTGCATTGGTTCCCATGGCTCCCGTGAATAGTACTCCCCATCCGTCACCCTCTCCCACTCCCACAAGTGGGATTCACTTCAAGAACCCCAGATTGTATAATGTAATACAATATAATACTAATCATCATCATCATCATAATACGATACTATAATTATGTATTTTTTATTACATGTAATATTAATAATATTACAGTATACTTTAATCTATCTATATATATAAAAATGTAATGTTTGTTTGTGAGATTAGCATAAATCAAAAACCACTGGACAAATGGACACCAAATTTGGACACAAGACACCTCTCAGGCCAGGGAGTGACCATCACTCAGAAAAACACCACTGAAGGGACTTAAAAAGGCAAAAAAAAACCCCCAAAAATACATTACAACGCATGCACCAAACCACATATATATACGCAAACTCTCTCTCTCTATATATATATATACACACACACACACACACACACACACACAAACTGAGCCACAGCAATGCATGGCAGGGGATGACTATATAAATAAAAATGTAATGTTCGTTTGTGAGATTAGTATAACTCAAAAACCACTGGACGAATAGACACCAAATTTGGACACAAGACACCTCTCAGGCCAGGGAGTGACCATCACTCAGAAAAACACCGCTGAAGGGGCTTAAAAAGCCAAAAAAAACCCCAAAAATACATTACAACACATGCGCAAAACTACATATATGCACAAACACATACACACACACATATACATCCATATATACACAGACGGCCCTAGTTTTATTGTGTTATGGTGTATTGTTTTATTGTTTACTGTTATTGCTTAACATTTTGATTTGCTTTATAATGTTATGTCTATTGTTATGCTGTTGTTTTTATTGAGGCCTTGGCCTTGTCAGCCACATCGAGTCCTTTGGGAGATATTAGCGGGGTACAAATAAAGTTAATAATAATAATAATAATAATAAATAAATAAACACAGACTGGGCCACAGCAATGTGTGTCAGGGGATGGCTAGTACAATATAATACTATTACTAATAATAATAATAATAATAATAATAATGCAATATTGTAATTATATATTTTATATTTCATGTACTATTACTAATAATATTACAGTATAATGATATAGTAATACTGATATTGTTCTATGGTAATAGCATAATATATTGTATTTACATATTTCTTGTGACCCGCTGATTACTTATAATATTGTATACACGTGTAATATTGATATAATGTAATACTATTGTAATGCAATACAATAATTATATATTTATATAATTTTATATTTTATATTACATGTACTATTACTAATAATATTACAGTATAATGGTATAGTTCCATATAGTAATATATAATACTAATATTGTGCTATGGTAATAATATAATATATTGTGTATACATAGAATATTGATAATATTATGTAATACAACAAAATACTAATAATATTAATAATGCAATATTATAATTTTATATTTTATATTACATGTACTATTGCTAAGAATATTGCAGTATAATACAATATGGTAATATAATACTGATATTGTGTTATGGTAATAATATAATATATTGTATTTGCATATTCCTTGCAGGCCGCTCTGAGAGAGAGGGGCGAGAGATGAGTGTTGTAAATAAACAATACTGATGTTCTTTCTCCCCGTGGCTTTAGTGGGCCTGTAGGGCCAAAATTCAGATGAGGCCCAGCCTTCTTTTGGGGGCAATGCTGTTGAATGCTCCAGAGAAGGAGAGGAGGCCTGCCCGTGCTGTAACGCTCTCTTTGCCTTTCCAGAAGACGGACTGGGAGGTGGCCATCAAGAGCATCAACAAGAAGAACCTCTCCAAGTCGCAGCTGCTGCTCGGGAAGGAGATCAAGATCTTAAAGGTACGCGGGGTCGCCCTTGTCCTCCTTGTCCGCCAAGCCCTTCTCCGGCTCCTCCAGCGCCTGGTTTTTCCGCCAAGGCCTCGGCCTCGGTCTTCTTCACACTCGGCTTCGCTCGCCCTGGGTTGACCTCGCAAAAGGCGCACTGAGTCGGAAAAGAACAAAGCCAGGTCTGTGAGAGAGAGAGAGAGAGAGAGAGAGAGAGAGAGAGGCTCTTGGGTCGCAGCGCACGGGCAGGTTGTCGCTTGCCTTTGGGTTTGTGGCAGATTGCAGAGATGTGCTGCTAAGTGGTCGCTCTGCGGCCGGACTCGGTAGGCCTTTGGTCTCCCCCAGAATCACGCTTCATGTCGGTAGGGTTACTCGAATTGACTGGAAATGGGGGGTGTCGTTGCATGAAAGGCTCACCCCCAACTTGGAATCATAACAATTGGAACAGACCCCAAGGGCCGTCCAGTCCAACTCCGCATCATGCAGGAAAAGCACCATCAAAGCACCCCCAACAGATGACCATCCAACCACCACCATCATCGCCATCATTTTAGAGTTAGAGGAGACCCCAAGGGCCATCGAGTCCAGCCCCCTTCTTCCATACAGGAAAAGCACCATCAAAGCACCCCCAACAGATGACCATCCAACCACCACCATCATCATCATCATCACCATCATTTTAGAGTTCGAGGAGACCCTGTGGACTGTGTAGTCTGACCCCCTTCTGCCATGTAGGAAAAGCACCATCAAAGCACCCCTGACTGATGACCATCCAACCACCACCATTATCATCATCACCATCATTTTAGAGTTGGAGGAGACGCCAAGGGCCATCTAGTCCAACCCCCTTCTGCCATGCAGGAAAAGCACCATCAAAGCAGCCCTGATAGGTGGCCACCTAGCTTCTATTTCCAAGCCTCCACCAGACTCCTGACGCAGAGAGTTCCACTGTTGTTTATGTTCAGCAAGTTCTTCATGTTCGGGTGCATTGAGGCTGAATGTGGCAAACTACACAACACAAACCCAGAGGTTAAAACATTTGTTGTCTCCTGTGCTTTACTAATAACACAATATTATATATTGTATATACATATAATATTTATAATATTATAATGTAATACAATATCATACTAATACTAATAATACAATATTATAATCATAATATTATAATGTAATACAATATAATACTAATTACAATATTATAATTATATATTTTATATTACATGTAATGTTACTAATAATATTACAATATAATGGTGTAGTACAATATAGTAATATATAATACTGGTATTGTACTATGCTAATAATTTAATATATTGTATAATAATATATTATATAATATATTGTATATACATGTAATATTTATAATATTATAATGTAATGCAATATAATACTAATACTAATAATACAATATTATAATAATATTAAAATGGGATACAATATAATTATAATGATACAATATTATAATTATATATTGTATATTACATGTAATATGACTAATAATATTACAATATAATGGTGTAGTACAATATAGTAATATATAATACTGATATTGTACTATGCTAATAATTTAATTATATTGTATAATAATATAATATTATATAATATATTGTATATGCATGTAATATTTATAATATTATAATGTAATACAACATCATACTAATACTAACAATACAATATTATAATTATATATTTTATATTACATGTAATATGACTAATAACATTGCAATATTATGGTGTAGTACAATATAGTAATATATAATACTGATATTTTGCTGTGCTAATAATTTCATATATTTTATGTATCTTGTAAGCTGCTCTGAGTCCCCTTCTGGGTGAGAAGGGCGGCATATCAATGTTGTAAATAAATAAATAAAATTAAAGCAGGCCTGGGCAAACTTGGGCCCTCCCTCCGGGTGTTTTGGACTCCAACTCCCACCATTCCCAACAGCCTCAGCCGATTTTAGTGATGAGAGATTCAAGGTGGCATGTATTTGCGCGCAGTTTTTGGACTGTGGTGTCCATTCAGTGTTTGAAAGGCTGCCGTGAGGAAGAGGGAATGGGCCTGATTTTCGGCTGCCCTGGAGACTCAGTGGAGCCATGGGTTCGAATGACAAGTAAAAAGATCCCACGGTTGAACATCAGGAAGAATTTCCTGAGTGTAAGAAGAGCTGTTCAGCAGTGGAACGCTCTGCCTCCTCTAACTCTAAAATGCCTCGGAGTCTGGTGGAAGCTTTGAAACAGGCTGGATGGCCACCTGTCGGGGGTGCTTTGATTGTGCTTTTCCTGCATGGAAGAAAGCGGTTGGACTAAATGGCATGTGGTCTCTTCCAACTCGATGATGATGATTATGACGATGGTGACTGTCATGGATACCTTTTCTGCTTGGCAGAGGGTCAGACTACACAGCCCACAGGGTCTCTTCCAACTCTGTGATGATGATGGTGGTGGCTGGATGGTCATCTGTCAGGGGTGCTTTGATTGTGCTTTTCCTTCCTGGCAGAATGGGGTTGGACTGGATGGCCCTTGGGGTCTCTTCCAACTCTAAAATGATGGTGGTGGTGATGATCACGATGGGTGGATGGTCATCTGTCAGGGGTGCTTTGATTGTGTTTTTCCTGCCTGGCAGAATGGGGTTGGACTAGATGTCCCTTGGGGTCTCTTCCAACTCTGTTATTCTATGATGTGCTCCACCTTTCTGTGGATGGGGAAGGTCCAGGTCAGCTGTGAGAAGTCTTGTCTGGTCAGGCTGCCGGAATGTTCTGTCTCTCCCCCGTGTTGTGGTTCCCGGAGAGGTCAGCCCCACCTGAATGCATGGCATGGCATGGCCTTGCTGAGATGCTGTTCCTGCGTGCCCGTGAAGGCCGTGTGCTTGTGCGTAATGCCCAGAGCTGAACCTGAGACGCCTGGCATTTGAGCCCCCCTTGCCTCTTGGCGTGCGCTTCATTCGCCCTTCCCCAAACGCCCCGGGAGTGATGTCTTGATGTCCAAACCACGCTCTTGCGTTGCTTTGGTTGGGTGCCCTTTTTGCAACAACAAAAAAATGCATTTGCAATTGGCAAAGCGGACTTTTCTTGGAAATGTTTTCCGTGCCCAAGCCGATGAGATCACCTTGTCTCGGTTGCCTCTCAATACCCAGGAATGTCCAGGTTTGGGCTATTTTGGGCGTGTGGCCGGGCAGCTCTAGCTTGCAAACAGGCCTTGGGCAACGGTGTGGCCAGAATGTCCAGCCATTCTTGGAAGTGGGAAGCCTGTGCCCGGCGTGAAGGTCACCTGAAGCCACGTGTCCTCACCTGGAGGCTGCCCTCGCCCCCCTTCCTCTTCCTCTTCCTCTTTCCCATGGCTTGTTTTCAGGTGGTTGCGCACTCCCAGCCAGGCCTCTCTGTGGTTTGTGGTGCATCGGGAAAGCCACACGCTACAAACGTGGAGATAGCACGTTCTCCAAAAGCAAACAAATCAGGGCGGATGTGTGTGTGTGTGTGTGTGTGTGTGTGTGTGTTCGTTTTCATCAGCAGCCAAAATGCCAAGGCTTCCTGGAAGAAGAAGTGGGGTCCCTTGGGTGCTCTGCTTCCTTTTTGCTCAGAATTCCTTGTTCCACTCACTTCAAAAATCCAAATCAGGGGTTTGTGGAAATGATCATTCGTGAGATCAATGAGGAAGGGACTCAAGGTGGCTATCATTACTATGCTATTAATACATTTATCATTTTTCTCTATTTATTATTTATTTATTTTATTTATTTATTTACTTTATTAATATACCGCTTTTCTCAGCCCTCAGGTGACTCAAAACGGTGAACAACATCAGTACAAAATATCACAAAACAAGTATTGTTGTTCATTCATTCAGTCGTCTCCGACTCTTCGTGACCTCATGGACCAGCCCACGCCAGAGCTCCCTGTCGGCCGTCACCACCCCCAGGGTCTCCTTCAAGGTCAGTCCAGTCCCTTCAAGGATGCCATCCATCCACCTTGCCCTTGGTCGGCCCCTCTTCCTTCCACTTTCCCCAGCATAATTGTAGTATAAGGCAATTAAAAACAATTATCACATAAATCATTAACATCAGTATAACAATCATGAGTGCCTCAACAGTAAAATCAGAATCCAGTCTCGTCATCCATTATTCCGTATTCCTATGTTCAATTACACTGTTTAATCAAATGCTTGTTTGAACAGCCAGGTCTTCACTTTCCTCCGGAACGCCAGCAGGGAGGAGGGGGCCGATCTGATATCTGCAGGCAGGGCGTTCCACAGCCGAGGGGCCACCACTGAGAAGGCCCTGTCTCTCGTCCCCGCCAAGCGCGCCTGTGATGCAGGCGGGACCGAGAGCAGGGCCTCCCCAGATGATCATAGTGTCCTGGTCGGTTCGTAGGAGGAGATGCGTTTGGAGAGGTAAATAAGGCCAGAACCGTTTAGGGCTTTATAGGCTAACACCAATACTTTGAATTGTGCCCAGTAGCAGATTGGCAGCCAGTGGAGCTGCCGCAACAGAGGAGTGGTGTGCTCCCTGAGTGCCACTCCTGTTAGCAACCTGGCTGCCGATCGTTGGACCATTTGAAGCTTCCGGGCAGTCTTCAAAGGCAACCCCACGTAGAGAGCGTTGCAGTAGTCTAAACGGGATGTAACCAGAGCGTGGACTACCGTGGCCAAGTCAGGCTTCCCAAGGTACGGGCGCAGTTGGTGCACAAGTTTTAACTGTGCAAATGCTCCCCTGGTCACCGCCGAAACCTGGGCTTCCAGGCTCAGCGATGAGTCCAGGGTCACTCCCAAGCTGCGAACCTGCATTGTCTTCAGGGGGAGTGCGACCCCTTCCGTCCACCACAGGCTGTCACCCTATGCCCTGTTCGGCCTTGCGACTGACCAGGAGGACCTCTGTCTTGTCTGGATTCAGTTTCAATTTGTTAGCCCTCATTATTATTACATTGATTATTTCACTCTATTGTTGTTATTATTATTATTATTATTATTATTATTATTACATTGATTATTTTCTCTATTATTGTTATTACACATATTTTTTCTATTATGTAATAACAATAATAAAGAAAATAATAAAAGTAATAATAGTAAGAGAGTAATCAATGTAATAATAATAACAATAATAATAATTAATCGAGATAAATACTAAATGTAGTAATAATATAATAGCCACCTTGAGTCAACCAGGGTAGAGAAAGGCGGGGTATAAATATTTATTTATTAATTATTTATTTAAAAGTTTTGTATCCCGGCCTTCTCACCTCTCTTGAGGGACTCAGACCAGTTTCCAACCATAATGCCACATACAATCAATAAAACATCATAATACATATTACAGTAAAACGTTAAAACAGCCATTACAGTCAATAACTACGATGGTCAGTCGTCACACTAACATCGTTGCTCCTCATCCTCCATCCATATCTCAGGGCGTTGACTCACTCGTCGAATGCCTGTCTCCATAACCACGTCTTCACCTGTTTCCTGAATGTCAGGATAGAAGGGGCGGTTCTGGTCTCCGGTGGGAGAGAGTTCCAGAGTCGAGGGGCCACCACCGAGAAGGCCCTGTCCCTTGTCCCCACCAGACGCGCTTGCGAGGCCGGTGGGACCGAGAGCAGGGCCTCTCCAGACGATCTTAATAATCTTGAAATAAAGTAAATAAATAATAAGAGTAAAATAATGTAAATGTAATAATAAGAGGTTACGGTAAGGTAAAGGTTTTCCCCTGACATGAAGTCCAGTCGCGTCCAACTCTGGGGGTTGGTGCTCATCTTCATTTCTAAGCCAAAGAGCCAGCGTTGTCCATAGACACCTCTATGGTCATGTGGCATGACTGCATGGAGCGCCGTTACCTTCCCACTGGAGCAGTACCTATTGATCTACTCACATTTGCATGTTTTCGAACTGCTAGGTTGGCAGAAGCTGGGGCTGACAGCGGAAGCTCATGCCATTCCCAGGATTCGAACCTGCAACCTTTCAGTCAACAAGCTCAGCAGTTTAACCCACTGCGCCACCAGGGCCCCAATAATAATAATAATAATAATAATAATAATAATAATAATAATAATTGAAATAAAAATAAAAGAGTAAAATAATAAATGTAAAAATAATAATAGAGTAAAAAATCAATGTAATAATAATACTATATTAGTAGCCACCTTGAGTCCCCCCACCCCCCGGGGGGGGGGGGGCAGAGAAAGGCAGAGTATAAATAAGATAAATAATAATAATAATAATAATAATAGAGTAAAATAATGTAAATGCAATAATAATAATAATAATAATAATAATAGAGTAAAATAATAAATGTAAAAATAATAATAGAGTAAAAAACCAATGTAATAATAATACTATATTAGTAGCCACCTTGAGTCCCCCCACCCCCGGGTGGGGGGGGGGGTAGAGAAAGGCAGAGTATAAATAAGATAAATAATAATAATAATAATAATAATAATAATAATAATAATAGAGCAAAATAATGTAAATGTAATAATAATAAATAGAGTAAAATAATAAATGTAATAAAAATAATAATAATGTAAATGTAACAATAACAATAATAATAGAATAAGATAAATGTAATAATAAATAGAGTAAAATAATAAACGTAATAAAAATAATAATGGAGTAAAGTAATGTAAATGCAATAATAATACTGGAGTATATACGGTGTGTGTGTGTATATATATATTTCTATAATCTCACAGTATAAAAGTAAATATCCCTCTGAGTAATTAATTAGTTAGGTTCTTGTAGGTTTTTTCGGGCTATAGGGCCATGTTCTGGAGGCATTTCTCCTGACGTTTCGCCTGCATCTAGGGCAAGCATCTGAGGAAACGTCAGGAGAAATGCCTCTAGAACATGGCCCTATAGCCCGAAAAAACCTACAAGAACCTAGTGATTCCAGCCATGAAAGCCTTCGACAATAAATTAATTAGTTCTTATTTTAAAATAAATTAAACATGGCACAGTTCAGCAAGGCAAAGCATTTCCAGATCTTGATTTTGGCAGGAGTGAATCCCGTTTCCCGGGGAAGGCTTTGAGCTTTTCCAGGAAGCGGAATCCCGCCTTGGCACGGGACTTTGTCCTTCATTTCAAATACCACTAACTGCACGCACCAAACACAACATGTCACCTTTCACAAAGACACAAAAGGTTCCGTGTTGTGTTTTACGTGAGAACACGCTACTTCTCTAGGCGGGGGGGGGGGGCACGTGGAGGACCCCTGGCCCCTGGGCCTGTTTTGGGGCCCAAACTCCTTTCTGACCCATTGCTTTTTTTGCCTTGTTTCCCAGGAGCTTCAGCACGAGAACATTGTGGCCCTCTACGACGTCCAGGTGAGATTTCCCTCCGGTCTTTTCTCTCATTTTTCGAATGAGACTGATGTTTTTCTATTGCATGAGCCCCCCGTTTGGCCCCCAAAACCAGGCGTGGGCTTCTGACCAGGCCCTCTTTTGTGGTTGTTTGTGTTTGTCTTGTGGAGTGCGTCCGAGTCCTGACGAGTCCTGGTCCTGCTTCTGGCCTCTCCTCTCCCTTCGCAGGAGTATTCTGAACTAAAAATACAGCGTGCCTTTGGGTGCGGCCGGGATTTGTGCTTTTTCTGCCCATTGCGTGGGCTCAAAGCGGCTCAAGGTGAAACGGTCACTAGTCCAGCTCTTGCGTGCATCTCTGGCCGAGTTTCCTTAAGAAGGGATGGCGTGCTGCCTCCTGCAACGGGCAACACGGCTATATTTATCAGGATTACCGGGTGCACGTGTGTGCAGAGGAATGGGCTTGGGAGTCAGCTGCATTAAAAATCACTACTCACCGAAAGGTCATGAGTTCAAAGCCAGCCCGGGTCGGAGTAAGCTCCCAACCATTTGTCTAGCTTGCTGCTGACCTTTGCAGCCCGAAAAACAGTTGCGTCTCTCAAGTAGGAAATTTAGGCGCCTTTTATGTGGTACCTAATTTACGACACCATAAAAATCATATTGTTGAAGGCTTTCATGGGTGGAATCACTGGGTTGTTGTAGGTTTTTTCGGGCTGTATGGCCATGTTCTAGAGGCATTCTCTCCTGACGTTTCGCCTGCATCTGTGGCAAGCATCCTCAGAGGTTGTGAGGTCTGTTGGAACTAGGAAAATGGGATTATATATCTGTGGAATGACCAGGGTGGGACAAAGGACTCTTGTCTGCTGGAGCTAGGGGTGAATGTTTCAACTGACCACCTTGATTAGCATTTGATTGCCTGGCGGTGCCTGGAGCAATCTTTTGTTGAGAGGTGATTAGATGTCCTTGTTTGTTTCCTCTCTGTTGTTGTGCTATTCTCATTTTAGAGTTTTTTAATACTGGGAGCCAGAGTGTGTTCATTTTCATGGTTTCCTCCTTTCTGTTGAAATTGTCCACATGCCATAAAAATCTCCAGCCGCGTGCCAAAGAATGAGGAAGTGCTCCATCGGGGTCATAAGTGGATGGTGAAGCGACAGCTCCCCCGGTGGCCGGAATTCAAAGCATACCCTCATGCATCTGGAAGTTAAATAGCCTCTGTGTGTCAGTCTATATATGTTGTGTGTCTATGGAGTTGAATGTTTGCCGTGTATATGTGCTTTGTGATCCGCCCTGAGTCCCCTGTGGGGTTTTATTTCTTTATTTCTCGTGTCAGGGCAGCCAGTCAGTTATATTACATTTCTAACAGAACAAAGCAAACAAACAGAGAAAATACAAAATGTGTGAGTTTGGTAGTGGATTAAATGCCCTTTGAGCAGTCTCTGGCCCCTTGGAGTGCTGCCTCTGGTGTTGCCGCAAGGAGGTCCTCCCTTGTGCATCATGTGGAAGAAGGGCTCAGGGGGCATTGCAGCAGGTGGTCCGTGGTTTGCTCTTCTCCCCACTCGCATGTTGAGGATTCCACTTTGTGGCCCCATTTCTGAAGGTTGGCTCTGCATCTCGTGGTGCCCGAGCGCAGTCTGTTCAGCGCCTTCCAAGTCGCCCAGTCCTCTGTGTGCCCAGGGGGGAGTCTCTCCTTTGGTCTCAGCCATTGGTTGAGGTTCTGGGTTTGAGCCTGCCACTTTTGGACTCTTGCTTGCTGAGGTGTTCCAGCGAGTGTCTCTGTAGATCTTAGAAAACTATGTCTGGATTTAAGTCGTTGATGTGCTGGCTGAGACCCAAACGGGATGAGCTGGAGATGTCTCTGCCTTGGTCCTTTCACTATTGGCTGCTACTTCCCGGCGGATGTCAGGTGGTGCAATACCGGCTAAGCAGTGTAATTTCTCCAGTGGTGTAGGGCCCAGACAACCCGTGATAATGCGGCATGTCTCATTAAGGGCCACATCCACTGTTTTAGTGTGGTGAGATTTGTTCCACACTGGGCATGCGTACTCAGCAGCAGAGTAGCACAGCGCAAGGGCAGATGTCTTCACTGTGTCTGGTTGTGATCCCCAGGTTGTGCCAGTCAGCTTTCATATGATGTTGTTTCTAGCACCCACTTTTTGCTTGATGTTCAGGCAGTGCTTCTTGTAAGTCCAGAGTGACTCCCAGGTATTTGGGTGCGCTGCAATGCTCCCGTGGGATTCCTTCCCAGGTGGTCTTCAGAGCTCGGGATGTTTCTCTGTTCTTGAGATGAAAGGCACATGTCTGTGTTTTAGATGGATTAGGGATCAGCTGGCTTTCCCTGTAGTAGGTAGTAAGAGCACGTAGATCTTGGGAGAGCTTCTGTTCTACCATCTCAAAGCTCCCTGCTTGAGCGGTGATGGCACGATCATCAGCATAGATGAAGCTCTCTGTCCCTTCTGGCCGTGGCTGGTCATTTGTGTCAATGTTGAACATGGATGGAGCAAGCACGCTCCCTGAGGCAGCAGGCCGTTCTTCTGTTTCCGCCACCTGCTTCTCTGGCCCTGGAACTCAACAAGAAAGCTCCTGTTTTGTAGCAGGTTTCCTAGGAGGCGGGTGAGGTGGTCGTCCTTTGCGGGGTGAGAAGGGGGGAATAGAAATACTGTAAATAAATAAACATAATAATAATAATAATAATAATAATAATAATAATAATAATGGAAAAGCACCCATTTTGCAAACAGTTTACCACACAAATGAGTTTATTTACTGCAGTCTCAGACCAGAAGTTTGGGGGTCATCTGCATATACGAGTCACCGCACTCCCAAACTCCAGGGGAGCACCGTTTTGTAAACAAAGGATTTCAACCAGAAGCACAAAGCTCAAGGTACGCAACCGACGTCATTGGCTTCCAATGTAAGACGGACCCACAACAAACCTACAAATGGAGCTCTGTATTCTCTTTGTATCTTCTGTTGCTTTCCCACCGGCCGGAGGGGTTGCCTGTCGCGGCCATTTCCTTGATTGCTGACCCGTGTCCCACCCCTTCGGAAGTGGGGTTTTGGACGCAGTCCCTCTGGGAAGTCTGCTTGACTGGCACTTTGGGAGGGACGGTCCTGGCGTCCGGGCAGAAATCCGAGACGGAGGCGCAGCTGAGGGTTGCTCACCGGGATTGACCTCAGGCGACTCGGGTCTCCGGCCCTCTGAAGGACACGGCTCCAACGCTGAGCTTTCGGGAGCCATCCAGGAAACCAGACCCCGCTGAGTGACCGTCTGCGTGGGATGGAACCGCCCTGGACTGGCCTTTCTCAACCATTCGCAGGGGGAAAAGACATTGGATATTCAGGCTGACTTACAAACAATTCCTGGTGAAGAACTCCTGACCATTAATAGTCTAGCTTGCTGTTGACCTTTGTGAGACAACAGGAAGGGAGAGAAATCTCCTCCAAGGAAGGAAGGAAGGAGTGAGTGAGTGAGTGAGGGAGGGAGGGAGGGAAGGAAGGAAGGAAGGAAGGAAGGAAGGAAGGAAGGAAGGAAGGGAAACCCACCCCTGGGAGAGTCATTATCTGGGGGGAAAGGGGTCTCAGTAGAGCTTTGCCTCCTGTCCTTGCTTCCACAACAAGCCACGTTCCTCAGAGTCCAATGGCCACAGCTGGAGTCTTCTGTTAGCGTCACAGAGCTGGAAGAGACCCCGTGGGCCATCTAGTCCAACCTAACACTGCCATGCAGGAAAAGCACAATCAAAGCACCCCCGGAGAGATGGCCACCCAGCTATCATCATCATCATCACTACCATCTAGGGAAAGCACAAAGTATCCCTGACAGAATACGTACTTACTTAGGCGATCCCTCATAGTTCAAGGATGATGGTCCTCCAAGTGTAGTGTCCGGGCGGTGGGTCCATAGGTCACTGTGGAGCCCTCTTCTTGACCTACATGTTCTCCCACAGTGAGGGCATCAGTTTCCAGGTGGAAGGCGGTTCCTGTCGGGGTTGGCTTGATGTGCCTTCCTCTTGGCACCCTTCTCTCTTTCACCCTCCATTCGCCTCTTCAAATTCTGCAGCACTGCTGGTCACAGCTGACCTCCAGCTGGAGTGCTCACAGGCCAGGGCTTCCCAGTTCTCAGGGTCTATGCCAGAGTTTTAAAGGTTGGAAGGCAGTCCCGGTCGGGGTTGGCTTGACGCACCTTCCTCTTGGCACATTTCTCTCTTTTGCCCTCCATTCGTGCCTCTTCAAATTCCGCAGCATTGCTGGTCACAGCTGACCTCCAGCTGGAGCGCTCAAAGGCCAGGGCTTCCCAGTTCTCTCTCAGTGTCTATGCCAGACTTTTGAGCCCATCTTTGAATCTCTTTTCCTGCCCACCAACACTCCGTTTTCCATTCTTGAGTTTGGAGTAGAGCAACTGCTTTGGGAGACAGTGGTCAGGCATCTGGACAACGTGGTCCAGCGGAATTGATGGCGGAGGAGCATCACTTCAAATCTGGTGGTCTTTGCTCCTTCCGGCACGTTGACATTTGTCTCTGACAGATTACCATCCACCCATCATTATCATCATCATTGAGCTGTAAGAGACCCCGTGGGCCATCTAGTCCAACCCCCTGCCATGCAGGAAAAGCACAATCAAAGCACCCTGGACAGATGACCACCCAGCTGTCATCATCACCATCACCGCCACCATCTAGTCCAACCCCCTGCCATCCAGGAAAAGGACAAAGCATCCCTGGCAGATTACCATCCAGCCATTATCCCCATTGAGGTGTAAGAGACCCCAAAGGCCTTCTAGTCCAACCCCCTGCCATGCAGGAAAAGCACAATCAAAGCAACCTGGACAGATAGCCATCCAACCTCTGTTTCAGAGCTTCCAAGGAAGGGATTTCCACCAGATTTCAAGGCAGAGAGGAGTTGTTGTTGTTGTTGTTGTTGTTGTTATTCCCTTTATCTCCCCAAAGTGGACTCAAAGCAGCTTGACATAAAAGCGGTACTATCCAATTTAAAATATGTGCACTTTAAATATAAATATCCCAATGCAAAATAAGCCCAGGGTGCTGAGCCGAGTTCCCCCGCGGAAGGAAGGAAGGAAGGAAGGAAGGAAGGAAGGAAGGAAGGAAGGAAGGGCTCGTGCAGCCAGGAAGCAGGGTGGCGTGTGGCCAGTGCCCGTGCTTCTGAGGGGAGGCCACAAGGTGACTCCACCTGGCCTTTTGGGGGGCTGGACCCCCCCCCCCCCCGAAAGAGAGGCGTGCTTCCAAATGCCCCAAAGGACCGGGCGGGAAAAACAGCTGACATAAGTGCTCCGGATAACACAGGACTCGCAATTGCGGGGCTTCGAGGGAAGAGGAAAACCCCGGAGCCTTTCCAGATGGATGGGAGGAGGCGGGGAAGGAAGGGGGGGGGTCCCCAGGACCAGAGCGGCCAAGCCCTGCCAATACGAAGGGCTGGCTGTATCGCGGGATTTGCATTTGCAGTTTCCTCCGCCTCCCAGTATCACCCCTTTGCCCCACGCCCATGGAAACGAACTCTCTGAAGGCCAAGGCCGGGGATGCCTCCAAATTAGCACAACAAGCAGGAGACGGGTTAGGGCCACTAATTAATCCAATCTCCTTAAAGCGGGCGACGTGCAGCCTTTCACAAGCCGGGCTCGCTCACAGAGGAAGGCCAGCCCTCAAGGCTTGGAGCGGGGAATCCAACCTCAGTATCCAATTGGAGAAACCAGTCAATCAAGGCGAGCTTTGGACACGTTCATTCAGAGGTGCCAGGCCGAGAGAGTGGCGGGGCCTTTGCAAAATGGGTGCTTTTCCATTATTATTGTTGTTATTATTATTATTATTATTATTATTATTATTATTATTATTATTATTATTGAGTCCCCCTAGGGGTGGGAAAAGCAGTATATAAATACTGTCAATAAATAAATAAATATTATTATTGTTGTTATTATTTATGTTTATTTATGTACAGTATTTATATTCTGCCTTTCCCACCCCGCCGGGGACTCAGGGCAGATTACAATGCACATCGACATGGCAAACACTCAATGCCATTTAGGCATACAACATATATAGACAGACACACAGAGGCTATTTAACATTCCAGCTTTTCCCGGCTTCATGAGGGTATGCTTGATTCCAGTGGCCGCTTCACCATCCAGTTGTGGCACCGAGTCCTTTGAAGGAGTACTTTCTCATTCTTCTGCACACCGCTGGAAGGTTTTATGGTGTTGTAAATTAGGTAAATTAGCCTTCCCACATAAAGTGGTACCTAAATTTCCTACTTGACAGATGCAACTTGTGGCACCGAGTCCTTTGAAGGAGTACTTTCTCATTCTTCTGCACACCGCTGGAAGGTTTTATGGTGTTGTAAATTAGGTAAATTAGCTTCCCCGCATAAAGTGGTACCTAAATTTCCTACTTGACAGATGCAACTTGTGACACCGAGTCCTTGATGGGGTACTTTCTCATTCTGCATGCCACTAGAAGGTTTTATGGCATCATAAATTAGTTAAATTTGCCTCCCTGCGTAAAGTGGTACCTAAATTTCCTACTTGGCAAACGCAACTTGTGACACCAAGTCCTTCATTATTTCCAATTTTAACTCTACATTTGGCCTTCGCACTGATTTTAATTATGTGTTGTTTTATTGATAACGTTGTGTATCTTACTGTGTTTTTAATTGCTTTTACTGTGTTATTGCTTGTATTGTTGTGTTTGGGCTCGGCCTCATGTAAGCTGCACTGAGTCCCTTGGGGAGATGGTAGCAGGGTACAAATAAAGTGTTGTTGTTGTTGTTATTATTATTATTATTATTATTAATGGATTGCTTTCTCATTCTGCATGCCATTGGAGGGTTGTATGGCACTGTAAATTAGTTAAATTAGCTTCCCCACATAAAGCGGTACCTAAATTTCCTACTTGGCAGATGCAACTGTCTTTCGGGCAGCATAGGTCAACAGCAAGCTAGACTATTAGCAGGTGGTAGCTCACTCTGTTCCGGGCTGGGTTCAAACTCATGACCTTTTGGCCAGTAGTGATGTAATGCAGCTGTATTATTATTATTATTATTATTATTATTATTATTATTATTATTAATGGATTGCTTTCTCATTCTGCATGCCACTGGAAGGTTGTATGGCACTGTAAATTAGTTAAATTAGCCTCCCCACATAAAGCGGTACCTAAATTTCCTACTTGGCAGACGCAACTGTCTTTTGGGCCGCATAGGTCAACAGCAAGCTAGGCTATTAGTGGTGGGAGCTCACTCCAACCTGGGCTCATGACCTTTTGGCCAGTAGTGATGTAATGCAGCTGGCTACTGACTACTGGTCCTCTCCACCAATGTCCGAAGGGACTCCAAATAAGAGGTGGCTGTATGAAGACCGAACGGTCAGAGAGAGCCGCCGGGAAGGAGGGAGGCAGGCGAGATGAATCCACAGGAAGGCAATTAATTCCAAGGGAAGAGCCAAATCATAATTGGTTGCCATGACTCAACGCAATAGCAGTGGTGTACTCTTAGCCACGGGTTATATTTGGCCTGCCTTTTGCTTCATTCCCTCCTCACGTGTCGCTGCTTCCGTGTGTGTTTATTCTGCGAGGCTGACGCAGTCGCCAAAGGAATCTCGAAGGGAATGGCAGGCGGGGTGATTCAGGGCCAAACGGGCGAGAGCAAGCCAAGATCCACGCAAATAACACCTCCCTCCCTCCCTCCCTTCCCAAGTGCCGTTCGCTCTCCTGCCTCGGGCGGCATTTCCTTTGGGGAAAACAAATCCCCGGCATCCAGGGATGCGTCTCCAGCCAGGCATTGCTGAGCCTCCGTCTCACATTGCCGTGACGTCCCTCCTGGAAATGTAAACAGGCCACATGGTCGTGCTTGGATCCGTAGGTCAAGGGTAGGATAGGACACGCAGGGATGCTCCATCCCACCCGCACGCACGCAAGGCTTGGAGGATGACAACGACCCGGATGGGGCCATTCCCGCTCTCCGGAATCTCTGAAACTTTTTCCTATGTGTTCCGGAACTCTGCTGCGACGGAGGAACACCTTTCCCCGCTCTCTATATTGATGCTGAGCAGCATTCTGGGAAATGTAGTTCAAGGCACGGCCTCTTGCATTCTCTGCCATAGGACTCCTCACCTTCCCAAACTACATTTCCCAGAATTCCATGCTCTCTATGTGTCTCTTTCCCAGCAAACTCTGTGGCTTCCTTCTCCTCATGGTGAGGGAGAAAGCAGAGTTCGCTGGGAAAGAGAGAGAGCACGGAATTCTGGGAAATGTAGTTCAGGGCTGGGTCTCTTGCATTCTCTGCCAAAGGGCTCCTCACCTTCCCAAACTACATTTCCCAGAATCCCGTGCTCTCTCTCTTTCTTGTCTCTTTCCCAGCGAACTCTGCTTCCTCCCTGCGTCTTCCTTCTCCTCATGGTAAGGGAGGAAGAAGAGTTCGCTGGGAAAGAGACGAGAGAGCACAAAATTCTGGGAAATGTAGTTCAAGGCCGGGTCTCTTGCATTCTCCGCCATAGGGCTCCTCGCCTTCCCAAACTACATTTCTCTCTCTGTCTCTTTCCCAGCAAACTCAGCTTCATCTCTGCGGCTTCCTTCTCCTCGTGGTGAGGGAGAAAGCAGAGTTCGCTGAGAAAGAGACAAGAGAGAGAGCACGGAATTATGGGAAATGTAGTTCAGGGCTGGGACTCTTGCATTCTCTGCCATAGGACTCCTCACCTTCCCAAACTACATTTCCCAGAATTCTGTGCTCTCTCTGTCTCTTTCCCAGCAAACTCAGCTTCCTCCCTGTGGCTTCCTTCTCATGGTGAGGAAGAAAGCAGAGTTTGCTGGGAAAGAGACAGAGAGAGAGAGCATGGAATTCTGGGAAATGTAGTTCAGGGCCAGGTGTATTGCATTCTCCACCAAAGGGTTCCTCTCCTTCCCAAACTACATTTCCCAGAATTCTGTGCTTTCTGTCTCTTTCCTAGCAAACTCTGCTTCCTCCCTGCGGCTTCCTTCCCCTCATGGTGAGGGAGAAAACAGAGTTCGCTGGGAAAGAGACAGAGAGAGCACGGAATTCTGGGAAATGTAGTTTGGGAAGGCGGAGAATGCCAGAGGCCCTGCCCTAAACTCCTTGCTGGGTGTGTCGTCGTGCAGTCCAGCACTGAGGCATTCTTCTTTTTCTGTAATCGAAGGGGGACCTATGGGGCATTTTGGCCACTCCCCCCCCTCCCCCATTCATGGCCCCTGTGGAGCATTCCCACCATATAGATGTGTATCTCTCTCTCCTATGACGCCTCTTCTAGTCTTCCTTCTAAGGCGAGATCTCTTCTTCTCCTCTTTCCAGGAGCTGCCCAACTCTGTCTTCCTGGTCATGGAGGTGCGTATTGTGGCCCCTTTTGCTTGCCTACAACAGGCAATGGAAAGAGACTCTGGCCCTAGTCGTGACGCTTATTTGCCTTTCTCTTTCTGTCCGACAGTATTGCAATGGAGGAGACCTGGCGGACTACTTGCAAGGTAAGTGCATGAAGTATTGCGAGCGTTTCCTGAATGCGTGCATCCAGATCTCCCAAGTGTTGACGTTGACGGTTGTTTCTTCCTCCTTCCCGCAGCCAAAGGCACTCTGAGCGAGGACACCATCCGCGTCTTCCTGCAGCAGATTGCGGCCGCCATGCGCATCCTGCACGGCAAGGGCATCATCCACCGGGACCTGAAGCCGCAGAACATCCTCCTCTCCTACGCCAACCGCAGGAAGTCCAGCCTCAGCGGCATACGCATCAAGATAGGCAAGTGCCAAGCTCAGTGGGCTTCGCTTGAGGGTGCCATTCTCAGGCACATCCTGCACAAGGGTCTAGTCCTCATCGAGGAATAGGCAGGCAGGCCTGAGTTGGCTTTCCCTTTGCCCGCTGTGTCTCTCTGCGGGGAGGACGACTGTCGTGCAGGTCTTAGCCTTGAGTTCCTTGGAGACACACAGAATGCCACTCGCTCGCCGCCATTTCAACCGGGTTGCATTGACTTGTGACCGTACACCTGGTACTGTGTCGCCATTTATGCACACTACCTGTGCATATATAAAATAATAATCTAATACTGATAATATATAATATATTATAATAATACTATTTATTATTTATTTATTGAGCAATTTTGTATCCCGGTCTTCTTCTCTCCTCTATCGGGGGACTCGGGCCGGTTTCCAACAATAAAATCACAAAACAATAATTAAAAACATCATTTATTCAATTAAAACGTTATAATAGCAAAATGCAATCCCATAATAACAATGGTCAGTCGTCATAGTGAATTCATCATTCATCATCATCTATCCGATCACAGAAATATTGATTCACTCGTCAAAAGCCAAACCCCATAGCCAGGTTTTCACCCGTTTTCTGAACGACAGAATGGAGGGGGCAGTTCTGATCTCCAGTGGGAGAGAGTTCCAGAGTTGAGGGGCCACCACCGAGAAGGCCCTGTCCCTCGTCCCCACCAGGCGCGCCTGAGAGGCCGGTGGGACCAAGAGCAGGGCCCCTCCAGACGATCTACTAGTAATATATAATAATATATTATATAATATAATAATATATAATATACTGATACTAATCATATAATACAAGATTCCTCTCACTTCCTGTGGTCTCAGCCCCTATGTTCTTAACTCTGAGTCGTTTGTAAGTCAGATGTTTGTAACTCGGGGATGGCCTGTATATATATATATATAAAATCTTAATATAATATAATAACATTATAATACTAATAATATATAAAATAATAGAATGGAATAGAATAAGACTAATATAATATACTATGATAATATATAAAATAACACAATACTAATATAATACTAATATAAGATACTATAATGTATAGTGTAATATAATATAACATTGTAATACTAATAATATATAATAAAATAATAGTAATATAACATGCTATAATAATATATATTGTAAATATATTACCAATAATTTATTATATAACAATACTATGCTATAATAATATATAGTGCAATATAATATAACATTATAATACTAATAATATGTAATATAATACTAATATAATATACTATAATAATATATAGTGTAACAATAAAATATTATGCTACTAATATATAATATACTAATACTAATATAATATACTATTTCTAATAATATATATTATACTTGCGATAGTGACGGTCAAGGGTGACGTTACCCCCCTGTGTCTTTTCCCCCCTCCTTTCCACAGCCGACTTTGGCTTTGCCCGCTACCTGCAGAGCAACATGATGGCAGCCACCCTCTGCGGCTCCCCCATGTACATGGTAAGTGCCCGTGGCACATGGGTTTGTCCTCGCGTTGGGAGGGAGAACGGGACGGGTTTGCTCTTGGCGGCCCTCGGGCAGAATAATCACAATAACAACTGCTCGGTCCCGCTTGGTCTTTCCCAGGCGCCCGAAGTCATCATGTCTCAGCACTACGACGCGAAAGCTGACCTTTGGAGCATCGGGACCGTCATCTACCAGTGCCTGGTGGGAAAGCCCCCCTTTCAGGTACCCCCCCCCCCCTCAAGAGGCTCTTCTACCCATTGGAGAGGCCGACCTTTCTTATTGGTCCAAAGGAATGCAAACTGTGGGATGCCATGGGGTTCCCTGCAGACCCTGTTCCTCCTTGATTCCTCCTCCTTCACGTGTTCTGCTTGAACCATGGTGAATCTTTCTGACCAAATGGCGCCTCCCTTCTTCCCTTTGGCAGGCCAATAGTCCGCAAGATTTAAGGATGTTTTACGAAAAGAACAGAAACCTGATCCCCAGGTAGGTAGGTAGGTAGGTAGGTGGTGCCCGTGCCACGCTCCGTGGGGGGGAGCCCACCCATCTCAGCCTGGGGACCCCTCCTCAAGGCAGTGCTCCGCTCCTTCTCTCCAGCGTCCCCCGGGAGACCTCGCCCTACTTGGCCGACCTGCTCCTGGGTTTGCTCCAGAGGAACCAGAAGGACCGGATGGACTTTGGTGAGTCCACTTTGAAGGGCCTTTTCTGTGGCTCACCCAGTTTGTGTCACAAGCCACCCGTCAGCTTTTGAATCCCACCGTGCTCTTCTTCAGGGGTTATTGATTCATCGTTTCAGAAGTGAATTGAGGGTAAAAGTTATAAAGCATTTTAAAACACAAAGTGGAAAACCTGGCGTGATACTAAATGTCCTTTGACCTCTGGTGTGGCCTCCGTCATGCACGTGGCAGGGCTCAGGCCACATTGTAGTCAGCGGTCTGTGGTTTGCTCTTCTCTTCTCGCATGTCGTGGACTCCACTTTGTGGCCCCATTTCTGAAGGTTGGCTCTGCATCCTGTGAAGTCTGTGAATTAGCCTCCCTGCGTAAGCGGTACCTCCATTTCCTACTTGACAGACGTAACTGTCTTTCAGGCTGCAAAGTTCAACAGCATGCTACACAAATTGGTCGGAAGCTCACTTTGAACTCATAACCTTTTGGCCAGTAGTGATCTTAATGCGGCTGACTCCCAGCCAGCTGTGCCACAGTAATACAATACAATAATAATAATAATAATAATAATAATAATAATAATACGATATTATAATTATATATTTTATATTACATGTAAAATTACTACAATACATTGGTTTAGTACAATATAGTAATATGTAATACTGATATTATACTATGCTAATAATATAATGTATGTGTGTGTGTGTGTGTGTATGTGTGTGTATATGTGTGTGTATATGTGTATACACACACACCCACACACACACACCCCTTGTAAGCTGCTCTGAGTTCCCTTTGGGGTGAGAATGATGGTATATTAATGTCGTAAATAATTAAATAAGGAAGGGATAAGGGAAGGGAGGAAAGCAGGATGGAAAGGAGCAATGAAGGAAGGATGGAAGGAAGGAGGGATAAGGGAAGGGAGGGCAGAATGAGGGGGTTGGGCCGTGTGTTTGGAAGGGACTTGGGGTAAACACAGCAAGGATTCCGATTAATCAATAACCCGCGGAGCCGGGTCCGCTGTCCTGCAGCCTCTCTGGCCACACCGCCCTGTGTTTGAGGGCCCGGCTGGCTGGGGTTTTTCCACCCTGGGTTGTGGGAGAAGAAGGCGGCACAGGGTGTTCCCGGCCGGGGGCGGCCTCCTCGTGACCCGTAGGCCCAGACCGTTCCTCTTGTGGCAAGGCCCGAGAGGTCAAGGGGTTATCAGTGTTTGGGCAGAAGTTGACCCACAACCGTCTGGTGGGCGTTGTATTCGGATGTTCTGGAATGTGGGCTCGGAGGAGGAAGGCCCTGCCTGTGGCCCAAGGCCCCCAGGGACCCTCGGCTTTAGCTTTGGGTTGGCCGGAGAGTTGCGCACGCACACTGATCTATAGGTACACATACACTAGAGTTAATATCCTCAGCCTTGCACACCTTTCTCTCTTCTTTTTCCCTTCCCTTCCCTTCCTTCATACCTTTCCCTCTTCCCTTCTCTTCCTTCCTTCCTGCCTTCCTTTTTCTTTCTCCTCCTTTCCTTCCTTCCTTCCTTCCTTCCTTCCTTCCTTCCTTCCTTCCTTCCTCCTTTCCTTTCCTTTCCCTTTCTCTCTTTCTTCCTCCCCTCCCTTCATACACTTGGCACCTTTCCTAGTGGCATCCCAGAGGGCCACTTCCCCTAGCGAGAGCTGATCCAGTGGCATCATGGGGGGGGGGGGGGGGGAAGGGTCACTTCACCTAGCAGCAGCCAACAAATAACATCAGAGCGGGCCACTTCACCTAAAGGCAGCCGATCCAGTGACATCACCGGTGGCTACTTCGCCTAGCGGTAGCCAATCCGGCAACATCACAGAGGGGCCACCTCACCTAGCACCATCCAGTCCAGTGGCCTCACAGGGGAGGGGGTCACTTCACCTAGTGGCAGCCAACAAATAACATCAGAGCGGGCCACTTCACCTAGCGGCAGCCAATCCAGCAACATCACAGATGGCCGCTTCACCTCATTTGTGTTTTGAACTTAGGACTTTGTGTATATCAATAGATAGGTGTAAGTATTTTTTTATTAAAGACCACGGAAACCATAACAAACAAGTGATTGCTTGCTTGCTTGTGGGGGTGGGGGGGGGGAAAGGGGCCGGACCCCTTCCCTCCCGCGCTGCGCTGAGCCGTCCCCTTGGGCCTCCCTTCCTCTTTTGCAGAAGCCTTCTTCGGCCACCCCTTCCTCGACCAGGTCCCCACCGTCAAAAAGTGTAAGTCTGGCCTCCCCTCCTCTGTCTCTTGATGTTGTGATGCGCTTCGGGATATATTTGGTCTTGATCCGACTGTTTTCTCCGTGCCTTCTCTCTCCGCAGCGTGCCCGGTTCCTGTCCCGGCCTACACGGGGTCGGTGTCCGGCAGCTCTTGCGGGAGCTCCCCTTCCTGCCGCTTCGCGTCTCCCCCAGTAAGTGCCCCCGCCCGACGTCCCCCTCCCTCCCTCCCTCCCTCCCTCCCTCCCTCCCTCCCTCCCTCCCTCTCTCGTGGGGTGGCCAGGGAGCATCCTCCAGTTGTGACATGTGCGGGACATGCTTTTTGAGATACCACATCCTTTCACAACATCGTTGTTGTTTATTTATTTATTATATTGTCAAAAGCTTTCATGTCCGGAATCACTGGGTTGCTGTAGGTTTTTTGGTCTCTATGACCATGTTCTAGAAGCATTCCCTCCTGACATTTCACCTGCATCTGTGGCAAGTATCCTGAGAGGTGGTGAGGGTGCTTGCCATAGATGCAGGTGAAACGTCAGGAGAGGATTTATTTATTTATACCCCGCTTTCTATCCCCAAAGTGTCGTACTGCCTTCTCTGGGCCTCCCGTTGCTGCGGCTCCCCTTCTGATTCCTCCTTTCTCCCCCTGCCCCCCCCCCCCCAGTCTCTCCCGGACATGGGGCACATCCAGGAGGACGCCCTCTCGTCCCCCCCGCTGGGGCCGCCCAACTTCCTCCAGGTCTCCAAGGAGTCGGCCAGCACCAGCAGCAAGAACTCCTCCTGCGACACCGACGACTTCGTCCTCGTCCCACACAACATCTCCTCCGACCAGTCCTGTAAGGCCCAATGCCATCGCATTCCCACACATACTTGGGGGGGGGGGGGGGGTAAGCCCGGCTCTCCAGATACGGTCTGACTATCACTCCCAGCATTGGACACCCTGGGATATAGGTTGGAGACTTGAATGCATTGGGAGCAGCCAGGTATTCCTGTTGTTGGGTGCTTCCTTTCCCCAACTGCATTATCTGGCTGGGAAGGGACTTGGATCTATATTATTATTATTATTATTATTATTATTATTGACACAAAAGCACAGTATGTCACAGCAAACGGGATCTATATGCTGGATTTAATAATAATAATAATAATAATAATAATAATAATAATATATGTATATATTATTATTATTCTTTAATAATATTATTAAATAATAATATATGTATGTATTATTATTATTTAATAATATTATTATTCTTTAATAATAATATATGTATATATTATTATTATTATTTAATATTATTTAATAATAATAATATATGCTGGATTTTATTATTATTATAAAGCACAGTATGTCACAGCAAACGAGAACTATATGCTGGTCTTAATAATAATAATATATTATTATTAGACTGGCAACAAAGATCCATTGCCTAGTCAAAGCCATGGTATTCCCTGTAGTCACCTACGGATGTGAGAGCTGGACCTTAGGGAAGGCTGAGTCAAGGAAGAGAGATGCTTTTGAGCTGTGGTGTTGGAGGAAAGTGCTGAGAGTGCCTTGGACTGCGAGAAGATCCAACCAGTCCATCCTCCAGGAAATAAAGCCCGACTGCTCACTGGAGGGAAAGATACTAGAGACAAAGTTGAAGTCCTTTGGCCACATCATGAGGAGACAGGAAAGCCTAGAGAAGACAATTATGCTGGTGAAAGTGGAAGGCAAAAGGAAGAGGCCGACCAAGGGCAAGATGGATGGATGGCATCCTTGAAGTGACTGGACTGACCTTGAGGGAGCTGGGGGTGGTAACGGCCGACAGGGAGCTCTGGCGTGGGCTGGTCCATGAGGTCACGAAGAGTCGGAGACGACTGAACGAATGAACAACAACAACAACATTTAATAATATTATTTAATGATAATAATATTTAATAATAATATATGCTGGATTTAATAATAATAATAATATATGTATATATTATTAATATTTAATAATAATAATAATATATGATGGATTTTATTATTGTTATTATTAAATACTTTTATTTGTATTCCACTCTATCTCCCCAAAGGGACTCAGGGCGGATTCCAAACATCAAGGCAAACATTCAGTGCTGATGTGTGGTATAGCCAGATATTCCTGTGCTGCCTGTTTACCTGTTGGGTGCTTCCTTTCCCCAACTGCATTATCTGAGTCTAAAGAGACTTGGATCCATTTGGGAAAGCCCGATACGCCCGTGCAGCCCCTTTACCACCTATTGGGTGCTTCATATCCCGAAGCTGAGCATTGTTTACCTTTTGGAAGGCAAGGGGTGGAGCACTCCTGCTTTTTCCACTGGTTTCCCAATATGGCATCCCTCAACACATCCTCCATCCATCGCTCTATTCCAATGTGAATGGTTTAGGTTTTCCACAGAAGCTTGTTTATATCTCAATTTGCTTCCAGTGCAGAGGGGTTGCTCTGAAACCCTATAGCTTGAGCATGAAACATACAGCGTTGCATTGTTGTGCTGAAAACACCTTCTGGTCCAAAGCCTTGCGCAGCTTTGTTCTACTTCCTGTGTCATTTTTTACACTTCCTGCAATAATGCCTGCCTTATCTTTTCCCCTACGTAGATGATATGCCCCTGGCGGCCGCTGGGCGGAGGGCGTCGAGTGAGTTCCTGATGTGCGGAGGAGGGTAAGCGTTCCGGCATTCCTCTTCGTTGTGAAGGGACCATCGGAGACATGGAAGTCTGCCCCAAAGGGACAGAGAAAGCACAGAACTCTGGGAAATGTAGTTTGGGAAGGCTGGAGAATGTAAGGGGCCCTGCCCTGAACTACATTTCCCAGAATGCTGCTCTGCATCAGGATAGAGAGGGGAGAGAGGTGTTATTGTGTCGCAGCAGCCAGATGGGGACAGCCCAGTACTCTGAGAAATGTAGTTTGGGAAGGCAAGGACCCATATGCTGGAGAATGCAAAAGGCCCTGCCCTGAACTACATTTCCCAGAATGCTGCTCAGCATCAGATTAGAGAGGAGAGAGAGGTGTTATTGTGTCGCAGCAGCCAGGTGGGGACAGCCCAGAACTCTGGGAAATGTAGTTTGGGAAGGCAAGGAGCCGTATGCAGGAGAATGCAAAGGCCCTGCCCTGAACTACATTTCCCAGAATGCTGCTCAGCATCGGGGAGGCCCAATCAGGGTAGAGAGATGTGTTATTGTATTGTAGCAGCCAGGATGGTCTCTATAGTAGATCCTTGAAAGCTGCAGCGGTGGCTTGTGGGATCCCAGAGTTCAGCAGAGATGGTATTGACAGGGTTGCGTTGTCGCACCGTGTGAGCCCCCCCCCCCCCAGCAGGAGGAGACACCCCAGAAGTCTTTCCATTGTGTTGCAAAAGCCTCCAAGGCAGGCACTCCGAGCTCTGGGGGTTAACCTTTGCTTGGTGTGTCGACTCAGCAGCGCTCGACGTCAGATGTTTTCCTCCAGCCGGCCTTGAGCAAGCGAGCAAGCAAAGCATTGCCCCAGAACTTCCTGTTTGCTTGGCTGCGAGTTTTTGTGAGAACAGGGCTTTGTTTGGAAGCTGTCTCTGGGGGTCTAGGGCTGTGTGCTGACCCCTCTGTGTGTGTGTGTGTGTCCATCCAGGCCCTGCCAGCCCCCGGCCGTCTCCCCTCGCAGCGAGACGGCGCCCATCCCGGTGCCCACCCAGCTGCGTAACTACCAGCGCATTGAGCAGAACCTGACCTCCGCCGCCGCCACTGCCGCCAGCCCCGGCTCCAACCCCCACGGCTCCCCCAGGTGAGTCGGGCCCTCCTTCTCATGGCACCGTCCAGTTGGGACCCCATCTAGCCCAGGCAGAAAGAAAGATAGATTTATTGTATTATTATTATTATTATTATTATTATTATTATTATTATTAGGCTCACAGATTTGGAAGGGGCCTCTCAAGGGCATCCAGTCCAACCCCCTTCTGGCAGGCAGCAAGAAAGAAATATTATTATTATTATTATTATTATTATTATTATTATTAGGCTCACAGAGTTGGAAGGGGTCCCTCAAGGGCATCCAGTCCAACCCCCTTCTGCCAGGCAGGAAGATAGAATCACTATATTGTTGTTGTTGTTGTTGTTGAGTTCAGTCCATTCTTTGTTGTAAGTTTACTGTTGTTTCTGTGCACTATCTTGTATTATTTTGATGTGTTTTTATTCATTTGAGGCATGTTTGCCTTTTTTATCTTGTGTCTGTATACCGCCCTGAGTCCCTTTTGGGAAGAGAGAGAGGGCAGTCTAGAAATAAAGTATTATTATTTATTATCACCCCCTTCTGCCAGGCAGGAAGAATTAAATTATTATTTATTTATTTATTTATTTATTTATTTATTTAATACACTTATATACCGCAGTATCTCAGCCTGGAACGGCGACTCATTGCGGTTTAACAACAGATAAAAGCAATATACAATTTAAAAACAGCAACATATAAAACAATACAAATTATTGGGCCACCAATAAAAACTTCATGCTTCTCATCACAAAATCGCAGTCCAGAGATCATTGTCCGTAATTGACCAGTCCAAATTGTCCATGGATTCAGTGTTTGATAACTAGTTAAACGCTTGACTACACAGCTATGTTTTTAACCTCTTCCGGAAACATCAGCGAAGAAGCCGATCGTATCTCTGAAGGGAGGGTGTTCCAAAGCCGAGGGGCTACCACAGAAAAGGCCCTGTCTCTCGTTCCCACCAGCCGCGCTTGGGAAGCCGGCGGGATAGAGAGCAGGGACTCTCCAGAAGATCTTAGGGCCCTGGCGGGCTGATAGGCTGAGATACGTTCGGATAGGTAAGTTGGGCCAGAACCGTTTAGGGCTTTAAAGGCCAAAACCAACACTTTGAATTGAGCCCGGTAGCATATCGGCAGCCAGTGGAGTTGGCGCAACAGAGGAGGTGTGTGCTCCCTGTGCCCCGCTCCAGTTAGTACCATGGCTGCCGCCCGTTGGACTAGTTGGAGCTTCCGAGCAGTCTTCAAAGGCAACCCCACGTAGAGAGCGTTGCAGTAGTCTATACGGGATGTAACCAGAGCATGGACTACCGTGGCCAAGTCAGACTTCCCAAGGTACGGGCGCAGCTGGCGCACAAGTTTTAATTGTGCGAATGCTCCCCTGGTCACCGCCGAAACCTGGGGTTCCAGGCTCAGCGATGAGTCCAGGATCACACCCAAACTGCGAACCTGCGTCTTCAGGGGGAGTGTGACCCCGTCCAACACAGGCTGTAACCCTATACCCTGTTCGGCCTTGCGACTAACCAGGAGTACCTCTGTCTTGTCTGGATTCAATTTCAATTTGTTCGCCCCCATCCAGACCGTCACAGCGGCCAAGCACCGGTTCAGGACTTCGACAGCCTCCTTAGTAGCAGGTGAAAAGGAGTGACAGAGCTGGACATCATCTGCGTACAGGTGACATCTCACTCCGAAACTCCGGATGATCTCGCCCAGCGGCTTCATGTAGATGTTAAACAACATGGGAGACAGTATTGAACCCTGGGGAACCCCACAAAGCAAAGGTTGTGGAGTTGAGCAGGAGTCTCCCAGTAACACCATCTGAGACCGACCCTCGAGGAATGAGTGGAGCCACTGTAAAACAGTACCTCCCAACCCCATCCCCGCGAGGCGTCCCAGAAGGATACCGTGGTCGACGGTATCGAAGGCCGCTGAGAGGTCGAGCAGCACCAACAGGGACACACTCCCCCTGTCGAGCTCCCGACGCAGATCATCCACTAAGGCGACCAAGGCTGTCTCGGTACCATGCCCCGGCCTCAAGCCAGACTGTGCCGGATCCAGATAATCCGTGTCTACCAAGAATCCTGGAGTTGTGAGGCCACCACACGTTCCATGACTTTGCCCAAGAAGGGGAGATTGGAAACAGGCCGATAGTTGACGAATTGAGTGGGGTCCAGTGATGGTTTCTTCAACAGCGGTTTTATCACAGCTTGCTTTAAGCTGGCTGGAATTTTGCCCTCCCGAAGGGAGGCATTAACCACCACCTTCACCCACTCGGCCAAACCCCCTCTGGCCTCCTTTAGAAGCCAGGATGGGCAGGGGTCTAGGATGCATGTGGTAGCTCTCATTCCTCCAAGCACCTTGTCCACATCCTCGGATTGAACCAATTGAAATGAATCCATCAAAACCGGACAAGCAGATGCTCGTGTTACATCCTCTGATACTGCCGTTAAAATGGTATCCAGTCCAGAGCGGATCAAAGCGACTTTGTCTGCGAAGAACCGAGCAAAAGCTTCGCAGCGAGCTGCCGAGTCATCAGGGCACCCATCCTGAGTGGTGGGTTTTAATAGGCCTCTGACAACTCGGAACAGCTCCGCCGGACGGTTCTTAGCAGACGCAATAGCTGCCGCAAAGTAAGATTTCTTTGCGGCTTTTATTGCCGCGGCATATGCCCTTAAAAAGGACACAAACCGTGTTCGATTTGGCTCGCTCGGATCCGAACGCCACACGCTCTCTAGTTCCCTCTTCCTTCGCTTCATCGCTGCCAGCTCCTCAGTGAACCAAGGGGCTGGTTTAGCTCGGCTACTTGAGAGGGGACGTTCTGGAGCGATCGTGTCTATTGCCCTAGCCATCTCCCCATTCCAGAGAGCGACCAGGGCATCAACAGGATCACCAACCGAGGTGGCGGGAAATTCCCCAAGAGCCGTCAGGAATCCATCCGGATCCATAAGCCTCCTGGGGCGGACCAACTTAATGGGTCCTCCACCTCTGCAGAGGTTAGGGGGCGCAGTGAGCCTAAATCTGACCAGGAAGTGGTCGGTCCATGGCAACGGAGAGATGGTCAACTCCTCAACACCGCCACCTTCCTCCCATCCCTGGCAGAAAACCAAGTCCAATGTATGTCCAGCACAGTGGGTGGGGCCAGATACCTTGTTGGGACAGCCCCATGGTTGCCATGGTAGACATGAAGTCCTGAGCCGCTCCCGATAAGGCAGTCTCGGCGTGGACATTGAAGTCCCCCAGCACAAGCAGCCGTTGGGACTCCAACGCCAGGTCCGAGACCACCCCCGCTAGCTCAGTCAGGGAGTCTGTAGTGCAGCGAGGTGGACGGTACACTAACAGAATCCCTATCTGTCCCGGTCACCCACCCTCAGGTGGACGCATTCAAAATTTGTTGACTGCGGGATGGGGGCCCTGGTCAGAAGAATGGAATCTCTATAGACCACTGCAACTCCGCCTCCCCGCCCTCCGGATCTCGGTTGGTGCTGCACAGAGAAACCTGGTGGGCAAAGCTGGGTTAAATTTACACCTCCCGCTTCGTCCAACCAGGTCTCTGTGATGCACGCCAGATCTGCCCGTTCATCCAGGATTAAATCCTGGATGAAAGTTGTTTTACCGTTGACAGATCTGGCGTTCAACAGCACCACTCTTCAATTCGGAGGGACCGCCATCCTGGTTACACCGACTTACCATATCAGGAGACCGATTTGGAATTACTAGTGTTGTTCCCCGTTCCCTAGGTCGAATTAAAGGCCTCCCTTTCCCGTATCTCCCCCTCCCCACCACGACTTCTATGGGGGCTCCCCGGTTAACGGAACCCTCTCCCTCCTCCATGATGCATACGGTGGCCCTAGTATCAAACCATAGCTCCTTTGTCACTGCTATAATGTTATAATTTGATCTTTCAGTTTCCTGTCGTAGTCACTGTGAATCGTACATTTGGTATCTGTGCGCATGCGCAGTACAGCTTTCGGAACCTTCTAGATAAAAATATAACAATTTTAGAGCCCACTAGCCCCGCCCCCCCCTCCCCTCGAGTATAAGTAGCCCGAGGGCGGGGCTAGCCAGCAGTTCTCTTTTCCGCGCTATTGCAGTAGCTTGAGAACCTCTCTTTCTCTTTGCGAGCTTCTTGGATTTGACTTTGAACGTTTTGGACTGGACTGATTTGTGACTAAGGTACTGGATTCTGATTTGGACTCTGTTGCTGGCGATTGACCCGGACTGCCTGACCACTCCTCAGCTGCCTCCCCTCACGTGCTCTTAGCGTGATGGCTGCTACTTCCTTTAAGCGCTGCTCCAAGTGCCCTAACACCTATCCGGACACTGATGGGCACTCCTTGTGCCTGCAATGCCTTGGAGAGGGTCATCTCACCCAATCCTGCTCGGTCTGTATGGCCTTTACGCCACAGACCAGGAAGAATCGGGAGCTGAGGCTTAAGGCGGCGCTTTACGAAAGGGCCCTGCTCCCTCCTGCCCCGTCGCCGCAGCAAACCGGCCCAGCACTCTCTGCTGTGCCCCTCCTGGATCAGGCTATGGGGCTGTCTAAGAAGAAGGCCAAGAGGCCCAAAGACAAGACCGCACAAAATGGCCGCGGGCCTGTACAGTCTAAAAGAGCAGCTCCGAAAAGAGCGGGAAATGCCTCTTTGCCCGTCGCGACTCAAGCCCCTCCCTCCACAATGGTGGAAACTCCGAGTCAACTGAGCCGCCCTCTCAGGGCTCCTACCTTATCTCTCGAGGTGGGGGGTGTGACTCCTCGCACGGCGCAGCACTCGGGACCGGAGGGCCCGATCTCGGAGGACTTCTTAACCCCCCTGATGCCAACACTCTCTCCCTCCGGGGGCGGAGCTAGCGGGGAGGCTGCGCGCAGGGAGGGGAGACCAGTCTCCGTGGCTCCGCCCACCTCCCCTCCTTTGGAGTCAGCGCCTTCCACTAGCGGCGCGTTCGGGAGCACCGTCAACGCCCCTCCCACTGAGTTGATAGAAGTTGCCGCTCGAAGAGCCTCTCCGCCTGCCGCTTCGGCAACGC